GCTCCTAGCCGCCGAATAAACTTTTGAATTAGCTGAGGGAATAATAGCTATATTTATAGCCAGCTCTGCTTTACTGTGCTACTCAAGACCCAATAGCCTTATGGTCTAATAAAGCTTTTAACTAAGACAGTATCGACATAAATCGAATTTATTTTAAATAAAAGTGGACGTTGTTTTCACTCCAATGTCTCAACGGTATTTTGTCGGACGGTGTTTTGCCCCTACAAGGATTACAAGTAACTCCCACCCCCTCCTTTTAAAAACCAATTTACATATTTTCCCCCTACATATTTTTTTAATATCCATAACAACTTGTATATTTCCTCAATTTATTTTTTGCCATTTTTTCAATTTATTTTTATGGTTATTAAATTTTCAGAAAATATTTTTTTATTAGATTAACACCTTATTTCGTCTTATATTTTTATTTATTTTTTCCTAAAAAATTTTTTAGAGAAAGTTTTTGAGGCACATAAATACTTGCCCTTTTATTTTGTTGTTGCTCTTTCCTGGTATTTTTTTCAATTTATTTTTCTCGTCCTTTTTTTTCCTTCTCGTTTTTCATATATGCGCGAAAAATGCAACAAATAAATGCTAAATAAGCTTTAATAATAAATAATAGAGAGTATTATACTAAATATTACCTAATAAAAAATACAAAACTTTCCGGAAGAAAAATCCGGAAAATACAAACAAAATAAGTAGTTTCCGGAAAAGAGAATAGGTATAACCAACCGGAGAGAATATCTTTCCGGAAAAGTGCTATAACCTTCCGAAAACTGAAAATATTTTGTATGTATACTAAATATCTATATTCAATAATGTTACGAATTATTTAAATTATTAAATATAAAAATATAAACAATAAAAATATAAAAAATCTATTCAATGCTTTGTTCTTCACACTTGGTCGCATCCACAGTTCCAGATGTACTAATAAACCCTTGTTAGTTAAATAAAAGGAATCTCTTTTATTTTTATTTCTTTTGAAGGGAAAGACATTTTGATAATTTTGGTTATTCTTTTACCTTTGTAAAAATTGTTATATTAATTACAATATTACATAATTTTTATTTATCTTTGCTATCACTTAATATAAAAATAAAAATATTGTCTCTCTTAAAAACATATAGTCTCTCATTATATATTTCCGGAAATGAAATTTTTTATTTATTTACAGTCTCTCTTATTAATATACAGTCTCTCGCTATTTTTCCGGAAATACATCTTCCGGTTGTTAATTTTTATTTTTCTCTTTTCCGGTTTTCTCTCTTATTATTTGTACTATTTAAGTGCATTTCTTTTTCCTCGTAATTCATTTTTTAATTAATTATTTGTTGCATTTATGCGCGAATGAAAAGAATGTAGTAATGAGAGTGTGAATATTTCAAACAAATATTTCAACATTCAGCTTTGTCAGTATATTGTTATGAATAAAAACACAAACAAGTTAGGTATATAAGAGGATTTAAATTTAAGATAAAACCTCAAATAAGTAATCTATTGTTTGGAGTTCAGTCCACCTTCTGACCTAAATATACCTTTTTGAAACTTGAGTTTGTTCAAAAATCTTGTAGTACTCCAAGATCTTAGATCTTAATACACAACAAAATATATTACTGTACAATATATTATTGTATTGCTTGGTGGATGTTTATGACTTTGGTCATTGGATGGTCTTTTCTAATACAATTCAGATCTCAACTTCTACATATTGTCATTTAAAGTTGATTAGCCAATAGGTCAGGGGATTTGTCTAAGCGTTACTTCTCTCAGTTTTACACACACTTTTTTCATTCCCAAGGGTGTACGCACAATCGAGGTTCGACCAACTAACCACTCAATTAATATATTTATCATATGTTTAAATTTTCCTTTTATGGCATCTAAAAAATTTACACATATTTTTTATAAAATTATGCCAATTAAATATTTGACATTCCTTCCACTCCTTTCTTTCCTCCATTTCCGCTTATTTCATTATTATTTTTTGTTCGCAACTCTTCCTATCTTCCCTCCCCTCCCCCCCCCTCTTCCCTCAACTTCACACCTTCCCCCTATTTTTTTACTTTTTTAACTCGTCATTTGTTATTGGCACAAAATCAATATACCCACAAGAGTTGGCTTCATTTGTATTTTATATACCCGAGAGTGATGGCAGCTGTTTCGCGCCTCCCTTCCTTTCATATATCCCTTCCTTTTGAGGGGCGCGACATTTGCGATCCCCACATTTGTGAAACAAGAGCAAGTGAAAATTAAAATTTCAGAAGATTTTTTATTTCAAGAGACGTTCGAATCTTGGACAGACAGACTTGATCCTTTTTAAATTTTTTTTGATTTTGGACATTTTTTAAATACGGTCAAGACAGTTTGTTTTCAAATGACTGTGCTCATTTGTCGTTCTCTTATCTCCCCCTTTCCCCTAACTTTCCTATCTCCCTTTCCTTTCCTTTCACGTCCCTTTCCTCTTCCTAATACCCAACAACTCCTCTTCCAACTCTTCCTCCAATTCCCCTTCAAAAACTCCCTTCCCCCCTCCTCCCCCTATTGTCAGCCCAACTTTCAAAAAATATGAAATAGGGGCATTCCCCCCTTTCCCTTTTTTTACTCTTTTTTCTTTAGGCGTTCCTTTTTGGCGGCGCGCATTTTACCCCAAAAAGAAAGAAAAAAGAGAGAAAGGTACTAAAAAGTATCCGATAATCCGCCGGCTGTCCATTGCACGCATACAAACAATTAATTTGTCAGTATCTCCAATCCCTTTTTTTATAAAAAAATTATTGGCTTAAGAAAATGCCAAACAAGAAAAAATAGAAAATAATATTGTTTGCATAATTATTTTTTATAAAATAATTATTTTTATTTTATTATTTAAATTCCCCTCAAGGAAATGCTTGCTCTGATTTTAATTGTTTTTTTTCTGAAGCTATTTTTGACATTTTAATTTTTAAGGGATTAACAAACATAGGAGGGCCTAACACCCTTAGGACTAAAGTATTCTATCTTATAATGAGGGTATTTAAATAGAGTGTATATTTACTTTGGAAGCTCCCCTATCAACTTTTTAATAAGCATATCTTAAATAGAGGTATATCTGTTATTGGGTGTATCTTATAGTGAGGTCCGTATATCCAAACCAGTCAGACCTTTACTGTTACGTCCGGAACTTGACAAATTAGACAAACTCGCTGATAAAAATCCCAATAATTCCTCCCCAATAATTTCCAAATTGATTAATTCCTTCTCTAATTTTTCTACAAAAATTAATTATTAAAATCCCAGCACATATTTATTTGACATATTAACACTCCCTTCCTCCAAAAAAATCTTTTTTTAGTCTTATTATCTAGTTAATTCCCTTAGGCATTCATTGTCGCGTATTAAAATCATCTTTGGCCTTTTTTAAATTTCCAAATTTAGGTTGTTCTCTAAACTTTTTTTGTAAAAATTTATATTTTATTTTTTTAATGTTCTTTTATTTAAATAAATAAAAAAAAAGAAATTCATCAAATGAGACAACGACCACCCCCATATTTACAACAACAAAACAACGATAATTATGAGGATATGTTGCTTCCCTCTGTATATTCAACAGATACGTCGGCGGTGGTTGAGGCAAGTAAATGAAAGAGTATAAGATACCACCCAATACCCCAATATAAGATACCACTCAATACAGTGGACCTCATTATAAGAGACTCGCAATACAGACTCGGATCTCGATTGTACAGGAGTTGATTGGCCAATGGGTGAGGGGAGCTATCCAATTATGCCTACATCTTTGTTTGGCCACTAGCTTTACCCCTTATTTAATATAAACCTCATTATTTGATTTTCATGTCTAAGGTTGTTCCTATAGTGAGGTCTAACTGTATTTTTATTTTCATATTTCTCCTATGTGTCTTAATAATAAATATATATTTTTCCCTAAAAATATATTTTTGTATTTACCTACATACAATTCCCCCCTTTTTCAAAGGTTAAGCAGCAGAAAAATTCTTTTTTCAATTAAATAGCTTAAAGACAAAAAAAAAGAATTTATTTTAAAAATTAGAAAAGTAGTTATTATTGATGACCTTTCAATTTTAATTAAGAGAAGATGAAAGTTTTTCCAAGAAAAAAAAGTAAAAGGAAGTGGAGAAAATTAAAAAAAAGGAGGAAAAAATAAAAATAAATTTTCTTTTAAAGTAGACAATAAAATATTTTCTTTTGAATTCTCGAATAATTTTTTTTATAAAAACACCAAAAACCCCCGTCTTTTTATCCGGATTCCCATACTTTTCTATTTAAAGTTAAACACACTACCAACTTAACCACAAACGCATTACATTCCTTTCAAGTTTATTTAATTAATTAATTAAAACACACAAACAAGTTCGAATAAAATAAATTTTTACTTGAGAGGGGATTGTTCTTGTTGGTGTGTATGTTAGTGCTTAATTTGTTAATAAGCTTGGGTTTTAAATAAAAAATATTATTTCCTCAATTATTAACTTTTTAAAATTATTTATTAAACATTTCTTCTTTTAAACTAAAAATTCTTCCTCAAATCATTTTCACATCAATCACTCAAAACCACAAATCAAAGAATTTTTAGAGTTTTTTGATCTTTTAAATTTGTTGAAATAAAATTCCCTCCTTTTTTTGAAAAATCCACAATTTTTTTTGTCCGCAAAATTTATTTTGGCCCTTGTCCAATCAACCTTTTGGCAAGTCCAATGGGAAGTTTAAGCATCCAAACAAATTTTTATGCGTCCGGTATCATGTTGTGTACCATAAACTTTCTATTCCAATAGATTTATGGTACTAAGGTGAAGAGCCGGGTACTTATCGACATTGATTGGACGCATAAAAATTTGTTTGAAAGCTTAAACAAGAAAAATAACCCTTTTATTCCCTTTTAACTTTTTTTCTTTCAGAAATTCATCTATTCCCCACCAACAACATTATCTTCATTAAACGATTTTGGTTCTTCTTCCCATTTATTTTCGCCTTTTTTGGCTATGGCCGAACCCGAACCTTTGGGTTTATGGCCAGGTTTGGCTATTGGCTCTTTACTTTTTGTGCTTATACTTTTGTGTGTTCTCGGGAATTTGTTGGTTATTTTGGCTATTTTGATAGAAAGGGATTTAAGGTCTAGGCCCCAATATTATTTGATATTTTCTTTGGCTGTGGCTGATTTAATGGTCTGTTTTTTAAATTTAAATAAAGTAAAACCTCAATATAAAATGCCTCCTTTAGTCTGGAAAAATCATATTTAAATTGGGAGGTATCGCTTAGACAGCCTCCCCCCATCCAATGCCCCCCCCCCCAAGGGTGTAAATTGTCGTGAGCTCTGTCTTTAATTATCTTAATTCTTATTTATTTTTAAGGTTGGTCTTTTAATTACTCCTCTTGGTGCTTGGACAACTTTAAGGCAAAAATGGGAAATGGGTGTCACTGTCTGTGATTTTTGGATTAGTGTAGATGGTAGGGTTTTTGTCTTTTAAATCTAATTGTTGAGCCAGATTAGGGCAGTCTAGAGGCAATATTTTGAGCCATAACTTTTTTGATTCTTTATCGATTTAAATAATTATTCGAAAGCTCTGAATGTACTGATTATTTTAGCTTACAGGATTGATTTGATCAGGACATCCTACTAAAAGACAGCCAGATAAGTGCGCCCAATCGTGATTTCTAATACTTATTTGACAACAACTTTTTGTAAGATTGTCTGATAAATCAATTTTGTCAGGTAAAATAATCCCCACATCCAGAGCTTTCGATTGTTATAAAAATTGTTTAAATCCGTTATGAATCAAAAAAGTTATTGCCCAAAAATATAGCCTCGAGACTGCATGTAATGGGCTAATAAAAATTAATTTAAAGTATTGGTTTGTACTTCTTCAATTCTTCATTTGGTAGCTATAGCTTTAGATCGTTATTGGTCTATAACAAATATTTATTATACTCAAAATCGAACTCCACAACGAATATTTACAATGTTATTTGTTATTTGGGTATTCTCTTTGCTTATTTCTTTAGCACCACAATTTAAATTTTTACATTTGAAAGGTAAAAAATAATTGAATATTTCGTTTTGATTAAATTTTTCTTTCAAATTTAAGATAAAGGCTTTGTTTCTCGTGTTGAAAATCAAAAAATTTGTCTTATTTCACAGGATATTGCTTATCAGGTAATTTTACCCGTCTCGTTATATTACTGGGAAATTCCATGGTTAAGTGGTAAAGGTATATAAAAATAGGATTAAGGTTCGACCCTGTTTAGGGTAAAATAATTTTTATGTTTTCCTAGTTGTGCCACAACTTAAAAAATTATTTCTGTGGTTAAGTGGGAAAATTTTTATAAAATAAGGTGAAGGTTCGAATCCACTTATGGTAAAATAATTTTTTCTTGGGGTTTCCCTTTCCTACTTTTTTATTTCTACTTTAAATTAAAATATCCTTAGGTATTTTCAACTTCAACTGCCTTTTATATTCCTCTTTGTGCCATAATAATTATTTACTACAAAATTATGAGGGCAGCCAAAAAGCGTTTTCGACGTGAAAGAGATAGAAGAACATTAAATAGAGGAGTTGTTGATGATTCTTCTGTGCCATTAAAAACAAGCAAACAAATGGATTTTGAAGAACAAAATGTTTGTTTTATTTTGGAATTTTATTTTCTTTGGTTAAGTGGGAAAATACTATAAAGTAGGGGGAAGGTTCGGCTCAGGGTAAAATCGTTTTTTATTGTGTACTTTCTCAGTTGGAATTGGAGAGTGAAATTATAGTGATTCAGACCTTTCGATTGGTTTAAAAAATTTTACAAATCGGTCAAGAATTAAAAAGTTATGGTTGAAAATAAGACCTCAGGAATTCCTTGTATTTATTCTACATATTTTAGTCTTCACCAACAACACAAAAATATACAGCCACATCGGGTGAAAAAAACAACAATAATTATCCAACGAATTGTTCGCCTCCTATTCTTAATAAACAACAAAATGGAAGACAGTTTTCGGAAAATAATAATAAGGTAAATTTTAGTGGGCTTATGGAATTCGAGAGTGAAATTATAGTGAGACTCAATTGGCCTTTTCCGTATTTTTGCGTTCTTTTGATTTAAGAATACTGTAATCAGATTAAGAGGGAATATAAGAAATGTAAAAGTAAAATGACAAAAGGATAAAAAGAAGAAAATATGACAAAATGTCTGATTTAAAAAAAATTTCTAGTCAATCCATGAAACTTCACCAAAAAACAATAACAACAATCCAACAGAAGAATTTTACCAAAATAAAGAAAAAACAAAGAAACTTTATTCAAACATAGCAAGTTTAGATATAGAAGAAACAGAATTTAAGGCAAACGAAAATTTAAAAAATGGAATAAATAATAAAGGGGAAGAATCTAAACAACAATTAATTAATTTTCCAAAACATTTAAAAAATATTGCGGAGAAGGGAAGGAAAAAAAGAAGTGGGAAAAAAGAATCTGTTGAGACTAGAAGGGAAAGAAAAGCTTGGAGGACGTTGGCTATTATTACTGTAGGTTTTTTGAATATTTTGGAAGAGGCGGTTGAGAGGAGAAAATTCAGCGTTTTTTTTGAATTGAATTTAGAAATTTTTGAATTCAGAAAATTCAGGCTTTGAGATTTTACATCAGTGGACACTTCATAGTAGAAGTGTTTTTTTCTTCCAAGTAGACACTTCAAAGCATCTACTTGAGGATGCTTTGTGGACCCACTCCAATTTTTGAAACAAAATTTAATAATTTTTAAAGGGAACATTCTTTTGTTGTTGGACTCCTTTCTTCGTTCTTTCCCTCTACCGTCCATTCTGTATAAATTTAACTGGCGAAAGTGAATGTAGACATATACCCCCTTTAATGGAACAAATATTTAATTGGCTAGGTATTAATTTTAAATTAATTTTAATTAATAAAATTCCTCTTTTTTAAAAAAGGTTATTTAAATTCTGCATTAAATCCAATTATTTATACAATATTTTCTCTTGATTTTAGAATGGCTTTTAAAAGAATTTTAAAGAAGGCGCTATTTTTTTCTAAACGATAAATTTTTAAAATTTAAAAAAATAAACGGGTTATTCTACAAAAATAAAAGAAATACAGTCAAAATTTCAGTATAGGATACATCTCCTAAGGCAGAAAATAACGTAAAATAATACTTTTCATACTTGAAAAAATTTTAAGAGTTGACTCGGGGACCTAGAATTTAAACAGCCTCAAGGGTGTTTTGACTGTATTTTTTAGATATATATTATTTATATAAAATTGCTAATCAATGCCAATACTTAAAAACAGATTTTTACTTGCATAAATTTTTTATTTAATTTACAAAATTTTGGTATTTTAATATTTACATATATATTAAATATACCCGAAAAATTGGTCAGAAAAATGCTAGAAACGATCCCAGAAAAAATTTTGAAGAAGTTTTGGGGGCCATTTTTATTCAGTTTTTTTTTTCAAAAAATTTCTCTTGGGATCGCTCTTTTAAAAATAGTCTGACAATCAGAGATGTGCAAAACCCCCCATGCAGAAAAAATATCGCTCGTACGACACCCATCGTTTTTCAGAAAAAATTTTTAACGTTAAACGAGATTTACTTAAAAAATTAGGTTTAATCTAGCCTGAAAAAAACTATCGTTAAGATGGATTTGTACAAGCCATGCTAAACAATATATAAAATATTACATAATGCATATTACTGGAATAATATATAAATTTTTTAGGAAGTTTTTTTTCTGTTTGTTTGTGGCACTTTGAAAATTATAAATATATAAAATGTCAATTAAAAAATTTTTTGTCTTTCATGTGTCGGTAACTGCCCCATTATTAATATCAGAAGGCTGAGGAGAATTAATTAAAGGCGAATCAATGCTGTCGTTTATTTCCTTAAAAAATCTTTTACTTCTCAATTTAATTTTCAATTTTCTCTTATCCTATGGCCCAAAGATATTAAGACAAAACAATATCGACATAAATCGAATTTATTATCTGTAAAAGTGGACGGTGTTTTTACTTTGATCCCCTGACGCTATTCGGTCGGAAGGTCTTTTGTCCCACTCTGGTTTTGAGTTTGGCAATTTTCTGGTTCTTTTTTATAAAAAAATGAGAGAAATGACTTCACTAAACTCAATCTTTCGGCCCTGGCCGAAAGTTCTTTTTAATTTAAGAAAAAAACACACCTGTGCCATTCTCCTGCATTGCCTCACAACAACAAAACCAATAATCAAAGAAAAACAAAAACTACCAAAAAGTAACAAAATCCAACCAAAAATATAAGCATAAAAAATAATTTTAATTGGAATTTGAAGTTGTTCTCTTGTTTTTGAGTCAATAATTGCACTTTCATTAATCCAAATAATTGGAACTATCAAATCACGCATATTACGAGTTATGCTGTTAAAAAATTTTTAATTTATGTAAATTTAAAGAAAATAAATTATTTCCATTGACCGAGGTAAAATAATTTTCTTGAATATTTCTCAGATTTTTGCGCCCTAATCTAAAAAACTATTTCAGTAGTTAAGTGGGGAAATTTTTAAAAATAGGGTGAATGCTGTACGACTGAATTTTGTACGCCTCAAGACTGAAACGGTTCTAGAGTTTTTATTGTGTAAAAACTGCAGAATTTGACAGATAAGAAAATTTTTTTTAATTTTTAAAGAAACCTCAAATCTCCTCTAAGCATTCCCAAATTTAATTGAGATTTTTGTTGTACCCCAACAACAACACCAGTAATCGGTTCAATATCAAAATAAGAATAATCATTTTTAATTGAAGGTAAATTCATTCCTTCAAGTAAAAGAGCTGAAGGAGCATTCAAAAAATGAGAATTTGACCATAAAATGCGTGGTTGACCTGGCAGACAAGTTGACATATCCAGTAATCCTGAAGGGGCACATCCACCTATTTTTTAAAAAAAGGAAAATATTTAAAACAAATGTCTGGTTGTATTCTTCCTTTACTTAAATTCTTACATTTATTTTTAGAATAAAAATTAAACAAACTTTTTTGAATTGAGCTATTGTGGAAGTAATCAGCAGCATTTGGATTACAGAATCCTTGTATTTGTTGCGTTTCAACATCCAAAAAATTTTTAGGTTGTGAATAACGAAAAACAGGAATTCCAGAAGTGAAGGCTGTGCTTTGTTTTTCGATGTTAAATGATCTAAAATTAAAAGAATAAATTTTTTGTCAAAAATAAATTTGCGGAAAATTTTCAAATTTTACGGATTTTAAAATTTTCTTTAAAAATCTACAAATTTGATAAATAACTCAAGAAACTATCACAATTTATTTTTTAAAAATTAAAAAAATATTTCTTAAATTAAAAAAAATCAAACCTGCAAAGCTGTCCGATAAATCTGCAAAAAAATTTAATTTTTAAAATAAAAAATAAAATCTTTTACATTTCCAATTTTTCATCGCTAAAAAGGCTTGGTTTAAAAAGTTCAGCATCTAAAAATTAAAAAAAACCTTTTTGAAACAAATATAAGTTAACCTCACTTGAAATACCCTCGGGCTAAAAATCATAACTTATAATGAAGGATTCTGAAATGATGTCTCTCTCTAATATAATTACCCCCTCCAGCGAGAGGTTGAAACAATAATTAACCTGGGTAATTATTTTTAGCATTTACGGTATCTTAGATTGTACTCCTAGACCAGTGGTCAGACTTATCGCGAATAGATTAGAAAAACACCTGTCCCATTAATCATTCTAGCCTGTTCTCCATACCAACTATTATTTTTTAATTTTCCTTTCAATCCATTCCAAGAATATACTTTATCTAATAAATTAATATTGCGTAAACCCGTGTCAACCTTTAAAAAACATCAAAATAATTTAACAAAAAATTTTTTTTAACCTCATAAAGTCCATCGTCTGTCCCGTTTTGCTGGAAAATGAAAAAAAAATAATTTAGAAAAATTTAATGATTATTTAGAAAATAAAATTATTATCCGTGAAAAAAAATATTACAAAATTTCCAAACGAGGAAAAATTTTTAATGAGTAAAAACGCTAAATTCGGAACCTCAAAACGTTGGAAACATGAAAAAAATCTGAAATTTTTAATAAACCACAAAACACAATTAAAATGTTTATTTTCCATCATCTAATATATCGAACCCAGCACACAAAGAATAAACACTTTCATTCAAACCCCAGAAACTCTTTTATGTTCCAAAGATTAATTAATTAAACTTACCCCATAAAATAACCCAATCCTTTCAGGAACATTTAAAACTTTACAAATTGTCGGAACCAGAGAACAAACATTTTTAATTAATTCATCTTCATATCCATCAAATAATAATTCGGCTACTGTTACGTTAATAAATATTTTCTCCTTATTTCGAATGAGGAATTCAATTGTTTTTCTGATTGGATAGGATAGTCCAGTTGTTATATCGATTATTTTCTTTAGAAAAAAAATTTTGTTTTCAGAATTATTAAAAGGGGCTCCCAATAGATAAAATTCTCAACTAAAGTCTTTAACGAAATATTTTTGGCCGGCCGTTCCCCCTTTTTCCCTTTCCCTTTTTTTCACTTATTCGCTTTATGGCAAATTATATCTCATTCAAAAGAGCCCTTCGAGCTGAGTCGTTTGAAATCAAAATCAACGTAATCTGATTTAAATTAACAAAGTTTTTTTAAATTCCAGTGGCACAAGTTTTTCCAAGGATTTAGCTTCATTTCAGAAATATCAAATCGAGCCGATTTTGGTATTATTCGACCCAGCTCGAAGAGTTCTTTCGAATTATATATACATAATAGATTATATGTCAAACAAAAAAGCTCTGGCCAGGGAAACAGGAAAAAGGGAAACGGTCAGCCAAAGTATTGCCTATTTTTTAATTGACACACCCATTTAGTTTCAAGTGGCATTTTGTCGCAAACTGATGTCTCTTAAAATAATTTTTTCAATTTTGTATGATTTATAGCAAATTCTCTGAGCTTTCGTAAGGTACCACTAATATCCAAAATATACCGACTTTTCAGAAGATAATCTAACAAATTAACTATCACTCTTTTTAAATATTTTTACCAAAAAAATCCAAAGCCCTTATTAAAAATAAACAAAAAACCTGAAAAAGTATATTCGGAACAAAAACTTGATCAGACAAACTACAATTAGCACACGATTCATTAGCATTAAAAAAATATTTTTTTTGGTTGCGAAAGAATAAACGAGTGTCATTTGAAGAAAAATTAACGTCTGCTTTGTGCAGTAAAACACTTTAAAAAATAATAAAATTAATTTAAAAATTAAATTTAGGGGAATTTTTTGAGGGGCACACTTTTTTTGCTTCACTTTGAGAAGTAGGAAATAATTCAAGGTACATACAGTGGGGTGCAAAAGTAATGACTCAAGGGTCGCGCAAAGTAAAAAAATATAATTTTGAGTCATTACTTTTGCACCAGCTAAAATTGAGGTGGTCTCGTTTGAAAATTTTTAACTTTCACATTTGAAATTAATTTTAGCCAAGTTTTATATATATTTGAAGCTGACACTTTGGGGAATATTTTCATCCATTATCAGTTTCATTTGGACCATTTCCTAAAAAGTTATAGTACTAAATTACTTTGCGCGACCCTTGAGTCATTACTTTTGCACCCAACTGTAAATAGGACTGTTATCTGTGGGGAGGAGGTAGCAAAAACGAGTAAACAGTGTCGAAAAAAAACGAGAGAGGATAAATGACAACTTGAGAGAAAATAGAAAAAAATGAGAATGGACCCAGCAAAACTGAAATCTCCTAAATTTAAATAAAATTTCAAAAAAACCTAAAAGTATAAGGCCCTTTTTCTTCAAGAATCGGCCTTTTTCCTTTATTAATTACGTCATCAACATTTTGAGTAGAAAATGTCCAAATTTGAAGTTTAATGTCATAAGGAGGATCGCGGAAATTCTTCAAAACAATATTATCTGTCCCATTTTGTTCTCTTCCCAAAAACGTTCTCTAAAAAAATTTAGAAGAAAGTTTAGAAATATATTTGGACTTTACTTATCAGTAAAAAAATTCAAAAAATCCGGACGGGAATCAAACCTCCGACCTTTCAAGTGTTAGCTAGACTTGAATGTCTACAGATGCTCTTACCCTGCTACTTGGATAACTTTTGCTTTATCTTTTGTCACTATGAGCGTCTAACCCCCCACCAACATTTTTCCTTACTCCCCATTTAAGATGGAGCTTTAGCCCCATAAACCTTAGAAAAAAACCCACCCTTCTCATTGTCAGTATTTAAAAAATTTAAATAATAAACCTCTTTAACTTGACATTCAATAAATTTCGGAACAAAAATAAATGCCAAAAATCCCAAAACAGCAGAAATCATTCCAACACCAGCCAAAATAATAAATAAACAAAGTCGCATTGAGCAAAAAACCATCTGAAAATTTAAATATATTTTTACTAAAAAAGGGAAAGGCGAAATTTTGTTTCGATCCGGAACAAAAAAATTTCGTTTCGGATTGAAAAAAGATATTTTTGCCCAACACCCAAATACCTGAAAAATTTGTAAAAAATTAACTAAAAATATAAAATTTTTATTTTAAAGGAAATCCTTTTTTAATATGTAAACAAAAATGAGGCGAATTAATATTTAAAATTCATTCTCTTTCAATTAAAAAAATAATCACATTTTTTAAGAGCAACAAGTATAAAAATTTTAAAAAAGTAAAAAGCATTTTTAAAAATGTTTATGAGACGTAAGAAAATGATTTAAGTAATAAAAATGTTTAAAAAAAAGAAGAAATTAGTCATTCCTTTTATGATAAAGAAAAGTTGTGATGAGTTGTTTTTTAATGTTTCATAAAAAATTAAGAATCGAACAAATAATTTAAAAAATAAAGTCTAAAAAATATACTGACAATGAGTTCAAAAATGTAGGAATTTTTTGCCGGAGACCATCCTTCTCCTAATCGACCATCCTTCTCCTAATTTTTTCCCCCTTTCCCCCATTTCGGGGGGGGGGGGGCTCTAGCCCCCCCCCCCCAGCCCCCCTGGATACGCCCTTGATATGTAGGCCCATAGATTGAAAACCCACAGGGGAGGCAAGCTGATTTTTGGGGTGAGAAATTCGATTTTTTTACCTTATAGCTCATTCGACTCAGCTCGACAAGCTCCTTCAAATGAGCTAATATCTGCATATTTAAATTTCTGACCACTAATCCTCCCTATGAGGTTTAAATGCGAGTGGGCCTGCAACTCATTGTCAGCCCTACCAAGTCAGATCACGGTGATTTAATTGAATTTTTCACTCCTAAAATTATGGTTTTTCAATTTTCAGGAGCCTACATCTCTGTGAGTTTTCGTCTTCCAGAAAAAAGGAACTCAGCTCCTCGAGAGGAATTGATCGCCTTATATTTCGAATCTAGGTCTCGGGTCCCACGTACTATACCGACACCCAACCCTCCACTAATTTGCTGTTTTTTAAATAAGATCTAAAAAAACTAAAAGTCTATTTTTTTGAGCGACAAGACAAATGAAACAAGACAATTAAAAAATAAATACTTAGAAAACGTCAAAAACTAGATTGGACAAATGATTGATGGCCATTTGGAATAGCTAACGGAGTTGGGGAAATAATGGCACGTCCATTTGAAAGATGCCTTTTAGTGGATCTGCTACGACGGCATTTCTAGAAAATAATTTTTTTTTAATAATTACAAAACCTCATCATAAGTTAAAGCCCCTAAAAATAGAGTCTCTTATAATGAAAGCGTTTTTTACTGCCCAATTCCTATGTAACTTTTTATATTTAAAAAAACGTTTTAAAAGAAAAACCCTGTAAAAAACAAAAGCCAAAACAGCAGATATCACCATTAAAGAAATAGCCATAAAACAAATTGAACCAACTTGAGCTGATTTTTCTACCAAAAGAAGTTTTGTTTTTATCAAATCGAGACTGTCATCATCCACATGAATCTTTAAAAGAAATTATTTTTTTAAATAATTTTAATTAAAAATCAAACATATTCATCAATTTCAAGCACAGGAACTACGCTGCTGCGAAAATTGACAAGTTCACTTAAAAAAAATTTTCAAAAATTAATGAAAAAATTTTTGGCGCTGGGTTAGTTTATATGTCAAAGAACTTTTATGCATCCACCGAACTTTTATGTATGATTTTTATTGGACTCACAAACATTTCCTAGGACACATAAACTAAACCAGAGCCAAATTTTTTTAAAAAAACCTCAAAGAAAGATTAGCTCCTTTCCACATAGATATACTTATCAAAAATCTTCGATGTGCTTGAATTATTGTACCTAATCTAGGTTCTACATCAATCTCAATTTGGTCACGTTCTTGAATTGGAGGGAATTGAATGCCTTCAATAGATTGTTGAACATAATTTGGAGAATAAAGAAAATTTGGTTGAGAAATAACAATTGGAGGTTCTCCTTTAAAAAATATTTAAATGTAAAAGAATTATTCTCCTCTTAAAAAGTTCCTGGTTAGCTAGGAAATGCTAAAATACTCCAATCCATTTATAATATCACAACCCCACACTAATTCCAGATAGAAAAACTTTTAAAACTTACCCGGATATACTACTATAAGAAAACTAACCAATTTGACATCTACTAACATCCAACATTCCAACAGGTAAACAATCAGAATTTTGTTCTTTAAATATTCTCTTTCCTGTTTTTGATTTACAAAATCCCTTATTTGACGGCAAATTCCAATCCCATGCATCTTTTGGCATTATAAAACGATAGAGAGGTACTCCAGCATATTCAACTTCCTTTTGAAAAACCAAATCGATTGTTCTTAAAATTAAAAATTTTTATTTAAGGAATAAAAAACCTGCACAATTCAGCTACAAAAACTGGTATTACATCAGTTTTGCTTACATATGGAGGCATTAAAGTTCCATCGGTTCCTTCAATTCGAAGTGATTGTGGCGATTCCCACCAACTTTCAGGCTACAGGTTTAAACATTTAGTTCAAAACAATGATGGCCTGTCGTTGCTTTTTTCTCAGGCCTTTTCATCTAACCAATCAACCCGAAACGCCGATCCAGTCTACCCAAATATGCGGCCCGTTCTGTGGACTTACCAAGGACGGACACAAGAGACTAGTTCGGATCTACGGGTAGACCAGTCAGAGATTAAACAATTTTAGAGGAGGATAGTTACTAAAATGGAAAATCCCCAAACCACAATATTAGCTCGAGAAATGCCCGAGTCCTAAAAACTTCGTCAAAGCCAAAAATAATTTCCCACAAAAAATAATAATTAACCAAAGATGTCCCGTTGTTCCATGTAATTATTCTTCCCAAACTCTCTCCATTATCTTTGTGTCCATCTTCCACTTCAAAAACACCGGTTGACGTACCATTTTTCTATTTCATTAAAAATAGTTCAAAATTAATACAACAAAATAAAAACCTTATAAAAAAGCCCAATTCTGTCAGGCAATTCAAGTATTTGTTCACAAACAAAATTAACAAACGGCAATGAACAAACTTGATCAATAAAAGGGTCGGCATATCCGTCAAATATTAGTTCCCCAACTTCAACTTCCAAGAAAGGAGTTTGGACAAGTAAAGCTGCTATTGCCGGCTTGAAAATAAAAAAAAAATAAAATTTTTGTGACCAAACATTTATTGACTAAGTGACAGGAAATGTTCAGGTTTACATTTTGAAAGAATTCAAAGGTCAAAAGATCAAAAACCCAAATTTTTCTTAAAAAAATTTTTGGCTGCTTTTTTAGCCAGCTCAGAGTCCGAATGAGCAACCCAGTTTTTGTTAGAAAATCAAACCTCATTATAAGATACCCCCCCCCCCACTAGATAAGATGCCTCCAACACTAGATAAACCTCGATTTAAGATACGATTCTTCTATACTCCCCTCCCCCCTTATTTATAAGTAATCTGGGGGAAATCATTATAAGAGACGATTTTTAAGCCCCATAAGCCCTACGATTATATATTTCCAGCCCCCGATTATATTAGTTTTTACCCTCATAGCCGGTTTTGATGCCGCGTCAACAAACTTTTGATAAACCAAATTAGGTATCCATATTCTGTTGTAGAGTGAACATTCTTTACAGGAAGCTTCTTCCTACAATTGAGAAATTTCATGTAAAAAACAAATCTTTCTCCTTACATTAAACTTGTAGTATTGAAATGTCTCATAAATAACAGATCCATTCCCCCTTGAGTGAATTCTTCGTTTTTGTGTTTGATCAAAGACATAAGGGCCTAGTTTTGTTACATTTGGAATTGAACCTTTAGTGACTTTAAAAAAAAAGAAAAATAAAAATTATTTAAGAAAACTTTACCTTCATCAGGGTTTTTAACTGAGAATGTGTACATATTTGAGCGATAAAAATATTGAGGGTTTGACCATTTATCGAGCAATATTGTCCCTGTATCCAAATTAGATGTCTGAAATTTTTGGATAATTTTATTTTAGAATTTTCAAATGGGGGGGGGGATCTCAGAGAGGCGCCGAAATTAATTTTAAGAAGCAGAAGATGAAACACCCAAAAAGACGAAACGCGAAAATTAATTTAAAAATGTGAAAGTCGAAACGCCAGAAAAGTCGAAACTTCGAAGTAAGAAGGGAAATGCGAAATAGCAATGCGAAACCTCTGACGTTTAATTATAAAATATCTCCTCCCTTCTAAACCCTCCTACTATATAATTTACCTGTCTAATATTAAATTCAATCATTGTTTGAAGAAAAATAAAAGTTGCAAAGGAAATCACAAAAATAATTAAAGAAATTACGAAGGCAGAGAAAGTGAATAAATGCCATCTTTTAGTATTTTCAGGCAAATATTTATAAATTTTCTTTCCTTCCATTTGAAGAAAAAATTTTTTGCTAAAAAATTTAAAAACGTAAAAAAAGAAAAGAGAAAATTTATTTAAAGAACATCAATCAATTAATAAAAATAGGCGTGGGAGAAAAAGACCGCGCGAAAAATGATTGAATGAAAAAAGAGGAATAAAGAAGGGAATAAGGAAGGAAGAGAAAGAAACTTTCCGGAATTAATTATTTTTCCGGAACAAAATAATATATAGGTATATACTTATGTAATTAATACGTTTTCAGAATTTAGACAAATATTTAAGAAATACATATAAGAGATTTCAGAGAAATAAAGAAAACCCTTTCCGGAATGTTTAAATATTAAAATTCTGATTTTTCCGGAAAAAGCATTTAATAAAATTCTGATTTTAAAATTAATTCTGGGTTTTCCGGAAAACATTTTAGAAATTCTGATTTCTTTCATTTAATAAAATTAATTCTGATTTTCCCTTTCCGAAAAACAAATTAAAATAATTTCAGAATTTCTTTTTCTAGAACATCAATCAATCAATCAATGAGGAAAGAATAAAAGGGAAGAAAAAGCGCGGATAAATGGAAGTGCGTGAAAAAAGGGGAAAACGAGCAGAAAAATAAGAATAATGGAATATGTATTTTAAAAAATAAATTGAATGTGCCCATTTTTTTATTGTATTTTAGTTAAAAAAAGGGAAAAAGTATGTAGAATCGGAACAGGATCATTGTGTACCGCCGTTTGTGTACCGCCGTTTGTGTACGGCCGTTTGTGTACCGCCGTTTGTGTACCTGGCCGTTTGTGTACCGGCCGTTTGTGTACCGCCGGTTGTGTACCCACTCAAAGGGGGACGTTTGTGTACCCGCATTATTTTTTAGATTTTTTTTTGTTTTTTTAATATTTTTGTTTTTCTTTTAGGGTTTTCAACTAATTCTGCTAAAATTAGTTGACCGATAACCCACACAAGTCCATCCGGGCACTAACTTTCTCAAGGAGGACGAGAGGGAGGACGAGAATCTTGTGTAGGTAAAAGTTTAATTTTTATTTTTTAATTTTAGATTTTTTTTAAAGATGGCCTAAACTTTGCTCGCCATGTGCCGGACTTCCTCACATGGCTACAACGATGGGAAATTTGAAAAGGTTTGGAATTTTTATTTTGTTTTTTAAGTTTTTATTTTTTTAAATATTTTAGTTGATTTCGTCAGTTTCTGACTGACGATTTCAAGTCGCAGTTTCTGAAGGAACGAAGGTGGTGAAATTAGGCAAACATCGACAACAAAAACGAACCCAAACGGCCCTCCTTAGGGCCACAAATTTAATAAGTGAAACGAGACATTACAATGGTTTTTTTTATTTTTTGATAAAATTTTTAAAAAATATTTTTATTTTTTTTCACATTTTGATTTTTTTGTATAATGGTAAATTCTGCCATAGTCCGGAGATTAGGTAATAGTTCCTCCGTAGCTTCACAAAAACAGCTTTTCCAGCGAAGATTGTTGGTCATAACTTTGTTCAGAATCATCCAACCGAGCTGATTTTGGTGTCATTCAACTCAGCTCGTCGAGCCCTTTCGAATGAGCTATCATTAGGGCTCGGATTTATATTTAAATACGGCACAAAAACGACTTTGGTCATGAACAAGCCTTGACTGACCGGTGTCTGACTATTGAGTTCTAATAGAAGAAAGACAGAAATGACCGGTGATAGATGTAATAAAAAATGGAGAGACAGTGGTCAGTTCGCGGGCAGGGCCGCTTCAGTGATTTATTTAAATATAAATCCGAGCCCTAGCTATCATTTGTATATTAAAAATTTTTTACCCAAAATTGAATTTGACCCCTTTTTTGCTTTTCAGGGTCTTTAACTCATTCCCCTGAATTCTGGATTGACCCAATATCAAATCAAAATCTCTCAATTATCCTCCTTAATCACTCGAAATGAAATTATATCCTCTTTAATCCCTCCTAATCCCAAAAATAATGCGGGTACACAAACGTCCCCCTTTGAGTGGGTACACAACCGGCGGTACACAAACGGCCGGTACACAAACGGCCAGGTACACAAACGGCGGTACACAAACGGCCGTACACAAACGGCGGTACACAATGATCCCCTACCGATGTAGAATTTAGTATTTTGTCTTCTCTCCTATCCGGCCTTTTCAGAGCTTGATTTAAAAAATACATAAATTTTAAATTATTTAATGAATTTGATTAAGTAAAATGAGTAATTCTAGGCATAATTAATAAAAAATAAAATCAAAAAAAATTTTGCAAAAAAATTTAGATAACGCTAAAATTACCGTGATTGAACAATTATTGACAAAGTTACGATCAAAAATGAACTCCCATAGAAGTTCACCTGTTTCGGATTTTAATGTAGGGGAGGTCAAACGGAAAAGTTCCAAAATTTCGAAAAACGAAAAGACTAAATAATAACTAAAAAATCTTTCCTTTTTTTAATTTTTAAAACATTTTTTTCAAATAATTTAAAAGGCCTCAAGTTCCACCCGCAATTTGTTTTTAAATTTTAACTGGTTTCCCGCGCATTTGATAGAAGAAATGGCCGTCATCGTTATATAAAAAATACTTTCACACATTTACTATTTTACTATAGAAAATTGATTGGGCGTAAAAACTAATTTTTTTTAATTTTAAAATATTTTTTAAAAAATAAACAAAAAATTGCTCTAAAAATTAGGTCAGTTTAGGTAGGGAAAAGAATAATTAAAGAATTAAAGAACAATTAAATTAAAGAACAGAGCAGGACGTTGTGAAGGTGGTTAACATTGTGGAATAGCAAAATAATTTTAAATTTACTCAAAGTTTCTCAATTTAAAGTTTTCCTTATTTCAAAATTATTTCCCGAATAATTTTTAAAATTTCCTAAAAATTTTAGTTTAACAATAAATTTTCAAATAATTTTTTGAATATAAAATTTAAAAAAAACTCAAAAAATTTTCTTTGATTATGGATCAAAAGATGTTTGGTTATTGACAAAAATATTTTTTTTCAAAAAATTCTTTATTTTTTAATTAAATAAAGTACAAAATATTTAGTAAACACAATTAAAATAAAAATAAAATTTAAAAAGTTCTCACTCAAAAACAATAAAAAATGTAACAAAATAATTACAAGATTGTTGTTAATATTACGTAGTAAACATTAAAAATTTAAAAATATTTTTAACGTAAAAAAGTACTTTGCGGATTTTTTAATATAAAATTTAAAACAGAACTTGAAGAGATGGGCGAAAATATGTAAATTTTCCTCTCAACAAAACAAAAACGAAAAAAAAATAAATTTCACTTTTTCAATAACCAAGACTCTTGAACAAGAGCTCGTCTAGAGCCAATCTCTAATCACAATTCATGGTTATTTTCGGTTATATTTAGGGTTGCCATTTTCTATGTCCGGCTCGATATTTTTTCGAGCTTGGGTTTCTCGAGTCAATTCATTCGAGCTTTTTTCGAGCTAAACAGCCTCGGCTCGCTCGGTCTTTCGATACTTGGATCGAACGAATCGGAACCCTAGCTTTATTGTCCCACAATTTTATAGAGGCCAGCTTTTACTTTTCAAGTAGCCAAACACCTTTCTTACTAGAGTTGTCGATTTTTGGGAAGGCTTTTCGGTTATCAGGAACCGAAAAATCCTGGTTTCGATTCCGGAACAACACTCGCTTTCCCATTTATTAATTTTTAGCGTCCGTGATAATTAAAAAAAATTAATTTACAATTGAAAAAAATTTTTTTAACCAAATTTAAAAAAAATTCCCAAATAAAAAATATTATTATTACGCTTTATTATTGTTATTAAATATTAGGGATCGGATTTTTAGATTTTTAATCTATTCTTTCTTGAAATAATTATTTTTGTTAAAATAACCTTAAGAAATAATTCAAAATCTTTTGTGGAACAATGACAAAATAAAAAATTGTTAAATATTAACAAACATATTCTGTGATTAATAATTTAGGAAAAATGCAAGAATATGTTAAAAATATAAAATTGTGATTCATAAAAATATCGGTATATTTTCCTGAATAGGATTTTGGGAGGATTTTATAAAGAAGCAAGATTGATACCTTGAAAATTATCGATTTACAAGGACGAGATTAGTATCTTCCTGTCCTATCTCTGGTAAATAGTGTGAGAAGCATTAAAAAAGTTTTTCGTTTAAGGGACCTAATGTCATCTATTCTGGCATTTTTTGTAGCCTTCATTTAGATATCTATTCTGTTTTTACAACCTAAAAATCCGATCCCTAATTTAAAATAGTACAAGGAAAACACGTATACATATCACAGTATTAAACAACAATAAAAGTGAAGAGAACAATAATACACATACGTGATGGGCAAAAATATTATTAAGAAAAGAATTTATTTATTGAAATAATTTTGCAAAAAAAAGGGAAAAAATTTTCGAAAAAATTTCCGAATAAATTCGATTTCCGAATAAACTTTTTAGAGCCTACAGTTATGCGAAGAATGACTGAATAAAAATTAAATTAAATTCAAAAGCAGACCCAAGGAAACCAACAAATCAGGTATTTTAGTTTCGCTATCTTTTTTTTTGCAACGGGCTCATAATGGTCAGACCAAATATAAAGTTGGGTTTGTCAAAATTTACAAAAATAAAGTTTTCAAGTTTTGATAATAATAATAATCTATAAAGGAGGCCCAAAGTTAATTTTTCCCAAGTTTATTACGAAAAAAGTTTTCAGGTTTATTTTTTAATGTATTCATTCAAGTTTGCCTTTCTCAAGTTTAAAACTTGCAAGTTTATTTTTCATAAGGTTTCTAGTTTGTAACCGGAAAAGTTTCAGGTTTTTAAATTTGTCTTTTTCAAGTTTTATTCTCCCAAGTTTATTTTCCCAAAGTTTTTAATTTTTCTTTTTTTTTGCATAAAAACAAAGTTGGAATGAATTTTTTATGTGCTTTTATATAAAGAGATAAAAAGATTGAAAGAAAGAATAATTTATTAGGCAAAAAGTGCGGCAAAAAATAAAAGAAAAAAATTATATTGTGCTTTTTATATTCTTTAAAAGGTTAGAAGAGTTTTTATAGCAAAAAATATTTTTATATAGGTAAAATTGGGCTTTAAAAAAACAATCGAATCTCAGTTTTACGTACTCTTCTCTTGAAATAAAAAAAATTGCTAACCAAATTTTAGAGGATGTCGTCTCTTAAATGAAGGTGTAGCTAATATTGGGGGTATCCTATAGTGAAGTTCGTCTAGTATTTAGTGTATGTTAGATCGAGGTGTAGTGAAATTGAGGTTCGACCGTAACCATTTGAAAAAAAATTTTTTTAGGCCCAAACAAAAGTTAGGAAAAAACCAATTTTATAGGTAGAAAAAAGAATGAAAGGAAAGAGAGATACAAGTAAAAATAAATATTTTGTGTATATATTATTCGTTTCTTAAAAATATATTTATTATGGAATGAAATTATATTTACGGAGCACCCCCACCTTACCGCCACTCTCGAACAATTTGGTTAATTTTTAAAATAAGCTCCAAGATAGCCCAATGGTGTAACCTCAGCGGTAAGCGAGGGATATCCTCAAAATTATTATACTTTTGAAGAAATAAATTATATAAATTATTATTAAAAAAACCAATAACTAAACCAAAAAATGTGCTCATTCGTGCATTATTTCTCACCTTTCCTCAAAGCCCCTTATTATTTTTAGACTCCCCTTTGTATTCCTTAAATGTCCAATGTTGATAAAGATTGGAAGTGTCACAATTATTCATTAACAATTTACTTGCATCTTTACCCATTTCCAAACATTTTCCAGAAACTACATGCAATAATTGATGTTTCTAAAAAATATTTTTTTAATTTAGAAAATCGAGGAATTGATGAATTTTGGTGTAAATGAAATTTTAATCACCAAAATATAAAAATTAGAGTTCAGAGATTTGAGAATCTAAAATAGCAAGTTGGTCTAAGCTATGGAAGGGAAATCTAAAAAAGAAAGCAAATAAAAAATGCTTCGGATCAGACCTGTGCGAACAACTCAAAAAAAATTTGCGACGAAACGAAACAAAAAATTATACAAAACGTTTCGCGCAGGTCTGCTTCGGGTCTATTAAAAAGAGGCAGCGCTAAGCTGTGCTCCAGGTGGTCGGTAGGGCACCTCTACGTGCGGTGGTGGTGACGCTGTTATGAGTAAACAACCCCAAGAAACAATTCCTATTCGAGCCTACCAATTTTTAAATAAAATAAAAAAATTTTATTTTTATAAAACAAACATCATGATCGTAGCGCCATTCTTGATTTCCTTTCTATAAAAAAAATCTTTTTTAATTTTAAATTTATAAATAGAGAGGGGATTTTATACAAATTGGTATTTTTTACAAATTTGGCATGATGTGTGTATAATGCACAAAAAACATAAAAATCCCCTCTCTATTTATAAAAAAACAGACCATGCTATGGCAAGGAAATATGATAACATCCTTTCCAGCATAATCAATACAAGACTCGTCTCTACGAATTTCTCCATCTTTACTTAGCATCCAATACTAAAAAAATAAAATTGTGAGTTTAGTTGAAAATTAAATAATAAATAAGGGGTGGGGTTCTACACGAATCTGAAAAATCAAGACCCGAAAAATTTCCGGTACAAATACCAGTTCCGGACATTTAATAAGGAACAAATAGAGGGTAGAGAGGAATATAGAGAGGAAACTCTGTATCTCCCAAATTCATGATTTAGTCTCGTAACTGATCATCCTTACAAATGAAGGCCGAATTGAGGAAAAAACACGGGGCGAGGCTTCAAAATTTTCTTAGAATTGATTTCGGATCGGAAAAAGTCGGGGGATTTGGGCAATCTTTTCACTTAAACTTTTCAATTTTTTAAAAACCTCTCATCACTCTCGTAGCAAAAGCTTTATATAAACACTTGCCTTTTTTACTAAACTTTCCAAAAACAACAACAAAAAACCTGATTTCCCCCTTGATTATGACACCAATAAAGCCCCAATTTTCGAGTATGTCGCCTTTTATTTGCCCAATCAAGACATATTTTTGAGCCTCCTCCAGCACACCGAACCTAATTTTTTTATATTTTTCCAAATTATTCAACAAATTTTCCAAAATTTTTTTAAAAAGCAAGCGACGAATATAAAGCTTTTGCTATACACCATTATCTTTATAAAAATAAAAAAATATTTCCCAAGCAAATATTTTCAATTAATTTGAAGTGTCCGATGTTCATGCTGTGGAAAAATGTGTGGATGGGAGATGGAATAGAACCATCACGGAAAGGGCCCAAACCGAAAGCACAACCGACTGTGCCACCATCCAACCCGATGATGGGTTATTTATTTTCATTTATGTTCTTTCTGCAAGTGCGGACAAAACACTCCTTCCGCCTTGCGAAATCAAGCGTCCTCGCTTGTTGCCTGTCTTCAATAACTATCATCTGTTTCGATTTTTGGAGAGCACACACAAAAACCCATTTGTGGGTTTTTTTATTTTCTTACTCGCTGCGCATCATCGGCGTCTTACGCATTTTTATATTAGCCTCACACCACCGGCTAGCCTATCACAACTCAGGCATTTTTAATTTCTCACAGGGTCTTCTCCTTTTCTCTCCACAGTGACAGAATGTCAGATCATCACAGCATTTGAAGGTTCGCTTAAATTTCCTCGGGCTATACCCGGCCTGTGCGACCGCGCCATTGAAGTGTCCGATGTTCATGCTGTGGAAAAATGTGTGGATGGGAGATGGAATAGAACCATCACGGAAAGGGCCCAAACCGAAAGCACAACCGACTGTGCCACCATCCAACCCGATGATGGGTTATTTATTTTCATTTATGTTCTTTCTGCAAGTGCGGACACAACATAATTGACACAATCTTCTCCTAAAATTTTTTTTTCAGGCACCTCTCCTCCACATAATAAGATATGACCAAAGTAGATGTTCAAAGAGAAATATTTTGAAGAAAAATCTCGCTTATGGAGTGGTTTGCGTCTTGCGACACAATAGATAACGGGAAGACAGGAGCCTCCTCTCTCTCTCATATCAAAAAGGAGGGGGGATACGCAAACCTACTTTTTTTAAAAGTAACCCTACCATAAGCCAGACCTCACTACTTAAAGACATTGACAACTCCCTCCCTCTCTCTGTTTTTTACCTGATTCCCTCCTTGCTCATGGCAAGGATAAGGCACAACAGGTTTATCGCCGGCATCCTCCCCAACAGCAGAATCAACACAAGATTGAGGAGGATTACCCCCACCACCTTCCAAGGCACTATTACCAACCCCATTTCGAATCTGAAAAATACAAAAAAATACAAACTTGATTCCCGCCTTGATTGTGACAAGGCCATAAATTTATTGGCTTGTCCTTCTCGTGTCTTCCTATCGCACAATCGAGGCAACGCGCATTGTTTTCTATTGCGGCATTTCGAACCTAGAAAAATAGAAAAACAAAGCTAAAAATAGAAGAAGCCTCGACTGTGAATTTTTTAAAAATTTGAAGCAAAATTTTTTTGATTTTTTTGAATGTCAAAAATTCAAAATGCCAAAAATTTTAAAATATTAAAAAAAAGCCTGCAAATTAGCTCTAAAATCAGCAAAAAATAATACATAAAACTACAAAACACCAAAAGCAGGCAAGAACACGAAAGCTTATTTTTAAGAAAACTCGAGAAGAATTCAAGCAAAAAAAACAATTTTAAGCGCAAAGCATTCGAAACTTTTTTTTAATTTATATAAAAAAACAAACCTCTCCTTTGGCAATAGCTTCACCAGGAATAAATAATTCTGGGAAAATGTTGTCCAAATACCATTTGAATGTTTTACATTGTAATTTCTAAAAAGAAGAAAATAGAAATATTATTTAAGATGGACCCCCCCCCCCTCCCCTAAAATTAAATTCTAAATTAAAAAACCTCTCTAAGTTGTTTCCGACTAGAAATATCTCCAAAATCACCCAATTGATTATTAATCCTTTCATAATAATATTCTTTATATTCATCTAACCAAACTTCTGCCAATCTTATAGAATTTCTTTTAAGGACATTTACTCCAGTTCTCCATTTATAAGGTGATCGTTTTCTAAAAATGTGTCCAACATGTGAACATGGAACAATTTCAAGACGTCCACCACACATCCAAATCTTTTAAATTATTTTTTATTTAAATATTTTTTAAAGACACAATCAAACTTTACTATAAGATTACCCTTGGAAAGAATGTGTATATTAAATAGAGGGTATCGCTTTGGCAGCACCTCTAAACAATGATTGTCGTAAATTGAGGTATATACATATAATATTGAAAATTTATTTTATAGTGAGGTTTCATAGGTAGGTAAGCTAGAGATCGGACCAATATCCATTTCGGATCTCGATCGGCATCAGGAACAGTAAAATAGACCTTAAATTTAGCGGTCGTGGGTTATTTTATAGAACGTATACTGTAATGACTCTCATTATAAGGTACGAATTTTTAGGCCTAACATAAAGAGTAATTTATATTGAGGCTTGATTTAATAAAGTATTAAAAAACCTTAAAAGAAAGTTCCAAATTTTCACCACCCCAAATATCAAAACCATCATCATAAGTTCCAAGTTTTTCAAAATAAGCTCGATCGATAGAAAACAATCCTCCAGCCTTTAGAAAATTATTTTTTAGTTTATTTAAATTTTTTAAAATCATTTTCATTGAAGAAACTTTTATATTTTCCTTTCATTTTTCTTCAAATTTTTTTCCTTTTTTTCTTCCAAATAATATTTATTTTTTCTTACTAAAATTAAATTTAAAATTTAATTTTAAAAAATTAAAAGCTGAATCTGGATAAGGTTCGAGGGAGTTCTCCCCAATATCAAAACGCTTTTATGACACGGCAACTCACTCAAAAAACCAGTTTCCATTTTGGGCCTTTTCAAAACTCGAATCCCACTTAAAAATCAACAAAACAAAAATCAAACCATAGTTGGAGAACGAACAGGATCAATATTTCGTCGATTTTTGCGGTCTCTTTCAGGAATAGGATGCCAATTAAACTGCAAAGACCAATCAAAACCTTTTTTTAAAGAAAATATTTTTTTTTAATTTTTCAAAAAAAAACCTCCAACATTAGTAAAGAACGCTTTAGAATAATGATATTCAAATGTATTATCATCTATTACATCAATAACTGGACAAACTACAGTTGTTGGATCTTTTTTTATTCGTGCAAGAAGTGGCTCTAGCCATCCTAAAAAAGGAAGAAAAAAATTATTTTTGGATACATAATCCTTGATTTGGGTCAGAGCCAGGCCAGTAGCTGGGGGGAGGCGTAAATTTTTAAAATTTCGAAGGCCGAACGATTGAGAAGATTCCCAGCTCTTTAGCTATAAACTCTGAGGTCGATTAAGGATGCCATTCTTGCTTCCCTATTTAGATTTAGAAAAGATTCGCAAACCTTCCATACACTCGCAATGGCTGTCCAAATAGGTTATAACCTTTCCATTTGCTTTAGTAGCACCACGAAGACGGGCTCTAATCAAACCTTCCCTCTTTTCCAAGCGCATAATTTTGACCTAAAAATTAAAAAAAAATTTTTTATAAAAAAACAAACTTTTGGAAATTGCGCCATATATTCCTCCAAAGGTTTTTTCAAATGCTCCATATCAGAAAAATCATCTACCAGCACAACATCCTTTAACAATTTGTCTGGAGTTCGTTCAATAACGCTGTGTACTGTTCTCAACAAAACAGACCAAGCCTCATTATGAAAACAAATTACAACAGAAGAATCAGGCAAATCTTCCGGATATTTTTCTGTTTTACAACTTAAAAATTTGTTTTAAGTTTCCAAAAAATTAAAAAAAAACTCTTCATCGGCCGTAGGTGGAAGCGAACGATGAACTGAGATCAAATCAGAAGCATATTGGTTAAAAGCATTATTGACAAATCCAACGTCATATTTCTTCTTTTCTTCAGGAGTCAATTTCTAAAAGCAAAAAAGAAAATAGAAGAAAAAATTTTCAGACAGATTTTGTTGCGGAGAAGCTGTCGAATATGGATACAAAACGAAAATATTAGATTATATGTCATCCGAAAGAGCTCGTCGAGCTGAATCAAATGACACCAAAATTATTCCGCAGGAGCAACATCAACTCAACAAACTATTACCGAATGCCATATATATAATTCAAGTATTCTCATTTGGTAGCCATATTCGACAGATTTACCAAAATTGTCAACAAAATAAATTAAAAAACCGCCAACATTTTTCGAGAAAAATAAACAAAATTTAACCTCTTTATCAATTTTGACAGCCTTCCCTCCCTCTCCTTCCTGATTTAGATCACCCTTCTTATATATTGGAGATTGAGGATCGAAGAATACTTTCCTCGGTTTTGGAATATTGCCAACCTAAACAAAAATTCTTTTTAATTTTTGAAATAAAAAAAAACGTCTTGATTTCCACTCTTTTCTTCATCCTCTTTATGTTCCGATTTTTCCTTTATATCGTCTTTAACGGCCAAAGGAGGACCAAAACTTAAAAAAGATTTATTTAAAAAATCAAATTAAGTAAAAAACCCTCTAATTTGTTGAATATTCTCTTTAATTTTTTTATATTCTTCCTTAGCTTCATCAACATGTAACCTCTCAACTGGCTTATCATCGACTATTTGCTTAAATATTTTTTAGTTAAAATTTTTAATTTGCGGATGTTTGCGGACAAATTTTAGAAAAGAAAAAATCCGCAAAAATAAAAAAAATTTTGCGAACAGATTTTAGAGAAAGATTTAGAGAAGGATTTTAGAGAAAGAAGAAAATGTCCGAAAAATCTAAAATATCTTTTTGCGGACAGAATATCAAACAGATACAAAACCCCCCGCAAAAACCCCACAAAAATTAAAAAAAAAACTTACCACATTAGGTTTATTAAAAAACACAACAAAAAGTAGCCAAACAACGGGAATTAAAATTAACAATTTAAATATTGTAGATCGGCGCCTAATAGTTATTATTTTCATTGGAATGTTGCCCAAAAATTATTTACAAAAAAAAGTAAATTAAAATAAATAATCTAATAAATCTACTGAAAAAAAAGAAAAAAATTAATTTAAAAGCTGAATAAATAAAAATTAAAAAAAATTTTAAATTAAAATTTAAAAAATATTCGGATATTTGCGGACAGATTTTGTGAAGAAAAAAGTCCGCAAAATAATTCCGCAAAAATTGATTATTTATTTCGTTGCATATTGACAGGCAAAAAATTAAAAAAGGGACGGGATAATTTATTGGAATATATCGGATACGTATACAACAATTTTTAGAAAATTTATTGAAACGTGTCTTAGCTTGCCTTTTTGAGTTGTTTATAAAATTTTTAAAAATGAAAAAAAATCGACTGAAAAATTGGTTTGGATCATTCTAACGCCAAGACGTTCGGGCGCGCACCTCAGAACTGACACTTAGCTTAAACTTAGTTTCCTGAGAATTTTCACAAAATTTTTTACCCAATTAAATCCTTCAAAATTTTTATCAAATATTTTAAAAGTTAGTGTCGATAAACCTCGAAAAACTAGAGCATTTTCGACAAAAGCAACACATTTTTGGCCATAATTTCTGAAATTCTGGTCCAAAAATTCTGAAATTTTTGGAAAGATAGAGGGTTATTATTTCAAAAATTTTATCATTTTAAGTAATCAATTGATTAATTTATAAGCTCTCGCGCCAACTTGGACCCGCGCCAAAACGTCCTAGTCCTCCCTTGCCCACCAACTCCAACTATCTTTAAAAACATTTTTATAAATGAAAAGCTTTAAAAAATATATGCTTATTACTCAATCCACGTTAAACAAAAATTATTTTAAAAAAGCAAAAGAAAAATATTATTTAATATTGGGATACACGTTGCAACCCAGTCATTAAAAAATAAAAAAAATTTTTTTTAACATTTTTAACACCTTTTAAATTTTGCACAAAAAAACAAATAAATAGAACAACAATTTTTAAAATAAATTTTTTAACAAAACCATTATTTCTCTTTACAAAAAATACTTTGGATTTAAAAAAGATTTTTTCTATCAATTATATTAAAAAGAAAAACAAAAAAAAATCTTTCTTTATGGGAAAGGAAACATGTTTTTGTTGCTTCATTTTTGGCCAACAAAAAATTGTTTTTTATGTAAATTTTTTTCTCCCTTTTTTTACTTTTAATCTAATGCATATTCCTTTTTTAAATTTTTTGTTGATTGTTTTTTTAATATTTTTATCATGTAGATTAATAAAATCAATTTTTATAAAAACGGTCGAATATCGATAAAAGGTCACCCTTGGGATCGAATTAAATCGACGTCCTTACAGAAGTGAAGTGTTATCGAGTTTAAATTTTTACTGATTTTTTCAACAAAAATAATTTTTTTCGAGAGGAAGAGGGTTTTTTTAAGGTCTTTCCCTCTTCAATGGGAATAATTTCATTTTATCCCTCCCACCTTTTTAATAAATTTTTTCAAAATTATTTTTGAAAAAAATCCAAAGTATTACCCCACAAAAATCAACAACAACAAAAATTACTTCTAATTATCCAAATAAAAATAATCTCCAGATTTTTTCTGTTCTGTATCAAGTTGAGAATCTTTTTTATTTATTCTCGGTCTATGGCTTTCCGCGTCCCGTCTAAATGTAATATTTAATTGACTTAAAAATTGATTCATTCCAGTAACTAGATTTTGAGGACTGAAAATTTTAAAAGAAAAGTTTTAAAAAAATTTTTAATGTAAAGACAGAGTAACACCCTAAGTCTTCGGGGTCAGGTGTGTCGGGGATCGGGATTTGGTGGGGTAGAGGCTTTAAGGTTCGGGTAAAATAGCTACCCTATTTTATAGTAAGGCCCGCCCCTAGTCCCTTTCCATTATCCAAAAAGAAATAAAAATTAAAAATTCCAAACGAATTTGCTCTCGCTTTAATTGCTGGTTGTCCATCAAAAACAATTACTCTATCAGCCAAATATGTACTCATAATAAAATCGTGTTCAACAACAAAAGCTGTCTTTTTTGCATGAAGTACAAATCTTTTTTTTAAATTATTTTTTAATAAATTAATTTAAATTAAAAAAAACCTTTTAATAACTTTAGCAGCGTGTAAACGCTGTTCCGAGTCTAAATAAGCACTTGGCTCGTCAATTAAATAAACATCTGCTGGGGTTCCAAGGCAAAGAGTTAAGGCTTTAAAAATAAAGACTCTTTAGTAAAAGATTTGCCCTCACGCTAGCGATAGCTAGAAATAATTAAGTGACAACCAGGACAAACAAACAAAAATTTTTAAAAAAATTACACAGACCTACACGTTGAAGTTCACCACCAGAAAGATTTTGGACCTCAAAAATAAATTTCAAAAATTTTTAAAATTTAAAAAAAAAAACTTCAAAGTCAATAATATTGTCAATATTTAAAGGATTTAAAACATCAGTTTTGAATGCAGGATGATTAAAAAGTCCTGGTATTTTTGTTAAAAATAAATCTCTGACTGTTCCTTCAAATTTTGGAGCAATTTTTTGAGGTTTATAAGATATTGAAAGTTCAGGAATCTCTCCTTTAGATGCTGTTGGCTTTATTTGTCCAGCTAGAAGACTGAAAGAAAAAAGAATTAATTATAAAGGATCTGGGAAATATCTGGATATGGACATAAATTAGAACTTCGGACTAGTTTCGGATTCGAATATGCGGATCCAACAACTCTAACCACGAAACACAGCAAGCCTGTTTACCTCAGTTTATAATTAAGTTCAAAGGTTAATTTAACCAGGAAAGAATAGCTGAACGAAGTTCTATGACACTTTTATGTTTATTTATGGTTATCTGCTCTCTCGTGTAATGGTACCAAATGAACAATTTTAAAAGTAAGTGGGGAATATTCTCTATCTCCCCACATAATCAAAAAAATCACACCCATTTCCTTAAAGATATTAAAAAACATTATGTGTATATACCGAATAAACGTGGTTTTTCCTGTTCCATTTTCTCCAAGCAAAACGATAATTTCAGAATCAGTAAAATCCCCCTTTTGAATTGTCAATTCAAATTTTTTAGTTTGCCCAACTTCATATGTCATATCGGGATAAACATAACTAGTTGTTCTTTTTATATCTTCACGCTCTTCTGATACTTTAAATGAAAGGGAAGAATCTCTAAAAAATTGAAAATTTTTTTTTAATTTTTAGATAAATCTATTTGAACCTATTTTGGATGTTTTTACATTTTTTGTCACTTATTTTGGTCATTTTTTGAAAACCCTTACATTTTTTTCAAAAATTCAAAAACTTTTTCTTAATTATTATTTTTTTGTGATAATTTTGAAAAATAAAAATCCTTTCACATTTTGGTCTTTTTTGACCACTTTGTCGGCTTTTTTCGCAATCATTTTCCTTTATTTTGTCTCCTATTTTGGCATTTAATACAAACTATTTAAGTGTGCATGTTAAGGGTTTTATTACCTAAAAATCCGATCCCTAACAATAAGTATATTTTTATTTCTTACCGAAAACGCATATTTTCCGATGCAATAAATCCTAAAATTTTAAAAATAATATAAAAATCTTTTTTTTAATTCCCAACCATCCAAAAATTGATTAATTCCTTCCCGAACACCAGAAGGATGTGTTACAACACCATAAGCACCAGGAAATCCATATAATAAACAAATATGGTCAGAAAGATAATCCAAAACTGCCAAATCGTGTTCAACAACAATTATATAACTTGAAAAATAAAAATTAATAATTTTATGTTTCTGTACAAGAAAATGTTTGCAAATTGCGAAATAATGGATGGACATGGACTTTTTATTTTGTCATGTCTAACCAAAGGAAAAAATCTTACTTTTTTGCGTCAGACGATATTGGAGGACGGGAACTATTTACTTTAACTACCCACCCAAAAAAATTACCGGGAGATTTATTTTTAGACAATACATATATGTCAATCGAAAGAGCTCGACGAGCTGAGTCGAATGATACCAAAATCAGCTTGCTTTGACGATTTTGATAAAATTACAAGCAACGCTGAGATCCATCACCGACACCCATAGGTTTGCTCCGACCATTTTGAGTCAGAGCAAACTTGATGTCATTCAAAGCAAGTAGCCAAGCTCTTTTGGCGGGGGCATCTAAGATATGTGCAACCTTTGATTGACATATAAATTGTCCAAATTTAAAATCTCCCGGCAAAATTCTTGGGATGGGTAGTTAACGTAATTAAGTTCCGGAGGGTGATCGGGAGACTATACAATGGTACAAGGAGAAATTTTGCTGGACCATTAGAAAAATAAACGAACAAACTTTTGATCTGTCAATAACTCCCTAATTACTCTTGCAGCTGTTAAACGTTGTCTAACATCCAAATAACTGGATGGCTCGTCAAACATATAAATATCTGCTTTTTGTATTGCTGCTACCGAAATAGCAAATCGTTGCAACTCGCCTCCAGAGAGTTGATTGACTTCTCGGTCAAGTAAATGGGTTAATTCTGAAAAAGAAAACAAAGGGAGCTAACAAATAAGAAGTAAAATATAAGAGAATCACCTTACACGGAGAGGTTGCGAGGTGTCCGAGCTAAAAACGGTCGAGACCGGGCTCATTCGATAGAGAATATGCCCTTTCTAGCAAGGATTTTTTGCCGTTTTTGCCCGTTTTTTGATCTGGCCAAGATATGGCCCTCCAAAGTCCCAAAATTTGCCATAATTTTCCCCCTTCAAATATAAACTTTTAATAATGTTTAATTTTGTTGGCGCGGTGGTGTAGTGGTGAGTGTGCTTGACCTACCCTTTTTCTCTAAAAAGTTCGATTCTTTTTTGGGTTTTATTATTTTATCTAACTGTTTTAAACTTTATTTATTCCTTTTCAACAAAAAAAATTTTTTTTTGTTTGAAAAAAATTTTTTTTAATTTTTTTAAAATTTTTAAAAATTAAAAAAATAAAAAAAAACTAGAATTAGCTACAGCTGGCACATCGAATAAAATAGATTCCAAACAATAAGGTGTATTACATCCAAAAGGGGACAATAATGGAAAACAACGGATCGGTTGATCGAATTCTCCCGGGGAATCTTCTCCTCTCCACCCAATAACTCGTCAGAATAAAGTTTTTAAAAAAAATTTTTTCAAACAAAAAAAAATTTTTTTTGTTGAAAAGGAATAAATAAAGTTTAAAACAGTTAGATAAAATAATAAAACCCAAAAAAGAATCGAACTTTTTAGAGAAAAAGGGTAGGTCAAGCACACTCACCACTACACCACCGCGCCAACGGAATTAATGCATTATTAAAAGTTTATATTTGAAGGGGGAAAATTATGGCAAATTTTGGGACTTTGGAGGGCCATATCTTGGCCAGATCAAAAAACGGGCAAAAACGGCAAAAAATCCTTGCTAGAAAGGGCATATTCTCTATCGAATGAGCCCGGTCTCGACCGTTTTTAGCTCGGACACCTCGCAACCTCTCCGTGTTAGCTACGGGCCCGATCTCAGTCAGTCAGAATACATAATGGCCATATCAATAAATTATTAAAATTAGCTTATTGAACTTATTGTTAAAAGAAAAAATTATTGTTGGAATTATAATTTATATTCTTAAAAGCGGTTAACGCCGAGAACGGAGCCATTTCTCACTATTTTTTCATACTGGCATAAGTAAAGAATTCAACCTCTTAAAAAAGTAAACAACAAAATTTCCTAAGACTTTTTTAAACTTTTTTTATTAATTAAATGCCGACGTTCTCAAAACTTTAGTTTGCCGACCGTAATTATTCCAATTAGACGAGATAATCTTTTACTTTTCTATGCCACCCATAAAATTAAAATGCAAACTTACCCATATCCTCAATTATTTTGTCCAAATTGTCACGTTCAGCTCGTCCCTTCAACAAATCAATAACCTTTTTCTGTGGAGACTTTTCCAAATATCTTTTTAAAAAAAATAAATTTTTCCCTTTAAAAATTAAAAAAAAACCTCGGAATTTGGTCAACATATTGAGGCTTAATAATTGCCTTAAATTTTTCTTCTAATAATTTAATAAAATAATTTTGAAGTTCAGAGCCTCTAAAATATGTTAAAATTGACGGCCAATCTGGCGGACTCTAAAAATTTCAAAAAAAACTTTTTCAGAATTTTAACAAAAAAAACCTTGAAATTACCCAAGTTAGGCTTTAATTTGCTTGCCAAAATATTTAAAGCAGTCGATTTCCCAATACCGTTAGTCCCTACAAGTCCCAAAACTGAGCCTAATCGAGGCATTGGTAAACGATGAAGTTTGAAGGAATTTGCGCTGTAACGATGAGTTGTTTCTTTTTCTAAATTGCTTGGAAGATTGATGATTTGAATTGCACCATATGGGCATTTCTTGTTAAAAATAAAAGTTTTAAGAGGTGAAATTTAACTAGTAAATTTATTAAATCAATTTTGGAGACGATTCCTGAGCTCCCTGGATTAAACATGGACTTGGCATATTAAAGGATTTTAATCAAAACCTCCCGTATCAATATAAGGGTCCAAGTTCAGGCATGCGTGGACTAACACGAAAAGCTTTCCTAGGCAAAGCTATAGATTTTCAAAAATAAAAATCACTAGTCAATTTGCCCCATATGAAGTGATAAAATGAATTTCAGGTAATTTATCAAGTCAAAAATGTGGTCCTATGAAAAAGCTAAAAACGTTTAAAAAAACCTTCACACAAATTCCACATCCAATGCAAAGAATTTCAGATATTTCAGCAATTTTTGATGTTGGCTCAACCACAATGCATTGTTTACCTATTTAAAAGTAATTTAAAAAAGAAACAAAAAAACCTGTCCTAACAACTGGACAATTCTTTTTACACGGCTGGCCACAATTTTTTGGTTTACACCGATCTGGATTAACAATAGCTATTCGAGTTTGAACTGATTGTACATCTGGTTTCCCTTTCTTCATTTTCTTAACTAAAAAAAAGAAAAAAATCTTGACATAAAAAATTCTATTAGAAAAGATATGGATCCAGCCTTGATTTTCTCAGGATCAAGACTTTTTTGATTTTTCCTCGCCCCAAGGTTATCAACCAAAATCAGTGTTTAAAATTTCTAATCAGTAAATATTCGTGAAAATCGAAAAAACTCTAAAATGACAGAAAATCCAAAATATATTTTTAAAAAACAGAATGCCAAAAAATCGAAAAATGTTTTTTTAAAACGTAATTCAAAAAAACGAAAATTTGTTACGGAATTTCACAGCAAACAAGAAAACTTCTTTTCTATTTTTTTAAAGGCCACATTTCTAGGATGTAATCAAAGACCAGTCTGATTGTGTGAAAGATAAGGTACTACTGAAGATTGTGGGGCTCTTTTTGCGGACTTTTTTTGCGGACTTTTCCTCCCTTTCTTTTGAATGTTTTACTTGTAGCAACTAACTGTCAACGCCCCTCCCCTATTATTTTTCTTACATAAGATTGTACATAAAGGTCAGATTTTCTTCTTCCTCTCCTTCTTTTATTTGCCCTGTGGCAAATTCAAACGAGACATTGATAAAGAGAAGATTAGTTTTTATAGTCATGCACTTATTTTTTTGCCTTCGAAAACAATTTAAACAAAATAAAAGAACTAAATAAAATGATTTGGTGTATAACATTATGCATTTCTGTGTAACATTACATTCGTACTTATATTTAAAAATATTGAACAACTGAAAAAATAAATTGAACTCAATATTGAACAACCCAATTAAAAATATTGAACAACAATTAATTTTAATCTTCTCTTTATCAACAATGTCTTGTTTGAATATGCCAAGCTCAAATAGAGGAAAGAGAGGAAGAAGGAAACCTGACCATTTCATACAATCTTAGGTAATAAAAATAATGGGGGAGGGACAAGGTTTGAAAGTACCCGCATTTCTGTTCCACAATCACATGTTCTTTTTATTTCCGAGATCAGTGATCCATTGTTGAAGTTCATCGAGTAGTGCTCGACACATCCCTGTTACATATGACCCTTTTTAAAAAATTTTTGTGTGGCGCCATAACGGAAAAGTACCAAAAAATCAAATATTCAAACATTAGTGATGATTGGGCGTGTAATTATTTGAGTGTGTCATTTTAGTTTTTTACCTATTTTTTTTGCAAGCAGCTCTCGGTCTCGGGTCAAATTTTGCCCCTCGATCTCGGCTTTTCCGGCATCGGTGATCCTCGGCCTCGGCTTTTTCAAAAATCCTCGACCTCGACCAACTCTAGTATTTAGAGTCAGACATTGAGAGATGGCTCAAAACTTGGATAAATTTCTGTTTAAAACAAGAAAATTGGAGAAAAAATTAAATTTACGAAATGTTGATTCGAAAAAGTTTTAATTTGAGCCAAAATTCGAACCTATTTAGTCAAAATTTGGACCTAATTGGCCTTTTTTGGATTTTTTTGAACCTATTTTCAACTTTTTTTGGACCTAAATAAGATCCTATTACACGATTTTTTGGACCTAAAATGACACACTCTAGTAATTATGTATATGGAAATCCATATTTTTTCCTGAATTGCTTTGACTATGAAATGTACAAAAACATGTTTTTGGCTTGTTTTAAGGTTTCTAGATCTTTAAAATCCATATTTTTCCATAAAATTAAATTTTACAAAAAATTAAAAACCTTTACTTTAAACAAAAAAAAATATCAAAAGGATACATTTAAATTTTATCTTTAAATTTCACTCATTACCCATTTCTTGAACTGCATAAGCAATTAACTCTTCGTTTCCTGCTTCTTCTTTGACACGTTTTCCTGAAAATATTTAAAAATAGTACTTTGGAAATTGTTGAATATAATTAGCTGATATTGGGTGGGGAGATGTTCAATCGAACCTCCCAATTTAAGATACACCCTCAGCCTAGAGATACGATTTTCCAAATCCAAAGGATTTATCTATAATTGAGGTATATGGCATAATTATAAGTATGTATTCCAGAAGAAATCAAACAAACTTTGGGAGAGTGGGGGGGGAGGGGGGGTTGTCTAACAAGTAAGTAAACACCATCCAATTTAACAAGCATTATAAGATACCCCCAATATTGTACACTTCTATTTAGGTAATTTCTGTTAAATATGGTTATCCATTGGATGAGGGAGCCGCAAAAAAGCAAAACATCCCAATTAAATAACACCGCATTATAACCAATTTTTCAGCCCCCAAAGGTTTGTATATACCTATGTCTTAAATATTCCAGAACAATCCCCAAACAAAAAAAAACCAACTTATCAATTGAATTATAGCCTTATTTGTTCTTTTATCAAGTTTGTCCAATTTCTCTTTAATTCCTCTTCTCAAGTCCCAATCCACTTTTCTTGGAGCCAAAGTATTAATATCTAAAGACTCCCCAACTTTTGCATCTTTCCCAGCTTCTAATTGCCCTTCAATTTTTTCTTTTAATAAATTAATTTCTTCTCTTGGTGGTTCTGATGGTGATGATTGTTGCTGCACATTAACTGGTTTATATGATCGAAATTGAATTGGAAAACTTGAAAAATAAAGTTAAATTTTTTAAAAGTATAGACAAAAAAATTCCCACTTTTCAGGTCAATCGACTATTTGGGATCCGTGGGGCAACTAAACTTCCTAAAATTCCAAAAATCGATGCTATGATAATTGCGGATATACTTTTGCCAGTGAAACAATCTTAAAAACAAAAACCCCACAAATCTTTTTTGCCCTAACATGTGGGCCCACCCAAAATCGGTATTAAAACTTTACCTCATTTTGACAAAATTAGGTTTTAATTTGGCAAACTCAACCCGGGTCATTTTAAATGAAAGAAAAGCAGAATACCGGTTAAACAATGTAAATAGTTCAAACTCTAATTAAAACAAAGCCCCCAATGCAGGCGAAAACCTCCAAGAATTTTCAGTCATTGTCACCTTGACAGGTAAAATAAAAATAAACAAACCGTTCTTCTCCACAATTCTGTTCACCGTCAATGTCTCCATTTCCTTGATTCCTTCCAACAAACCTTTTTCTCATTTCCAATAAATGCTGTCTTCTAGAAATTGCATTCTTCTCCAATTCTGTTAATATTCTTTCTTCTTCAATTATTGCTTCTTCTGAATTTGTAGTAGTAACCATTTTTCTTTTCCTTTTTTTTAAAATTATTCACAATAAAATTAAAGCAAAATATATTCGGAATAAAAACCAAAATTAAAAAATAACCAAAATCTTTTTTTCTTATTTCCTTTTTAATATCAGCTAAAAATAACAAAAAAAATTCTTTTTTCAAAATATTTAAATTGAATATTTAAAATCTCTAGAACGTAAATAAGCATAATAATCCTGCATTTTCTCCCATCCATCTGGATCGGGTTCGCGCCCCTTAAACGTTGGAGGTTCTCCTTCTTCGAGTCTAATAAAGATATTTATGTAACGATGACGAAGAGGATGCCATGCCTAAAAAATTTAAAAAATTTGATCAAATTTTTGAGGTTTTATTTGTTGTCCACAAAAAATGTCCGCAAATATATTAGGAAGACTTGGTTGGATACACTTCTATTTAAAATGCATTTTTAAAAGCATTTAAAAGTTACTGATGAGGTTTTGGTCAACAAGTTGACCAAAATTCCGAACACCCCCAAAGAGAAAATTGTTTATTCCCTCAAAAAAATAAATAAAAAATTAACCCCTCTAGCATGCCTTCTAGCCGATTTAATTATTTTACATTGAATACCAAAAGCTTCAGCAACAAACATGCTTTCCAATGGATTGTCAATTTTAAATTCATCAGCAGCCCTTTCAACAGCTTCTTCGATTGTTTCGGCTAACAATAAAGTTGGCTAAAATTTTTGAAAAAAAATTTTCTTTCAAAAAAATTTTTATCAAAAAACCTTGGTTATTTTATGTCGTAATTGTTTTATTGCTTCATTTGCCATTAAATTTTGGGCAAAAAAGCAAGAAGGGAAAATCCTTTAAATTTTAAAAATTATTGAGAGAAAAAATAATGATAAACAAGTCCAATACCAGACATTCCCCCCCCCCCTCTCTCAAATTTTTTCTAACGTGTCGAGGACCAATCCTTAATAAAAAAATTTTTAACAAACTTTTTAGGATGAAGATGAACAGATTCTAGAAAAATTTTGAAATTAAAATTAAAGAAAAAATTTAAAGAAAAAAAACCTTTGACATGAAAAACTTCGCGAGCTTTAGGCTTCCCAGTTTCAGGCACAACATAATTTGGAGGCCAAACAACTTTATTTAAATATTCCCATTTTTCTGGGGTAACACCTTAAAATTAAAAATATTTTTGTCATGCAAGAATGTGTGTGAAAGAACAAAAACAAATCGATTGAGTAAAAAGATAGAGCAAGGGCGCGACGATAAAAATTTTTTTAATTTTCAGGAATTAGTAACACCCAATTTCTCCCAGTTTCAGGCATCACTGGTTTGAATTTTAATAATTTATTCTTTTCTTTGGCATTTGTAAAAGAGTGGGGTGCTTTATGTAGAAAAATACAATTGATTAGGGAGATGGCATAGACACAACTTTTCATTCCCAAATCCCCATCCAAAAATTTAAAATAAACCATAATTATTCATTGGGGAATATTTATCCAAATTTCCATCTCGCCGTCCAGATTTATCCAATCTCCATTCTGGGGCATAATAAATTTTTGGAGAAGGCTTCTCGAAACGTTGAATTGGTGCATAACCAGAAACTGCTGGAAGAAAGCGTTTCATTTTCTAAAAAATTTTATAAGAAACAAAAATTATTTTAAATAAATTAAATAATTTTTTTTTTCGATTTTTAACAAATAAAAATTTTTTTCAAAAATTTATAAAAATATTTTTAAAAAAAATATTTGTCACAATATCAACAATAAATTTATGTAATTGTAAGTTTAGTCTGGATTTTAAATTAATTTGATTTGCAGGTTCCAGCCTCGGAAATCCTAGAACCGTTTTAAGGGGCCTATTCCATTAAGAGACATTTCGAAAAAAGTCAATAACAACCGTCAATTGCCTAAACACGTCGACAGTGATCGTGTTGTAATAATTGAATGTCATTGTATGTCAATGTCACGGTCGTCGACATTTGCCGATTAAAATTAAAAATCATTGTCGAATATGCCTTAGGGGCAGGGAAAGCAATTGTTAAGAAATCCAGACCATACAATAATATACACAGACCATGTGATATATTTAAAAATTAGAACAGGAATAAGAAAATCTAGTCATTTTTTGAAGAATTTTAGAAAAATTTTCCCTCAGTTAATTAGTTAAAATTTATGGCATTTATTATTAAATTATAATAAATTTTTAATAATTTTTCTCATAGAAAACTTTGTTTCTTTTAAAGCTTTTAATTCTATTGTTAATCCAACAAAACCATAACAGAAAGAAAAACCAGCCATTAAAGTAAGCGTAAATCTGACTAGTGCTACCTTTAAAAAATAAAAATTTATTATTGTCCTGAGTGAATTATAACCTCCTCCCTTTAAGGAAAATGTTATGGATGTCAAAAAATCCCTTTCAAAAATTTAAAAAATTTCCTTACAAAAGCAAAGGCAAAAGGAACATTTAAATCCAATTTTGTCGTTGCTACAATTAAAATTATAAATAAAACACACAAAGCTAAAAATAAACGTCTATCCCATAAAACTCTAATTTCGGCTTCTTCAATTATTTGTAATGATTTTGTTAAAATTTGTTTTTCTATGGAAAGTTGTCGAAGTTGTTGAGAGCCTGTATCTATTTGGTTTTCTAAAAAAATATTTTTTAACGAAGTCAGACTTTCCTTTTAAATATACCCCCCCCTCTTTTTTAGAAAATATTATTGTGGATTTTAGATTAAAGGGTGTTAACTCCACAACTTATTAGAGAGGGACAAAATTTAAAAACCTATATTAAACTAAAGTTTATCTCCACAGTCGATTGTACTTGCACATTTGTGGAGATAAACCCTTGGGGCTAAAAAGGTATCTTGTAATGAGATGGAGTTAGATTGAGTGGTGCCGTTCAGACATCAATCTCACCCATTTTCCCAACTATAAATGGCCAAATAAATTTTAAAAACATTGTGTGTATGGTTAAATGGAGGTATCGTTTTCTTATATACTACAGTCAAATCTCAATTTTAAATACTTCCTTTGACTGAAAAGGTCTCTTAAATAGAGTAAGAGACTTAAATTGTATCTTAACCTTTTTTAATTTCAAATTTAGCAGAAACCCCAAGATGGTCAGAATAATTTAAATCACTTTCAGGTATTTTATCAAAACAATATTCACAATTTAAAAGTTTAATTTCAGCTGAAAAGGGAAAAAAGATTTATGAGAAAAATTAATTTTAATTTTTTACTTTTTTCACTTCTATACATTATATAATCCAATCTTTTTCCATCGGGAAAATATTTTAATAAACACTTTGATGTATAACAATTATCAGGCCTTTCACAAGTTGTGCCATTTTCGTATAAAGGGTCAACGGCATTCTTTAAAAAGAAAATTTCTTTGAAAGAAAAAATTTGGGTATTTTATCCAGTTTAAGCGTCCCCCATAGAGGTTAAGTAACTATTAGATTCTCTTTGGTTTCAGTTTCCTTAGTTAAAAAGAGTTCGGGACGCCAAAAAAGACCCGAACCTTAAAAAAGAATATACCTACAACTCAATTGTTCCCATAAACTTAAAAAACTCAACAAACCGGTCTACATTCCCAAGCATCATTTAACGGAACCAAATTTTTAATTAATTGAAAACCCAAATTTGTCGGCTCCAAATTAAAATCCCCAACAAGAATAACAAAATCTGCACCCCCACAAGTATGTCGAATAAATTGAGACATTTCAAAACATTGAGAAATTCGATGAGGTAAATACAAATCATTTTCTTTGTTATATTCTGCATGTAAATGGGTGGTGTAAAAACAAATTTTGTAAGAGTCAAATAGAATTTCTGCCATTCCGACAATTTTGCCTCCAAACCAGTCACCTCTAAATAAATTTTTTGGAGGTATTTGAAAAAAGAATCTTTAAAAGCTCTCTGAGGAAACCTGTGTATATGATGAGGAAATCCATTCAAAGAATATCTATGAAGCAAAGTAGAAATGATTGGATATCTGCTAAGAATACAAGTTCCACTTCCAGTAAATCCACTATGAAAATAATGTGAATAAGGAAACTTTTCTTTTAAATTGTGCACCATTTCAATAAAAACTTTCTCACTCCAAATCTGTAAAAAAACAAAAAAATATTGATTAGTTTCCTTTGTGCTTCCAAAAGCCCCCCCTCCCCACCTTAGTTGGGCATAGAGGCAACTCCCGCCTCCTTAAAATAGAAGGAATCTCAAAGCAAAAATAAAATTTGCGGAATTCTTTGCTGTATCCCCTCAGTTACAATTTTTACAGTCCCAAAGAGATAGCTAATAGTAAAAGCAGAATGAGTTATTTTCTCTAGTCCAAATTTTATCTCCTCTTGTATCTACATTCTTATGTGAAAAAAATAAATAATACGGCTTGCGGATAAAACTTGCGAACTTTTGGGTGTAAAAAATTTAACATTAAAAAACCTCTTGTAACGCCACAATATCAAATTTAGACACAGCTAAAGCACTAATCAACATTTGAATTCTAAAAGTTTTGTGTTTACTACCAATAGGCCAAGGCTGAGGAAGAAGCCTAAAAATTGAAAAGTACAAAATTTTACTTTAAAAATTTCTTACCAACAATTTAATGTTGCCACCCGCAACATTTTAATTGCTAGAATCTATAGAAAATTGAAAATTAAAAAAAAATTTAGGGGCAGAAAAGAGTACAGCCCAATTAGGCGCGTGCCAATTAGGCGCAACCGATTAGGCGCGACACACAGAAAAGAGATGTAGGGGACGATTCAGTATCGCCGATTCAGTATCGCCAATTCAGTATCGCCGATTCAGTATTGGCCGATTCAGTATTTGGGCTTTTTGGCCATAACTTTTTGCTCGATCAATATTGTGGGAATTATTATATATGATTTGATAGGCCTCGGGGTGCTGCATCTTTTTCATAATTGGACTGACCTGATCTTATCACTCTACAAAAAGTTATCACTGATAAACGACGTCACAGGCATAAAGAATCGGTTTTCACGCTGTAACTTTTTTTGTGATCATCAGATCAGATCGGGCCAATTATGAAAAAGATGTCGAATCTTGAAACCTTTCGAATGATATGAAAATTATTCGAATCGGTTGAGTATCAAGAAAGTTATGACCATATACTGAATCGGCGGATACTGAATCGGCGATACTGAATCGTCCTTAACCGGAAAAGAGTAAGGAAGCAGGGAAACGATACAGGCTCCGGTACAAAATATGGAATCGTTAAAATATGGAATGGTTAAAATCGCGAATAGGCTAAAAAGGGGTTAAAATACCGAATCGTTAAAATATGGAAACGTTAAAATATCGAATCGGGTAAAAAAGGGTTAAAATATGGAATCGTTAAAATATGGAATGGTAAAAATGTCGACACGGCTAAAATCTGTCAAAATGTCGAATTCTTTTAAAAAAGGGTCATATGAGTGCAATACGCTGATTGTTGATGACAACTTATCAACTTATTTTTGATAATTTGATTGATAAGTTTCGTATGTCGTAGTAAAATCAAAACTAAGCAAAATAAAAATTTTATATTTCATTTAAAATCACCGAACAAAAATCATTAAAGCTAGAATCATTGAACAATAAAATAATAATCAAAGTCAATAAAAAAATAATAAAAAATAAAGTAAAATATTAATAGATAAATAATGAACTAGAAGCGTCTAAATAATCTTGACTAATAATTTGACTTTCCAAAGTTGCACTATCCACACCATCTTCAGTATCACGTTCTTCCTGTTGACGTGTAGCAACTCGCAGTCCCTCAACATAACCACTCATTTGTAAGCCAAGGAGCGTTAGAACATTCAGAAGTTGTCTATTATCATCGTATTCGGCTTCATTTAGCTTCATTATTCGGCTTCATTAATAGCACGCCTTACTTCTCTCAATACTTCCTGATAATGAATTGTCTTTTTTGTTGGAAGAAGGGCTTGGACACAAACAACAATGCGACCTCGTACAAAAGCACCAATACAAAAACATTGCGCAAATGGCCTTGGGGCGGATTTGAAGGTGCCATCACAGGCCCAATGCTTATTTTGAGATAATATATCGAGCAACTAAATTTTTAAAAATAATACTAGTTCAAAATTATTAAAATTAACCCTTGCATGGCTAAAGACAAGAACAACATCCTCATTTCCACGCTCATCTCTACTGTCGTAAATCAACGTTGATGAGTTGTATTTTTCTGTCAAAAACGCTGGAATGACCATTTTTCCAAGATCCACACAATTAACGTTCCCAAACTTTTGCTTTTTTTGCCTAAAATGAGGGTAATTTATTGAAAGAAAATAATGAAAATAAACCTCTTTATAAGCTGATTTAAAGCATCATCACTACCCAAAGCAATGTAAACTTCATCTGGGATATTTGCTCGTACTTCTCCCAGAATTGGTCTCTTATCCTTCTTCAATCTATTTCTAAGCTCTTCACAAACTTTTTTTTGAATTGCTGGAGGATGATTATGCTCTTTTTCTCCTAAACTGCCAATAAATTGGCCATTTTTCTCTTCAGCTTTTGCAGTTGCCTGGCAGTCCAAGTTTGAACAACGCCAATGAATATTTTTACTCTTGACATATCGATACCCTCAAAAAATCCATTTTAATAATTTGATATCTAGCTCAAACCTGCATGCCAAAGGCTGACGCCACCCTTCTGTGTAACTCCTTGTTCAAATTTTGTCAGATTTGCTCCATAGCATTTTTCATTTTCTCCATCAAGATTTGCTTCTGGTTCTTGTTCATTTAAATCAGAAGTATCATTGATTTGTAATCGTCGTTTTCGAGTTTTTTGTAATTTTGCTAAAGTTGTTCGTACATCCATTTACGGATAAAATTCTAAATTAGAGGTAAAATCTATTAATGAGGTAAAATCAGTTGCAGAAGACGGTATATTTAATCTGATTTTGGCCGTGTCGACATTTTTACCATTCCATATTTTAACGATTCCATATTTTAACCCTTTTTTAGCCGATTCGATATTTTGACCATTCCATATTTTAACGATTCCACATTTTAACCCCTTTTTAGCCTATTCGCGATTTTAACCCCTTTTTACCCGATTCGAGATTTTAACCCTTTTTTAGCCTATTCCATATTTTAACGATTCGATATTTTGTCCGGACACGACGATACAACAATTTTACTTTATTTGTGGTTGGTTGAGAGCCAAATTTTTGAGTGCCCAAATTGAACTGTATGACTCACAACTTTTTGCGCAAACTTTGCGGTTGTTTTACCTCCTTTTTCTCTTTTTTTTTGTTTTGTCTCTGTTAGTTTAATTTCTAGTTAATTAATTAATTTATTACACAAGTAATTCGGCAAATTTTCGTTCTTGTTTTACAAAGAAAATTTTATTTATTAATCTACAAGAGTTACAACTTAACCAAAAATATATTCGATATGATTTTGTCATAAGCAGTACAGCAACTTTTAGGATAAATAACTTAAAATTGGAGCTTTTGTTTATTTACACAGGGATTTAACATACGCAACTTTTGAAGAATATTTAGCCAAATATAAATTGAATCTGCATATTCAGTAAAAAATGGAATTTGCCTTAAATCCCCCTACTAATATGTAACTTTTTTTATTAAATATTTTTAATAAGCATTTTCTGGTTTAGTCAGTCAGTAATCAACTTTCTTGGATCTAATGGTTATTTCCGAACATTGGGTGTTTTAATGGAGGAGATTAATGTTTGTTTAAAATAATTTTTGGATTAAAAAATATTTTTCTTAAAAGATGCCTAATCAAATACCGGGACCTATGTGGTTTAGGTTTGCTTTTTTAAACCGCCTCTACTAGCCGAAATCAAGCCTGTGTAAGGAAGAAGGGAAATTCAGCTGGCATTTAAAACGCTTGCTAGACGCGGGGGTTTAAGAGATAAAAAGAAGGCAAAAGCAGCGCCATAGATCAGTTTACTTGGCAGAATTTAAAACGCTTAGGCTGGGGTTAAACGAATATATAATGAGATAGAGAAGGCATTTGTGTAAGCCCGGCAAAGCGAGCAGGGTCGAATCTTGCCCGGTGGCTAAACTGTTGCTAAACTCTTACTGTGGTGAGCGAAAGACCCATCAGTAAATGTTAGCGATACACTTCCTTCTCGCCAGGTTTGTATAAATTCTTGAAGGTGTAAAAAGAGGTGTATTTGAAAGAGTAAACCTAACACACTTCTAAGTTATCATCAAATGCCAAGCCAACCTAATGCGGTTTTAACAGCAAAACCACCACAAGATCTTGAGAAACGAAAATTAGTTCAACAACAATTAGTTTTTCTTTTGCATGCCCATAAATGTCAGCAAAGAGAAAAGGTTTTTTTTCTTTATTGATCTTTCTAAAGAAATTTTTAATAGTTGGAGCCGGAATGGCGTGGTTGTTGTAATCTTCCATATTGCGCTATAATGAAAGGTGTTTTGGAACACATGGTTAAATGTAAATCTGGGCGTAAATGTCATTTCGCTCATTGTGCTTCTTCTCGCCAAATAATTTCTCATTGGAAAAATTGTCCTGAAGAAGATTGTCCTGTGTGTAATCCTATTAGAAAATTTATTGCTGATAATGGACAAAGTCGAGCTATAGATATACTTTGTTAAATTATTTGTAAATTTAACTACATTGTTGACAATTTAAAAGAACCTCCAAAAAGAATAATTGTTTTATTTCGGGGTTATTATCTCGAATTTTTAAAAATCCGCAAAAAATTATTAAACAAAAAAATTAAATTAAAATAACTTTATACGTTATATTATTTTTTGACTCCAACAATTATTTTTATATTTTCAATTATTTGGGTAACAGAATTTTCGTCTCCAAAATTTTTCGGAATTTTCGTTTCCAGCTGAATATTCGCACCAAGTCAAAAAATGGAATAATGTGTTGGTCACATGACTTTTAGGCGCGTTGTTTGATTTTGTGTTACTTTTCAAATAAATCAAAAAATTCACTCTGACGCCCTCAATTCCCCGCGTCTAAAATTCCAGTGGCGAATATTCAGCTGGAAACGAAAATTCCGTACACCACAAATATATTTAAGTTTATTTATTACCTTCATTTAAAATACACAAAATAATCAAATGGCACTTTGTGCAGCAATTTTTGACAAAAAGGACATTCTTGTATTTATTAAAATAAAAGAAAAAGGAATTAATTCAGAAACGTCAACAGAAATATCACACTTTCTTTACAATTCTTTTGATATAATTTTGGACAAAATTAATTATCCTGGTGCTAAAGCTACACAAGATTTGTATATTGGGTCGTTGTTGATTAATTCTTCGTTCAGGGTTTGTTGAAAGGGGGGGGGGGGAAGGGAATTAATTTTTGAATTGTTTTAGTAGTTGAAAGAGTTTTTGGATGTTTAAAAAATTAATTTCTCGAACGGACTCAAACCCTCTACCTTCAATTTTAATAAAATTAAAATTCAAAATTGATTTGTAGCTTCCCCAACTTTTTAAAAGTCAATTTTTTGTTTCTCTACATGTCTTCCAGGGATCGCGCCGACCCGATTCACGATTTCCGAAAATCGTGAATTTGATTTTCTGTCGGCGCGTTCCCTGATGCCTTCCATATTTATTTTAAATTTTTACTTTTGAAAATTCTGTTTTTTAGTTAATTCGAGGTCTTTTCTTGGGGAAATCAATTTTTTAATTTTCAAAAAATAATAAATTACATGTTTTTGACTTTATTAATTTCTGTCATTTCCAAATTTTCCTTTTTTCAGTCTTTTGGTTACCTAACAAACACAAACACAAAATTCCTGCTTGTAACAGACGTCGAAAACAATTTATTAAAAGACCACGAAATTAGATTATTTTTTAAAAAATTACATTCAAAATATTTTTGTGCTATAGCCAATCCATTTTACGTGTTTGGAAATTTAATAAAATCAAAGTAAATTTAATTTTTAATTAAATTAATTTTATTTTTTTAAAGGCATATAGACAATGTTGTGCAGGAATTTATTGATTGTTTTTAGATTAATAGAGAAGTTTTTGTAAAAATAAACTTTGTTTTATGTTTAAACTTGTTTTGATTGTAAAAATATATAAACTTTGACTAAAACAATAAAAACAGTTATAAACTTTGTTTTATTTGTTAGACTTTCAACAAACTTTGTTTTTGTTTTGATGTTTTTATTTAAAAAGAAACTTATTTTTCTTATTATTAAATTAATTAAACTTGAATTAATTTTTTAAACTTTGTTTTTACAATTTAAAAATATTTTTTTTATTCAAATTTATTAAAATTATTTTTAGTATTTTTTAAAATAATTAAAATGTCAGAAAATACAAAAGAAGCAACAACAAAAACATCCAAAGGAATTGTCAGACTTTCAAACACTTCAGATTTTATCGAGCCTAGTCAAGTTTGTTTTGCTTCTTTAAGTCTTGAATTATTTAAAATAAAACATGTTTTGGTAAATAAAAACAAGTTTTAATTAACTTTTTTAAAGAAAACAATTCAAGTTTTAAGTTTGTTATTAAACTTGTTTTGATACAAACTTGTTTTTATTTAGAGAAAACAATTAAAACTTGTTTTAATAAATTAATAAAAACTTTTGTTTGTAAACACTATTTGTTGAGAACTTTAAAATTAAAATATTTAGTTTAAAATATTTTTTTTAAATAGAAATGTATATTACCAATACAAAATGGAGTTAAAAAGAAAAATGATGGCTTAGTTTCGCTTCACTCAAAAAATTCCCAAAATTTAATAAAAAAGAAAGTTCGAATAACTTTACAAGATTGCCTTGCTTGTAGTGGATGTGTTACAACAACAGAAAATAATATTTCTATATTAGAAAGTTTTTGAAATTGTTTAGAAATAAATAAACATTTTGCTTTTGTAGAAATATATATTTATTATAAAATTAATAAAACTTGAATTTTATTAAAACTTTAAAACAAGTTTATTAAAACATGAGTGGAAAACTTGATTTTTTAGAACTTGAATTTTTAATAAAAACATCCAAGTTTTGATAAAAACATTTGAATGTTTTTATTAAAACTTGTTTTAATAAATTTAAAACTAGTAAAAATATTTACAAAAATTAATTTTTCCTAAAAACTTGTTTAAGTTGAACAATTGTTTGTTTCGAATATAAAAATGTTCAAAACCTTTAGATTTACCATCCCAATTAAAGTACAAAAATAATGGAAATTTAAAAATATTTATAAAAATTAGTCAAAATAAAATAAAAATTTATTTAAATATTTTTTTGAATCCCTTTCCATCAGTCCAAAAAAATGTTTAAGTTTCCGTAAAAAGCAGAGGTTTATTAGAAAATAAACGAGAAAACAGGCGGATAGCGAGCGAACTGGACCCGTTATTAATTTATTCAATTTTTGTAAATAAATTGATTGAGGATATTAATGTTTTTGCTTATAATTTGTTGCTGATAAATCTTTCAAAAATATTGTTTTTAAAAAGAAAAGTTTTTTTCATCTTCGTATGAGTCAGAATGTTTGTTTGAATTTCTTTTAAATACAACAAAAAATAAAACTTTAAAAACAACAAGTTTATTTTTAATTAAATGTTTAGCAAACAAGTTTTAAAACAAAGTTTAATTAAAGTTTGCAACAAAAAATAAAGTTGAAAAACAATGAAAATTAAATAAATTAATTGTTAATTGAAGCATAAAAGAATTTTTGTTTTCCTTTCTTTAAAAAATTTTTTTCCAATTTTATTTTAATTTTTTGGAATTTTGTTTAAAATAAAAAGAAAAGAAATTAATTTGTTAGACAAAAAATTTTTATATATTTCTTTTTAATTTAAAAGGAGTGGTTTTAAAAATTTTATTTAAATTAAGAGTATGTAGGGTTGCGCGAGGGTCGATGAGGCTTTGAAAAAGGAAGATAATCAGGCTTCGTTCCAAATTTGACCCTTGACCTCGATCAAGGCTTTTTCAGCCTCGGTAATCTCGGTTTAGGCTTTTTTCGAGAACTCGACCTCGCGCAATTCTAATTAAGAGTGATAAATGATTAATATATAATTTTCTTATTTATTTTTTATTAAAAAATTTTTTTAATTAATAAAAGTTAATAAATTTTTGTTTTTATAAATTATAAGTTTTGTTGCAAGTTAAATTTATTTATACCTGCTTCAAGTTTAAATAATGTTCATTTAAAATTAAAACTTGTTAATAATTCACAACTTTGTTGTTTAATGTTCCCTTTGCATTCAATAATTGTTTTTAAAAATCAACGTTATATTTTTTTATTTTCCCTCCACCTAAATTCTACAAAAACCATAAAAGTTTTCTTTAAATTGTGGTGTGGCCGAAATGAATTGGCAGTACAAATAAGGTAAAGAAGGAATGGAAAAAGGAGGGAAAAAAGGATGATTTGGATGGTTAACTGAGAGGAAAAATGGACGTCGATCGTTTAAAAGAAGAAGAAACTCCTTCCAAACATTTTTATTATTTTTATCCGTTTGTTGATTTTTATTTCTTTTCTTTTTTATTTCCTTTAAATATTTACATATTTTTCTCCGTTCTACATATGTATTTATTTTGTTAATCCAATCATTCTCAGAACATTTAAAACATAAAGTTGCTAGTATAAGAATTAAATTTGAATACTTAAGTTTAAATAAACCTAAGTATATTAAACTTGAATAGTTGAACTTGAATACTTATAAACTTGAAAAAAACTTTAAGAACTTGAATAAACTTAAATAAACTTGAATAAATTTAATAAACTTGAAACCTAACAAGCTTTTTTATATTTAATCTTTTATACAAAACAAAATTACTTTTAACTCCTAAACTCATTCCACAAACATTACTTCATATTGTTGTTTTGTATATTTTTAACTCTTTGCGCGTGCTATCACTTTACAGCCGTGCGAATTTATATATTTTTCATCACCCGCCCGCACACATTCATTTACACAAACAAAACAACACAAAATGTTCTTCTTCTTAACACTGAAGACGAAAAATAAAATAAGAAAACCAAAACCGCCGTTAGCAATTACTCTATTAAATAATTATTTTCGTCTCTCGACATGTTTTTAATGATTTGGCGCAACTTTTATTTAAACCAGCTGTTAATTAATAAATTAAATGTTTTTAATATAAATAAAATAATCATTTTTCTTTATTTTCTATAAATCAGCCTTAATTTACTTAAATAATCGTTATTTTTAATATGTGTTTTTAAAAAATGTTTAAGTTTGTATCAATGTTTGTTTCAAGTTGTGTTTTAATTTTTAAGTTTGCTTATTTTGTGTTTGAAGCTTGTTATTTTTATTCAAGTTTGTTTTTTCTATTTTTTCTTCTAGTTTATTTTTCATCATTTCCATCTAAATTCTAAGTTTAATTAATGAATAAAAATAAAAATATGGTGGCCTTCATTTTCTCCTAATTTTTTCCGACTGTTGTGCCACTCCCGAAGTCCGTCTAAATGGCGAGAAAAAGAAAATTCATCAGCGCGGATAGTCGGCGGTGTTTGGCGACACTAATTGACCTTCTAGCGCTTCCTTTCCTCTCACCGCAATTAGAATCAAATATTTTCTTCTTTGTTTTGGTTTAGAGTTACAGCCTTTCCATCAAACGTGAGACTTTTTAATCAATCGACTCTCGATATATTAATATCTAAATCAATCTAATATTTTTATTTTAAATATTTTAAGATTTTTATTAATAATTAAATTGATTTGGAGATAAAATAAAAATTAAATTTTAATTCCTTAAGTTGTTTTTATAAATTATGTAAGTTTATAATTCTATAATTCAAGTTTTAATAATATTTTTCGGTAACTGCATTTATTTTAAATATTCACCCTGTTCTAAAAAATTTTTTTATGGGGATAGAAAGCACGGATAGTACCGGCCTATTGGTTCTAAAAATCAGAACGGGTACTTATAACCGTAGAGTAAATGTTTGTACGACATGTTTAAGTCTATTTTTATTATATTGATGGAGAAGGGTGGGGTAACGAGGAACCTATTTTTCCCTTAATGATTAAATTCGAAATTAAATTTATTTAATCATAATCATCAAAAAAAAGACTAATCTCGTCATAAAAATATATTATCTTGCAATATCCTCTCAAAATACCTTTGCCTAATTTTTATGTACTTAAAGCTCTTTAGTTCTCTCTTATTTTTTCTAAATATTCCCCACTTTTTGCTTTTTTTCCTTCTGTGCGCATTTACCTCCAACAAAAATATATTTATTTATTTGAACACAACACAGAACACACAGAATAACATACTAGAGACACTTGAGCTGGCAAAAGCAACAAAAAAAGAGAAGTATTTAGATGATTAAACAAATGAAGTAGTTAGTACATCCTTTTGCTTTAAGCTTGATCCAACTTTCGCTAATTTTTAGGTCGTGGGCGAATAGCTGAACTTTTTAAAAAAAGTTTTTCAAGTTTATAATTTACTTTTTAGTCGATGCTTTTTTTAAGTTTTATTTTTCTAAGTTTTTATTTTAAGTTTATTATTTTCAAGTTTATTTATTTTCATTAATTATTCAAACCTTAATTTTCCTTCTGAGTAAATCCCTAATTAATTAAACTTGGATTTTTTAAGTTCAAACTTAAATTATTTAAAAACTTGAATTATTTAAGAATAAACTTGTATATTATCTAATTAACTTGAATTAATCAAACTTGGATTTTTTAAGCTTAAATTTTTTAATTGGATCTGAATTATTCAAGTTCCAACTCGAATTAAATAATTCAATAATATAACTTGAAGCAATTTTATTAAAAGTAAGTTTATTATTTCATTTCTTTTGAAGCATTTTATTTTAATTATTTTATTAAGTTTTATTTATTTTTAATTTCTGTTTCAAGTTTATTTTTGTTGCAAATTTAATTTCAACTTTAGCTTTGCTTGTGTACTATACTCGCTCTCTCACGTTAATTTTTAAAAATTTAATTTTATCATATGACTTTAAATTTTTTTGAAATTTTTTAAACAATTTCAATTTTTTCACTATCAATTAATCAGTTAAACTGCAACAACTATTTTTATTTTCTATTTATTTTTTCACTCGCGCAAGTCTTTCCCAAACCCCCCCCCCTCTCCACAAATTCCATACCTTCTTCAAAAACTTCTCTTTTTTTCTCCTTCACGTAAACTGAAGCTAGCTACTAAAGATGCTCTTGTTTGAGGAATGCTACTCTTGGGCTTTGTTATTTTTTCTTCTCTTCTAAACAACTAAAATGTTCGCCGTTTCCGCAATTTTCTCTTTTATTTATTTTTATTAAAATTTTTTTCTTCTTTTTCCTCATTTGCAGCCGCGCAGAAGGAAAGAGGGAGAAATTTTTTCCTTTTAATTTGATCACTTTCTTTTGATTTTTCTTTTTTTATATAAATATAAGAACATGCCATTTCTATTTTTTAAAAATCGTTTTAAGTGTTATTTTCCTTGATGAATATTAAAGTATAATTTGTTTTGCTTGTCTTGTTTTTATATGACACAAATAAATTTAAGCTTAGATAAAATAATTTGAGCAACTTGAAACATTTAATTAATTAGATTTAAATTATTTAAGTTCAAACTTGAATTATCTAATTAAACCTGAATGAGTAAATTTACTTAAATTGAAGAATTGCTTAAGTTCAAACTTACTAACTTGAAAATTTAAACTTACATTATATAATTAAACTTGAATTATTTAAGCGTAGACTTAAATTAATTAAACTTCACGTATTTATGTTCAAAATAAAATAATTAATTAAGCTTGATTTTTCAAGTTTTGAATTATTTATTGACCTTGATTTAAATAAACCTGAATTATACTCAAGTTCTATCTTGAATTCTTTAATTAAACCTGAATTAAATAATTCAATAATATCAAACTTGAAGCAAATCTCATGAAATAACGTGTATTTAATTTTTTTAAAAGAATTCTTTAAAGTATTTCCGTTTTAATTTAATTAGTCAATTTCCGTCTAATTTTTTCTCCTTTTTTAATATGTTCCGTCAAAATACCTTAATTTTTCTTCCTTTAATTTTCTACTTTTTCTTCCCTAAACCTTTATAATTTTTAATTTAAACCCCCCAACTTCCTTCCCCCTCTCGCTCCTCTCCAATCTTCCCGTCACTATTGGCGATCGCCTAAGGGCCCATCATCGCCATCACCACAACAACCAACAAAAACCCCCTCCCTTCCTCCCTCCACAATCATCAACACAGTTCCAAACCTTTTCTTTCTTTCCCTTTTTCTTCTCAATATTTTTACTAAAAAATTTTCTCTTCTTTACTTCCCTCAGTCTTCAAATCAAAAAATTTTTCTTCCATTAAAGGCTCTCCGGTGTACAAAAATGGCAAATGAATTGTAAAAGAGAGAAGAATCAACCACCCATATTATATTAAAAATTAAAGGCCCCCACAACAACAACGGAGGAGTGGGGAGGGGGGGGGGGTACCTCCTTTCTCTTTTTTCCCTTTTTCAATCTGTCCAGTCTCGTAATTTTTTTTTTAATTTTAAAATTCCTGTTTGATTATTTTTTGTATTAAATATTAATAAAATAATAAATATATTTTTTAATTTTATCGAAATTTAAAGCTTTTAAATCTCAGAATTATTAAAACAACCACTTAAGCATAATCTTGATTTTTTAATTAAGGTTGTTTTATTCGAATTCAGGTTGTATTTAGGTAATCCTCTAGTAGTTTATTAGTATCCCTAGTAAAAAATGGGCAAAAAGGGCTCTTTCGATGTTTTTAAGGTTTACCATTAGGTAATCGAAGCATAGAAGCGCCTAAGTGTTTAATACAAAAATTTAAATTTTTTTTTATATTTTTTTAATTTTAAAAATAATTTTTAGAAAAATGGCTCCAACATCTGCGGGCCTTTTTTCTGTCCTCAGATTAAATAAATTTCCAAATAATTTTTATTTAAAAATTTTTATTTTTCTTCTTGCCTTATTTACTACTTTAAATTGTTCTGTAAATGTTGCAAAATTTAATGCTCGTCTTTCAGTATTTAGCAGTGATTTTGAAAGTAAAATATATTTGAAAAATTTAATTAAAAAAATATTTTTTAATGATTATTTAGTTAGAAGAAATTAATTTTCCACGAAGGTATTTGGACATGCAGCTATTTTTAAGGGGATTTTGTAGAGCGCCACTGTGCGCTAAAATTTTCGCATGGCTGCAATTTTAAAAATTTTAAAACACGCCAAAAGCAAAACGCCAAAATCGGTCCATAAACGGACACCAAACGCTGTGGCGCACAGCCTAATGGGGAGCTATCTAAGAGATACCCTCTATTTAATATACACCTCATTATAAGGAACGAATTTTTCAGCCTAAAATATGTATCTAAAAACGAGGATTTTAATTATAACTTCTAAATATATTTAAAGCATTACAACAAAGGCATAAAAGAGCAACAACAGAATCTTTATTAACAGTAGAATGGGAAGGGATTCAAAGTGGTGACCATCCGGATTCTTCTATTAGAGGTTTTATTGTTGAATATAAAGCTGAAGGTGAAAATCAATGGAATGTGCATTCTGGGATTATACCTTACAAAGGGCCTAATCATCAATACAGAGTACAGGCATGTGGAAATTTTTATGAAGAGTTATATCTTAAGGTTGCCTGAGGTAATAAAGAGGGTTTTGGGGGAATAAAGGGACCCTTTGGTTATCTTAAATCGAGTCGAGAAATCGGATCTGGGATTCGTTTTGGCCCGGAACCGATACAAACGCCTAACCAACGCCTATCCTTAAACCTGCTATCCTCAACAATTTTTTAAATTTATTAAAAAAAAATTTTTTTTCATTTTTTTTTCAGATACCCAAATTACCAACAGGAATATCATACTTTGTTCGCATAAAAGTTTTGGGTTCTAAAGGAGAAGTTTTGGTTGAAACACCAGAAATTCGTGCCAAAAACGAAATTGTTTCGATACATTGTGAACCTGAAGAAATTACTTCTCCAAACAATATTAAAATTAAAGAACAATCAAAATTTAGTATAGCAATTACTTGGCAGCCCCCAGAATGTGGGTCTATTGGAGAATATCAACTAGAATTGAAAGGATTGAATTTACAAAGTTTTGATGTTCACAGACAAACAGTTTCGCAACCACAAGCATCGATTAGTGGATTGATTTCTGGAACTGAATACTCTTTGAGGATTAGAGCTATTGATAGGGCTAGGATTGTTGGACCGTGGAGTGAAGAGGTAATGGAAATAAACTCTCCCTATAATGTACCCTCGTTATTAGAGAAACCTCTATTTAAGATACTCTAAAGGTTATTGGGTGGTGTTGTTTAAAAGCATACCCCCTATTTAATATAGGTACCAGGGGTGGGCGCAAGAGGGAATCGTGAAAAACGCAAAACGCAACGCAAGGCCAAAAATCAACGCAAAACGCAAAAAACGCAAAACGCAAGAACGCAAAATTGGGAAAAAAATTTTAAAATTAAGTATTAACCATTTTTCAGTTAAAAATTAAAGTATTACTTTAACTCAGCGAGTCCTACTCGATTTTTTAATACATGTAAGTTGATTGGGTAATGATTTGGAGTGATATCGGGGATAAAAGGGTGTTTTCAAGGTGTTTAACGAAGTAGCCTAACGAAGTATCTCATTTGGGAGGCATTTGTCACATTTTTTGCCTTTTCTTAAAATGGAAGAAATTTGGCTTCTTTGCCTTCAAATTTCATAAAATTTTTGGGGGCTGCTGGTATTACCGAAAAGGGGGGTTTGCATCCTCTTTTTGCCCCCTTTTGGCCAATTTCGCCCCCTTTTAGAGAGGTCTTGCCCCTTTTGGTGATTTGGAAATTTACTCTGATCAGGGGTTGAAAATATATATGAGTTTACTAATTTAAAAGTATGCCATTATTATCTTCACGAGATTGAGGGATTCCCAGACATCCTTACAATCCCCGATATCGTTTTAAATCTAATTAAATCCCAGTAAATCGACCGATATTCTTATATCCTTTAAGGTCAACTTATCTTTCACTTAAACATTTTGACCCTTCTTCAATTTAGCGCCGCAGGCGAAAATTTTGAGAATTTTGGAGATCAAGAAGCCAAATTTCTTTCTTTTCCTGCGCCGCAGGCGAAAATTTTTGAGAATTTTGGAAGGCCAAGATGCCAGATTTCTTCAATTTTGTCCTCAAATTGAGTATATTTTTTTCGTTTTTTTGCGTTAATTTGGGCCAAATTTACGCAAAACGCAAAACGCAACGCAAGGCCAAAAATCAACGCAAAACGCAAAAAACGCAAAACGCAATGCGCCCACCCCTGATAGGTACACCTCTTATAAGGTAGGTGTCTCAAACTCGAGAGTGTATATAAATGTGAGAGGTCCGGTTACAAAATTAAATTTTCCAGAAATTTTTTTGTAAAAAAAAATTAAAAAATTTCATTTAAAGCTAATAACTGTGAGTACAAAAGGAGAATTACCAGAACAATTATCTAACGCACAATTAGAATATATTAGCGATAAAGAAGTTCGAATAAGTTGGACACCTCTAGACCATCCAAGATTACAACATTATGAGGTAAACAAACATAAAAGACTTGAACATGTTGTAAAAATAAATAAACTTGTTTTGGAAATTAAAATATATGTATAATAAACTTTAAAAACAAGTTGTAAATCAAGTTTTATTATAAAAACAAGTTTGCTTATATATAAACTTGTTTTTATAAACAGGTTGTAATTAGTTCTGAACAAACATGTTTTATTTATGTACATATATAATCAAAATATAATTAAACTTGTTATTTATTTATAGAAACAAGTTTTACTATGAACTTGTTTTTATAAAAACAAGTTTTGTTACAACTTGTTTTTATTACAAACATGTTTCTAAAAACAAATTACATTATAAAAACTTCTATAATAAACATTAAATTTTAAAACATTTTCTGTGGCATTAATAAAACATTAAAATTAAAGATTGTTTTGACTGAAATAATTAATAATTCAAAACAAAAAAACACAAAACAACACAAAGAAGACGAAGAGGATGGAGAAAAAGTTGAAAGAACTCGTGTTGCCCCAACACAAACAAATGTTTATTTTGGTGATCTTAAGCCTGATACTGAATATAAAATTGGTGTTTTGGCATATATGTATGTGGGGGGTTTTTTTTTGAAAAATTTTTTAGGAAATAATTTGAAAAAATTAGAAATTTTTTGTTTGGAATTTTTTTTAATTAAAAAAATTTATTTTTTTTTAAATTAAAAGTGATCACGAGCCTGTTAGACTTCAACGCTTAACTTTGCAAACAAATATTGAACATCCAATTGAATCAAGCCAAAAACCTATGGTTTTACAATTAGAAAGTGGGGAATATGAAGTAAGAGATTTAGTTCTATTAAAATATTATGAAGGGGGGAATCGTCAAAATTCTTTGTATGTCCTCCAACTTTTTAAGTTTGAAAGTCGGAATTTTTAATCCGGAAATTGACATTCATTCAAAAAGTTTACTTGTTTTTCTTCGATTACTTTATTGTCTTCCCTTCAATTTTTGGCTAAAACAATTTTTTAAAAAATAATTTCCAAAATTTTTTTTCAAGGTTCATTGGAAGCCTCAACCAGAACTTCAATATAGCCAATATATTTTAGAATATAAATTAGGAAATGAAACAACAAAATGGTATTTATTAACAAAAAAAGAAGAAACAAATCAACAACAACAACAACAAAGTTATTCAATAAAAACAACAAAATTGGAAGATGCAATTTCTGTTCGTTTATTATTTATTGGAGAAAAAGAAGAGGGGAAAAAGCCTATTTTAATTGCAAAAACAGAAGAATCTTTAGTTGGGCACAAATCTATTGGAAATTCTTGTGAAAGAGTAGCTAGTGGAGAACCTAAATTTTTGGAAGAAGAAGGGGAAGGGGAAGTAAAGAATAAAATTGTGTTAATACCCGAAACTATTAAATTTAAATGGGAACAAGTTAAATGTGAAGGACATATTGAAGGGTGGGAATATATGGTAAATTAGTAATTTTAATTTGAAAAATAAATGTAGGTTATTGGCAGTAACTCTGAATGAAGCTGCTTCGGAGTCTAAACTTGATAAAACGTCAAACTCAATTTAGATTTAGAAGGGAAGGAACGTTATATAGAGATTTGACGGTATTCCTGATAGACAGAAAAATTACAATCTCTAGTTAATTAATTGGTTAAAGCTCCATTAATTTTATTTTAAAAGATTTGGCCAGCAGAAGACGGCCATCAACCATTAGAGGGATCTGTTCCAGAATTTACTTCCCAACCCCAAGTTTTACTTCAAGGACTTGAAGCATCCACAGAATATCGTTTTAAAGTAAGGCATAGATTGCCCCATGGAGGACATGGTCCTTGGAGTCCAACAGCTAGTGGACGTACAAAAATTAGTAAAAAAGAAGGAGAAGAAGAAAAAGAGGAAGGAGGAGAAACATCTGAAAATATTTATAGATTAAGAATTGCTTTAGTACCTCCACGTTCTTTTCTAGTTTGGACACCTTTGCCTGAACATGCTAAAAGAATACATAGATTTAAGTAAGTTTGGAATTAATTTTTTAAATCAGAATGCACTAATACATATAAACCAAAAGTTATTTCAGAATAATACAAGAATTTAAGACATTGTTAAAATTCGAATTCAAATCAGAATATTAAATCAGTATCAACTAGATGAAACTATTTCTGAATTTATACATACATATGTATTATCAGAATTTAAACTAGAATTATGTAAAAGTCAAAATTATTTCAGAATTTAGATCAGAATTATAAAACAGAATTCTCAGAATTTTTCAGAATTATTTAATTAAAATTCTGTTTATTCAGAGTTTCTCACAAGCCAACAGCACCAACACTCGCCGATGGCGTCACTGTCGAAGGCCCAACGGAACAATTTGTTGCCTGCCCACCAGGCATTTCACAACCCGGAGTTGATTTTTGTTTAGACCTTCGAGGGCTTGAATTGGGGAGACAATATTCTGCAGAAATTTTGTATCAACTCGATGGGCCAACTGGAAAGTGGAGTAAAAAGGGGGCTCCTCTCTTCTTTATTTTGGTTGATGAAGATGTTAATAAAGAAGAAAAAGGGCAACAACAACAATTAAATATTGGGCAAATACGTATTGAACAATTAGAAGGAAAACCAAAATCTGTCGTTCATTGGACAGCCGATGGCCCTATGTTGGATCAAATACGTGCCTACCAAGTGGGTTTAAAAAATGTTTTAAATCAGAATCAGGAATAAAAATCCCCCATAAAATACCCCCAATATACCTTAATTCAATACTTGAAACAATGCTTCTATTTAAGATAACTTTCATTATAAGACGCGATTTTTTCAGCCATATGTATTTTATAGTGAGATTTGACTCTATTAATTGATGTTTGTCATTTAAAAATTAAAAAAAGGTTGAAATTCGTGGTGGCCCTCAACAAATATGGCGTCCAATTAGTGGATATGTTGCTGCTGTACAGGCCGGTCAAAAACAATTTAGAGTTGAAATAGATAGTGCTTTGTTGGCTGGGCAAGCTGAAATTCGTTTGAAAGCTTTGGGCTCTGATGGAAAACCTGTAGTGGAAAGTTTACCGCTTGGAACTGGAAAGCCTTGTGAACGTAGGGAATTTATTAAATATTTACATATTAATAAATTAAAATCAGAATTAATTAATTAAATATTAAATCAGAATTATTTTACTCAGAGAATTTAAGTATTTATATAAACTATGCATTAATTAATTCAAGTCTGTGTTAATACTTGAATAAAAAAACAGAATTTAAATTTCAGAAATTACTTAAAATTAGAATTTAAATAAAAAAATTTTTTTTTGAAAAATAATTTACAAAAAAAATAAATTAATTAATATTTTTCTAGCAATAACACAATCTCCAAAAGACGTAATTTTAACAACCGAAAGAAGTAGTTATTTAATAATTCGATGGACATTTCCACAACCCAAAGACTTGAAAGAAATTGAGCGTTGTCATTTCCATTTTTTGGTTGGAGGAATATTAAATGGGGCAGCTTTACAAAGAACTGTTGATGGAAATTTGAGAGAATTAAAATTAGAAATTGAAGAAAAAATAAAAGGAAGACTACTTTCCCCTCAAAATATTCGTTTAAGTGTACATGCAGTTAATAGATTGGGGGCTGGGCCTGCTTCTATTCCTGTTTCTGTTGTTGGTGGAATTGAAAATATGGCAACATTGCCTGAAAAAAGTAGGGAAAATGAAATTTTGTAATTCTAAATAAATAATTTTTTTAAGCCCTAAAAATGTGGGAATTAAAGAGGGAGGGGGGGGGGGGAATTTGGGTTATCTTACTATTTTTAAATATTTCTGGTGGTGGATTTTTTGGTGAAGGGTGTTTTTAAAAATTATTTCTTTTAAATATATGTAGTTGAATCTTTATTTTAATTTTCTAAATTTAATTGGTTAGTGAAGCCGCCTACGATAAAGCCCCTTTTCAGTCTCGAGGCTATATTTTAGGCATAATTTTTTTGATTTTTAATCGACTTAAATAATTATTGATGTGAAGATTATTTAAACTTAACCTTTAATTAGGTAATCCTACAAAAATTTAAGCAGAATAAGGACCACAATTCACGATTGTGGACACTTATCCAGCTCTAACTTTTTATTAAATGATCAGAGAAAATTGATTCTGTTATAAATAATCCAAGATTTTTGTTTGATATAAAAATTATTTAAATCGGTTAAAAATAAAAAAAAGTTATTTTTCCTCAATGGTCTACGAAAATTGAGGTTTTAGATGATTAAATTTAATAAAATAAATTTAAAAATAAAACCCCATTTTCAATTATTTTCTACCATTTTTCTCTTTTTTCTTTAATTTTTCTTTGTCTTTTATGTATTTATTTTTGTTTATTATTAAATGACAGAGCTGAACAAAAAAACCTAGAAGATTTTTTTGTGTTTTTCGGGCAATTAAAATCAAAATTTAAAGAAAATCAGCTCTGCCTTTTTTAAATTAAATATTAATTTATTTTCGGCCCTTTTCTAAGCCCCCAGCCTTTCAGCTAACAACCAAAACCAACACAAACGTTTTCGACGCAAAATATGTGACCCGAGAACTGATTTTTGGTGTCGTGAAGAATCTTTTAATGTTAATGATGGGTTGCCTCACGAAAAAGGTTTTTAAATTTTTAGAAAATATATTTGCTGTGTTTTTGTGTTTGTTTTTTAACATCATCTAATACAAATACTCGAGGGGGGTAGAATTAGTGATAATTAAAAGAAAACAAGGCTACTATGTACTTAGTACATATATTCATTCAAATTACGAAGAAGGTATATTAAATCTACTAATGTCTCACGAATCTGAACTTCGTTTACATAAAAATTGCTTTGCGTCTTTTAAAAGTAAATATCATCTTTGTATACCTTTTTAAATTATTTTGATTGAAGTATTTATGTGCATTAATTAATTATCCTCTCTCTCAGCCTTTTAAATCGTTTGATGTGTTCAAATCTTAACATTTTTTAATTTTTTTTTCTTTTTTTTTTTGCTTTATGCTCTGCTTTTTTAACAATTAAATAATTACTAAATCCTCCTCTTCTCTTTAATATTTTCTCTATTATTTTTTTATTATTCCCTTATATTTTTCTTTACCTTTTTTTAAAATTAAAAAGCCCAAATGCTTATTTTGCTCTTTATCCTTTGACGTAATTTAAAATTTTTCCTTCTCTTTTTTCTAGCTTTAATTTCACCTCCAACAGTCTCAACCTCACCAGAAGGTTCTCTACAAGTTCAGTGGCGTTCTAAAGGGCCGGGACGTGGAGTTTTTGGTTATCGAGTGCTTTATAGATATCCGGGTGGTGGATGGAACCCTTACGGGTAGTTATTTCTGTTATTAAATTGATTGAGGGTGTAGTGGACCTTTCAAGGGAATTTGGGCTTTGGCACTATCCAATTAGATCATCCACAAGGGTTATGAAAAATCATAGCTTATAATGAGGTTTATCTTAAAAATAGAGGGAATCGCTTGGACATATAGAGGTAGACAGAGCTTATATTTATCTAATATTTGCATTATCTAAAGAGAGGTTTCAACAACCCAAGCTCCTGCTACCAGAATCAAAAAATTCTTTTCTCGACTGGGAATTTACAAAATTTATTCAATTTAAAATCAATTTTATTTTTCCAGTCAAATAGTTCCTTATACCGGAGATGATGAGGACTACAATTTGGCATTGACCGGACTTTCTCCAGGAGTTCCTTACGAATTAAAAATCCAAACACTCGACAGAAACTCTTATGTTTTGTTTACTTCACAAGATGTTCGTTCATCTTCTACATGTCTTCCACCAACACAGCCACCTTCTCAATTAGCTATTGATGCACCTGATGCTCGACATGTTCGAGTTACTTGGGTACCGGTGGTGCAAAGTGTTTGGAAATGTTCGGAAGCAAAAGTGGAATTACAAGTGTGTGATTTTCTGTTTTTTTTCACGAAAAATTCCGACTTCTTTTCTGAGTCTCTCAGAAAAGTTCGGACTCTTCCCATAATTTTCACTCATTATAAAATTTATATTAAAAAATTAGATCGACGAACCACGCGGAAAACCACCAGTTTTCCTAGATGCAAGACAAAGCAGTCATGTATTTGATGCATTGCCTGCTCAGCGCATGGCAAGAGACTTCTTAAAGATATTTTTAATAAAAGAATATTTTCTAAAGACAATTCGTGCTCGAACCACAAACGAAGCCGGCCATTCACCTTGGTCTTCATCCGTCTCAGTTTCGACTCTTTCTTCTGCCCAATCACTCGCCGAACCAATTGACGGTCCTTTCGTTTCTCTAGTTCATGGAATGCCTCGACTAAGTTGGAAAGGCCGTGAAGGCTCCGACCCAGAATTGGTCGATCATTTTATTATTGAATGGAGAACGAGAACAGAACAACGCTGGAACCAATTGCCACAGCGTATTCAATTCACAGGGTGGCAAAGGCCGTATAATGTTGATTTGGATCAATTGCCTGCTGGGCATTTATATGGTAAAATATAGAGCTTTTGTTGATATCCACCGGGCGGTATTGAATCTGTGACCTCTTAGAATCTATTTCAATTGCTCGCAGATTCTGTCCACAGATAACAGAAAAATAAAACTTAACAATTCTCTTTACTTAATAATTCTCTCTCATTCATTTTATCTAGAAGTTCGCCTTCGGGCACTCGATCACAATTTGGGTACAGCATTTCTTTCTGGAACGGTATGAATCTTAGTTGAAATCATAAAAATCTTTAAAAAAAGGTCACAGTCCAAGCCCAAGCTCAATGCCGACCACCCCATTCGTCGCCAAGAAACTTGGAGATAACTCCTCTGGGTCCAAACCAACTTCGCTTGAGTTGGCATCCTTTGCCCGAAACGGAATGGAATTGTGATCAGCTTTGGTATGTGGTCAAGTATTCCAGCACTGAACAACAGGTTGGTTTGATAGATAAGAGACCTGAGAATTTAGAGGTGTTAGTCGCAAGTCCAGTCTACCCACACCTCAATGTAAAAATCGCATAGGTTTATTTTGATGGATTCAACCCAGCTCGACGAAATACGTCGAAACTACTCAATTTTGCTTGTTCTAAGTAGACAGACTGTTGTAGATCAGCAGAAGTCAATTTCAATAAAAAATTTTTTTCAGGGCTTCCGCAATTTAAGCAATAATGATATCAGTACAATCTTTGACTCAGCACCATTCACTCAATGGCACTTCCAAATACAAGCTGCAAACCCTGCCGGTGCCGGTCCTTGGAGCTCACCTTTGGATGGACAAACTTTGGGAACTGCACCAGGTCCAGTTGGGGATTTCTCTGCGCAAACTCTAACACCCGATGCTGTTCAACTTTCATGGCGTCCCCCACAAATTCCAAACGGCCAAATAACAGGCTATGAGGTTGGCCTAGAGGTAAACGTTTGGGGAAGGAAATTTGATCTATAAAGGTGACTTATCAGCTGATCTCACGAGGAATGTGCCAAAATGGACAGAATGTTGCAGGAAGTGATGCTGCTGGAGGAGGAGGGGAACAACAACAACCAGCTGCTACTACGCTCCTTTCAGACAAATCATCCTTCACTCTTCAACAGCTACACCCACATTCACGCTATAGAATTGGAGTGGCAGCACGGACAGACACGGGCGCTGGAGAGAGAGTGACAAGAGAAGTTCAGGTTAGGATCTAGTAAGAGAATCTCACTTAAGGTTACCCCCTTAAGACTGCAAAAATTTTTATTTTTTAATGAGAAATCTTAAATAGGGAGTATCGCTTAGACCGCCCTTTGTCTAATATTGGGGGTATCTTATAGTGAGGTCTGACTATACAGCGATTTTTATATTAAACTGTTTTTATCATATTATCAACAGACTGATCAGTCAGTGCCAACAGCCCCTCCAGCCAATTTTCGTGTCGACAACATAGGCGAAAATAATGCCGAGTTGAGTTGGCATGCACCTCCATGCGTGCACACAAATGGTGATATAACTGAATATGAGGTGCTTTTTTGAAAACATTTTATTAAAATCCAAAAAATTTTTCACAGTACGAAATCGCTGCTGCGGACAGACTTTCTGCACAAATTCCACGCGTCACAGACGTCACTCGTTCCACACGTGTTCACTTAACCGGCTTGGTTCCGTCGACTTCTTATTCGGCCCGTGTGAGAGCTTTTACTGCGCGTGGTCCAGGACCTTGGTCGCCGGAATTGCGATTTCAAACGAGGCCTTCAGCATTGCGCGAGCCAATGCCACAACCGAGAGTTTATGCTACAGGAAATAATGAAGCTCAGTTGGTATGGCAAACAACTCAAGGGCAGTCTGGATATTGGGACAAGTTTGCATGTCAATGGGCACCTACTGGCACTCAAAAATACAAGGAAGAACGTGTTGTCCCTGCCTATAATCCATGTTCTGCCGATCTGGTCCGTCGCTATCAACTTCCACCCAGTACCACACAGCTACAGACCCATTGCACAGCCTTGCCTGTTCGACAAGATCCATCAGCACTTGACTATCGAGTACGTGCTAAACCTCAAGGACAGCCATGGACACAATGGAGTCCTCCTCAAAGACCTGTTGTTGTACAACCGCCACCACCTCCTCCCCCACGCCCTCCTCCTCAACAACCACGCCCAGCAATTGTTGATGATTGTATACAATTACTAGCTTTGCACAAACAAGGAGGATCTGCAAATACTTTGAGATTTGCTTGGTCTGTTCGTCCATCAGGTAGACTAAAGGGGAAATTTTTCTAAAATTTTTTTCTAAAGATTTGTTGCGTTGTGCTGCTTTTATTGTATCCGTGACACCCAGAGATGGTAGAGAACCTGCTCGCCAATTCCGAGTTGATTCTAGCACAAACCAATACACTGCAGATTCGTTAAGGCCTGGGACGGTATATGCGGTTAGTGTTCAGCCTGTAGTGAATGAACGACCCTGTCCTGGAATGACGGTTGACATGACTACTGATGTGGTATGTGAATTAGAAAGACAAATAATTGTTTATTGGTACCAATAAATTTTTTATTTTAAAAAGGAACCTCTCTTCCAACTGGACCAACGACCACGAATCGTCGAAGAAAGGGCCACCTCAATCACAATTGCTTGGGACGTCCCTTCATCCATTCAATGCTCATCCTTCATTGTTGAATACCGCCTAGAAACAGGTCCTTGGCAACAAATGCAGCAAAGGGTTCCTTGTCAGCCGGGCAGAACAACATATACAGCAACAGTACCAGGACTTCCTACAAATAGTGCTGTTGATTTGCGTGTTAGAGCTATTTCATTGCAAAACCAACCCAGCAATCCAAGCCCTGAGGTGATTAGGGAAATTTTTATATAGACCGCAATCCGCAATCTAGGTTGCGGACGGCATTGTGTCCGAAACTGTAGTCCGTAATGAAGTGAAGAATAATTTATTTATTTTTCAGGTCCGAGGCCACACAAAATGTTCACCTCCAGACTCTCCCCCTCATGGTTTACGTCTTGATTCCCCTACACAAAACGAAGTAAGGCTCAGTTGGGCACGTCTTTCAAAACTCAGTTGGAACTGTGACGAGCTTCAAATTGATATAGGCTACAGAACGGCTGATCAGCCCGAACGAATATTGACTGTCCCAGCAGACAAAGTCGAACATATTTTCTCCTCAGAACCAAACACCCGTTGGACAGTTAGACTGCGAGCTACAAACCAGGCAGGAAGTAGCCCTTGGGGACCAGAACAAACACTCGTTACAAGGCAAGGAGCGCCTGGACATGTACTAAATATGCAATTAACGCCTCTATCTCCAAACGAAATAAAAGTTACTTGGTCACCTCCAACCGTTCAAAGAGGAACTATTGTGGGTTATGACATCTCTTATAGACTAAAGCATAGATTGGCTTGTCCAGAAGAAGAGCCACGTGATGTTAGCAGAGATTTTGTTACAATCTATAATCATAAGGTGAGAGCGCAAAATTTTTGGGGTTCAATGTCATTTGTGAACCGACATTTGCATGACTTTTTAAATGACTTCTGGGTCTGGTCATTATCATTATCTAAGCATACAATAATATTTTTTAGTATATTTAGTACTTAGCACAAGAATAAAAAGCTTCCAGCATGTCCGCAAATGTCAGGTTCGCAAGTCTCACTCCACCATTTCTGGTGGAGCAAAATTTAAGGCGGATTCCGTTATTATGACGGAGGATTAGTAGCAATTGACTAGAAAATTTTTTTGTCTTCTTCACAGGATACCGAATATATCTTAACCGGTCTTCTTCCAAATTCATTATATGAAGTCAAAGTCCAAGCAAGAACAACACAACTAGGCCCAGAAGAAACCCGTGAGGGAGCAACCTTTCAACAACCTCCAAGTGCTCCGCCTCTAAATCTTCAATTGACTTATGCCTTGGAACGTTCTCTATCTTTTCAATGGGAACCTGTGGAATGTTCACAAAGGCATGGACAAATAATTGCTTATGAATACGAAATTATTGGACAGGATGATTGGGCAAAGTTGGAAAGACAAATTGCTAATATATCTCAACAGCGTGTAACTATTGATGGCCTTACACCTTATACTAAGGTGAACTCTTAAAAGTTTTTTGAATACAGTTCACAACACTAAGAACTCTCAGAATTAACATTTTTAAAATTTGGTTGGCCACTGGGGTAGGGGACCATTAAACGGTACCCTCTATTTAAGATACACGTCATTATAAGATACAATTTTTTACCTTAAAGGAAGGTATCTTATAGAGAGACCGAACTGTATTTATTTTTCTAAAATATTTTTAGTACGTTTTCCGAGTTCGTGCCTACAACGGCGTTGGCGGAGGACCTGCTACCGAAAATTTGGATGTAATGACGGCCAAAGCAAATGCACCACTTCCTCCCCAAGACCTTGTGGTCACTCAGGAGGGTGTTTCTTGGTAGATTAAAAAATATTGTGAAGTAATTTCAAAATCTTGTCAAGGTTCACAGTTTCTTGGCTTCCACCTTATCCTCCTTATGGACCACACGATCGTTATAAACTCCAATATCAACATTTGAGTTCATCACCAAATGATTGGAAAAGTATTGAGGTTGATTCAAGAAGCAGAGAGTTGGAATGCCCAGTCAGTTTAAAAATTTTGTTTTAGTAATAAATCGGTTTTATGATATTGATGTATCCGTCATGCTCCCAATATTTTCTAAACGTTTACAGGTACCCGGTCCACGTCTTTGCTACAATATTACCGGTCTTGATCAAGGACAGCAATACCGAGTCAAAGTAGCTGCCCATATTGAAGGAGGCAATTACGGTCCTTTCTCCCAGATTGGTAAAAGTTTCTTTTTTAGATTTAAAATATTTTTAAATTATTTTAAGTTATTGCAAACACACTAAGAGTTGTTCCTGGAGCTCCTGCTTCCATTGATTTGATAGCCAAAACTGACCATTCCTTGCATGTTGGGTGGAAACCTCCATATGACCAATTAGGGCAAATTACTGAGTTGGCATTTTGTCCTTTTTTTAAATAAATTTCTAATAAAAACTTTATTTAAAGGTATCGCCTATCTTGGCAATCTCTTGCCCATCCAAATGCTCGAAGTCAGTCTACAATTGTTGACCACCCCAAAATGGATCATTTAATTGATGGACTTGAGCCAGAGACTTATTACAATATTTCTCTCTCAGCCGGCACTCCACACGGATTTGGGCCGGAAATTTGGGCTCAGTTCAGGACAGACTCGTTCCGAACACCTTCTGTTCTACAAGCACCTATATTGACGCCTGAGGGGGCACATACAATACATGTGGAATGGACGGGGGTTGTAGACACTCAAAATAGAGTGGCTGGATATATTGTTGAAAGTAGAACCAGTGATGCTCCTCAATGGATTGAATCGAGTAGTGTGGTGAGTTTTGATTGGAATGAAGAATTGTAGTCGGAACTCATTTTTAAATACGCCCTTTTGTGTGTAAGAATATCACATCTTATAATAAGCGGTATCTCTCATACTGGGGGTATCTTTTAGTGAGGTCTGAATAGAATTATTCAAAATACCAATTAATTGGTTTACAAAAAATTAATTGTTAACCATACAAAGGTCCCGCATGAGCCAGGAAGGCGTCAATACAAAACTCGATTGGACGGTCTTGAACCTGATACTCTCTACTTTGTCCGTATCAAAGTAGTTGACAATCGCCAACGTGTAAGTGAAGCCTCTCCAGAAGCACATGCACGTACTGGTTGTGCTCCTCCAACTTCACCGCCCACAAGTGTTGCTTTACACGGGTCAAGTGATTGGCGTCAAGTTAGAGTTTCCTGGCAACCACCAAATAAACAAAGCTGGCTTTGTTCAACAATAAGTTATGAATTGGAATATCACAATGGATCGGTGCCTTCGAGATTAGTTGATGTTCCTAGGTAAATTATAGTTTTCTAAAAGGGAGAATACTCAGGAATTCCTTTAAATGATAGAAATGACCCAGTTTTATCGACTATAGCTTCAAAAATAATGATAAAAAATTCTGAAATTTCTGAGTCTAGGATGTTAAAGAAATTTAAGAAAATTTTTCTTGAAATCAGATTTAGGCCAGAACAATTCCAACCTAGCACAGTTTTTTCTCCATCAATGAATTTCTTTGTAACATGAATTCCCCCAAATAGCTAATCCTTATACATATAACTGAAACTTTCCTTCTTTCAAAAATCATCTTTATTAATTTCCAGCGGCTACACAGACCACAGTTTACCTTCAGGACCAGGGACAGCTTGGAGAGTCCGTGTTCGAACAAAGGTCAGAAATTACTTCTACATACCTCCAACTTTTTAAAAAATTTTAAAGAATCCTGCCGGTGTCTCTCCTTGGTCGCCAGAAGTTGAATTGAGAACAGGAGGTAGACCGCCGGGAGAAGTAACCGATCTCCGAGCAGATGCGACAGGTCCAGACAGCGTTTCCTCTACTTGGTCACCCCCTGAATCTGACGATGAAATAACTGGATATACTCTAGTCTACACATTAAAATCGATTGGGGAATGCGGGCCGAGTTCAGCCTCTAGACCTATTACGAGGGAAACAACAGAACCTAATTTGGATTTGCAAGGATTGTTGCCTGACTCTACTTATGATATTACTGTTACTGCACATACTGCTACTCAAGAAGGGAAACGGTCTAAAGTTGTTACTGTGAGGACTGAGGAAGCTCGTATGTTTGTTTAATTCTTGGGTATTAAATTGGTGTTCAATTGTCCAAAAATTTGACCTGAAAGAGGGTAGGGTAGTGCGCCAAAAAACGCAGAACATCATGGCGCTCAAATCTCCTGAATGAAATTTAAGGGAACCCGTAGCGTATAAATAGATTAAATCAATTTGGAACTATTAAAAACAATACTCAAAAACAATGTAAAATTAGCCCGTCCTCCAAAAAATATTTATCCCTTTTACAAAAATAAACATGAGTTATTATCAAGTATACAAACAACCAGAGTTGGCGAATCTAGGAAATTTTCGGATATCCGTATCCAAAATGGTTATATAATGATCAGCCAACTCCAAATACAACACAAAACAAATAATATATTTATAGGGAAAGAGTTCTTTTATTCATCCCAAACAATTTCGACTTGTCCTAACTCCATCCATAGCCCGGTCCACGAATGAGCACTGATGATCACATAGTAAGCGATAGTGCCGACAATAGTTTGCTGCCATATCGCAGATCATGTTTCTTAAAGTTTTTTAATTTAAAGACAGTCAGATTTCAGTATAAGGTAAACCCTTGGGGATAGAAAATCGAACCTAGTAATGAGCTGTTCCTTAAATAGAGTGTACCTTATAATAAGATTCCCCCAACCAATAGCCAACTAAATAGAGGTTTCTCTTATAACGAGGTCTGTCTAACAAAAAAACACCTTCCGAGTTGATCCATCGAATTTAACCAATCTGCCACACGCCAAACAAATCCAGCTGTTGAGACAAGGAAAAAGTGCAGAGGCGGCCAAATCCATCCAGTCAAAGCAGCAATTAGAGAAGCAATCATTGGCTGTAAAAGACCCAAACAAATGTAGAAGGCAATTGCTGCTAATGGATAGGCTAACACCTTTAAAGAAGGAAAAAATATTTTTTGAAAAAAATAATTGGAAGGACCTCATGTTCTGCAGCATAATTTCCAAGCCTAATCAACAAAGCTGTCAATTTGACCAATCCATCCCAAATGTGTGAACAACAGTCGGAACCATCATCATTACTCTGCATTGAACTGGAAATAAAGAAAATTATTTGGTGTCAAGTTAATCTCCATTTTAGATGGAATACATAAGTGATCGTGTAAAAGATTTAGGGGTGTAAAGGTCAGTTTTTTAGTGTGATAATCCAAAGATGTGGGGTGTGATAAGTCAGTGATGCGATAAGCGATTTGGCATTGGGAAAATTTGGAGGTTTAATTAAATTAAAAAAAAACTTACACAGAGAACGACACATAAGAGGAATCCAAATCTGATCCTTCCAGCAGGACATCAGAATTCACTCGGACCAACTCTGGATTAGAACAAACTCCATTCGGCTTTACTCGCTTCATCAAAGCAACATGAACTTCGCGTCTAATGTGATTTGTATCTTGCGAGGATTTACTGCTGCTGCTACCACTATATTGAATAGCAGAACTTGGAGATGATTGAATAGTTTGAGTTGAAGCACTACTGTGAGAATGTTTAGCGCGTTGTTGAAAGTTTCCTCCTTTCTGTTCCCGTCCTTGACCGTCACAAATGTTTTTGAAGATATCCCTGAAAAAAGTGGGGAATGAAATGTAGTTTTGTTGAAAATAATATCAAGTAGATACAGTCAAACCTTGCTTGTAGGTAAATACATCCCCGGGGGTGAATAATGTTCTCTTATAATGAGGTGTATCTTAAATAGAGGGTATCACTTATAGGCAACTCTCCCATTCAGTCCCTCAAATAGAATTGTATCTTTATTGGGGGTAACTTATAAAGAGGTTTGACTGTATTGTCTAAACTCACAATCTATGCTGTCCTTTATCTGTCAGGGAAAGAGTACTTGCCTCCCCAAAAGTTTCCTCATTGAATAGATCATCTGGCAATGGGCAGGGTACGTCATCAATGCGCTCCCTTGCATTTCTGAAAATGAGAAGATTTTTAAGGTCAAAAAATCCCTCCTCCACTTACTTTTTTTGCTTCTTTCCAATGATTGATTGTCGCCTTCGTTGTATCTGTTTGTTCTTCTTCTGGACAGAACGATTGCGCGGTTTGTGCGAACTATTTGAAATTATCAACGTCATTTTGTTTTGATTGGTTTGTTGTTGTTTTTGTGTTGACGTTCTTGTGGTGTAGGAGAAGCTTGATGTTTAAGCCACCAAAGAACGGAACAGAATGAGAGCGACGCGCCTGCGAATGATTTTGTAGTGTGTTGAAAACATTGAAGCTTTAATGCTTTTATATTAACTTTTTATGCTAGAGAGGGTGAATTAGGATAAATTAAAAAGAGAAGGCTGTAAACAACACTTCGGTAGTTTAGTCGGTAGAGCACCTGTATATGTATACGAAGTGAGCGAAAGCCCCCTAGCAATTGCTAAGAAAAAAGGTTACAGGTTCGATGCCTGTCCGTGTTTAAACGTTTACTCTTACTATTGTTTTGTGTTGTACATATACATCCAGGATATAAGGAAAATTAAATTATACCTATGTGGGATTTGTTTTGGGAAACTAGAAAATTTTCTAAAAAATTCTCTGTTAAAGTTTGATTTCTTTCTTGATTCTTCTTATCTTTTTCCTTCTCCTAAGCAAAATATACTATACTTTTAATTAATTAAAGCACCAACTGGTCATCCAAAGAATTTGCGTGTAGCCTCAGTCACCTCAACTAAAGCAGAATTACTTTGGAATGAAATTGAATGTGAACTTCGTCATGGACGTATTATCGGTTATGAATACGAATTGGATGATACAAGCGGGGAAAGTCAAAATATAAGTGAACAATCAACGGCTAGAAGAGTTTCTTTGGATGGATTGATCCCTTTTACTGAATATAGAGCTAGAGTGAGAGGAAAAAATTCGAAAGGGGAAGGGCCGTTTTCTGAATATGTTGCTTTTAGAACTTTGCCTGCTGGTACATTTGTTTATTTTTTTAATTTAAAATTAGCTCGTGAGAGCATATCAAACAATTAAAAACCTAAAATCCTTACAATCCCCCATTTTTTATTATTCAGCACCACCTCCACCCACCGATCTTCGCATTGAAGAACAACTTGCCCATGCATTAGAGATATCCTTCTTGCCCCCACACCCACCTAATGGAATTTTGGACCAATACAGAATTAGATGGACTCCTCACAAAAAGTTTAATTATCGCGATCAAAAAGTGCCAGCATATCAATTGGAATGTTCAGCCCCTCAAATGAGAGGAAGGCTATGTTATAGAATTACTGGATTGGAACCGGAACAAGAATATGAAATACAAGTAAGTATACTACACTATAAGATACCTCCTCAAAACTAAAAAAATCGTCTCTTAAATGAGAGGTTTCTAATTCTGGGGGTATCTTATAATGATGTCCTGGCTATAAGTAAATCCAATTTAAATACACTTTAATTTAAGATACCCCCAATACACCCCTCCCTATAAGACTACACTCAAAATACCTCAATTTACTTTTTCATAAAAATTATTTGGTCACAGGGTAGGAGGGCTTACTAAGCGATACCCTCTATTTAGTACACACACTTTTTTGATACACCTAAGTTATTTGTTACAATTGTTCAGCCATATAATAAATTTTCTATTTAATCTTTAAAGGCTGCAGCACACACTGAACACGGAGATTGGGGAGACTGGAGTGAACCTTTGATTACTCCCACAGGAATACAAAGTAAATAAAAAGGAAGGGAATAATATTAAATTTCAATTAAATTAATTTCAGTAATTCCCGTATTAGAAGCGCCTTTAGAACTTGATTTTGTCCATTCAACAAGTATCGGTGTCAGATGGCGTGGTCTAGATGAAAAAGACGCTGAACATATTGTTGGCTATATTCTTGAATATAAATCAGAAGATGACACAGATTGGACTGAATGGAATGGGGTTGTTAGACATCGATCTAGACAACCTGAATATAAAGCAACTGTTAAAGGATTGATTGAATCTACTGAATATTTCTTTCGATTGAGGGTAGGCATTTTAGTATTAGTGTAGGGATCTTTTTTGCGGACTTTTTTGCGTCTTTTTTAAATAAAAAATTTATTTTTAAAGGTTGTTGGAAAAGGTGACAAACGTGGAGGACCTGGACCTGAGTTGAAAGCAATCACAAAATGTGGAAGTAAACAAAAAATTTCTATTAAAGATAGTTAAACAATTTTAGAACCAGAACAGCCCCCAGGAAATGTCCGTATTGAACCTGTTGATTTCCAACAAGTCAAAATTGTCTGGGAACCTCCAGACGAAACCACATGGAAATGTGATCAAGTAAACTTGGCTCTTCATTATACAAATGCAAGTGGCCAACAAAGGACTATGACATTTCCTCCAGATGGACCTAAAGAGGTATTTTGAGGGGACATTTTTTGAAAATTTTTTTTTGCAAATTTTGCGGACATTTTTCAAAATTTAATTTAAAAGGTTTTGTTCGACTCTGTCCCCGGCACTCGTTGGGAGGCAAAAATGCGCACAGAAACTGTTGAACCTGGAGAAGAACCAAAACATTCTGGATGGAGTAACCGAGCAGTTCTCGTCACAAAGGCACCCCCTTCTGAGATATTCCTTAAAACAAACGCTCTTGGTCCAACACAGGGAGAAGCATTTTGGGGACTTCCGGCTGAATATGCGGACTGGCCTTGGGGTGTAGATTTACAATATAGATTGCTTCAATTGGGTGGTTGCAAAAAATTAGACAAATCAATGACACAACCTGTTGTTCTTGAAAATGTTCAGGACAAACATGTGAGGGAATTTTGTATAGTAAACCCTCACTATAAGAAAATTCTCAGAATTAGATACACCTCGATTTAAGATATGATCTTAAATATTTGGTTGGTCACTTGAAATACTCTCCATTTAGGATACCCTCGTAACTCCTTTTCATCATCAGTTTATATATCTTATAGTGAGGTTAAAATGTATTTTCTTGACTCGTTTTTCAACTAGAGTCCCTTCAATTTTAGGTTTTGTTAGACAATCTTTACCCCGGTTCTGAATACGAAGTGACCGTCACATTGCGTCAACCACCAGGCTATGACAGAAGAATTCCACCTAAAAAAGCTGTTCAACGATTCAAAACCGAAGATCAACCCCCAACTGGAGCCCCGCACAAATTACGAGTTGAAAGCCGTCAAGACACAAAATTGGGCTTTGGTTGGGAACCACCAGAATGTTTGGAACAGAACGGAGAAATTAGTCAATACGAATATGAATTGGTTGGGTTAGAAGATTGGAATCAAGGAACTCGTGAAGGCGTTAGCCCTAGAACGCGCGCAGACATTGGAGAATTACAACCTGGATCTCTTTATCGTTTTCGTGTTAGGGCATTTACTTCAGCTGGCCCTGGACCTTGGAGTGAACCTATTGATGCTAGAACTACTGGTAATAAATAATTGTTTTTTGTTTGAACTGACTTAGATATCAGACTGAAACTTCAAGAATCCCGATTATTTAAAGGAGGGCATGAATCATCTTTCTATCACCGCCTCCTCCATAGCTTTAAGAATTAAATAGCTATCTAAATTGCACTTTAGTTGTCTGTAGATTCTGTCCTTCCTTCCATAGATATCAGAACTACAAATTTCTGTTCCAATCCATTACATTCTATTTTATAACATAAATCTTATTTGTATTTTTAAAGGTTCCGAAATCGGCCCTCCACGTGATTTAACTGCTCTAAAAACAGCCGATACATTTGTGGAACTAGCTTGGCTTCCTCCACATCCAGAAACATCGACTATTACTGCATATAGAGTCCGTTATGGACCTTCAGCTGATACTTCGAGAACTCAGGAGATTATTTTGCGGGTATGGGAATAGGAGGAGATTAATACAACCAAACCTCATTTAAAAATATATCCAAAATATTATATACACCTCCATACAGAATTTTAAAATTTGGTTGACCAACTGGGTGGGAGCTGCCTAGGCGATACTTCAATTTAGTATACTCCTCATTATAAGCCACGTTTTTCTGTTCCAAAGGGGTATTTCAAGTGAGGTTTGACTGAAAATATATTTAACAAAAAATTTTCATTGTTCTCTTAAAAGGGTGACGAATTAACCTGTTCTGGTTATGAAAGCTCTTCAGCTATACTAACAACCGGTGACCGTCTCTGTACAACAGTAACTGGACTAAAACAGCTGAGTACCTACCGATTCGCAGTTCAAGCCCAAGCATCATCAGGAAATTGGGGGCCTTTTACGCCGGACATTTTTGCAACAACAAGTTCACCCATAGTTGGAGAACTCTATGAAGGAGGAAATATAAAATTGCTCTCAGCTGGACACGACAATTTAAAAATTAAATGGACACCGCCAGGAATTCTTGCCCCAACAATTGATAGATATGAATTGTTAATTGCAATGGCTGCTCCTTTGGAAACGGCTAAAAGATATGATACTCCGGGCTCTCAGACTGATTATCATTTTAAGGGATTAAATCCTATTACTTTGTGAGTGAAATATTTTTCTTTAATATACAGTGGATCTCTAGTTATTAGAACCACTTGGGGTATCCTATAACGATGTTTATCTTAAATAGAGAGTATCGCTCTCCTTTTTAAATACAGTAAACTCCCTATATACTCATTGCACAGCAGACTAGCGCAGGCAAAAGAGGGGACATAGCGGAATTTAAATTTTGGTTAAGTGGCTAAGAGCGGTGACTACAAAATCGTTTAAAAATAGGTCGCGGGTTCGAACCTTTTCATGGTTAATTAATATTTTCCTATTAGATAAGTTAAATAAAACATAAAAGAAACATTTTAAATAATATTTTAAGTGTGTAAAATTTTTTTTAAACTTTTAAAAATAAAAACGGGAAAAATTAAAAAAAAGCCGGCTGTTATTTTTTAATGTAATTTTTGCAAATTTGGATTGATTTGGACAAATGAGGTGTCATTCGAAAGAGCTCTAAAAAATGAGTCGAACTTGATGTGAACGAAGGATCCGACATTCCGGGACCGAGTTACAGTCTCCCGAAAGTTGAAAACCACAGGAGGGCCCCTAGCCGATTTTGGTGACAAAAATTCAAATATAAAAATTATAGCTCATTCGAAAGAGCTCGTCGAGCTGAGTCGAATGACACTAATCATGGGGTGCGGAAATGCCTGTGGACCGAGATACAGGTCCCTAAAATTCCGATTTTCGGGGTCGAAAATTCGACTATACAAATTATAGCTCATTCGAAAGAGCTCCTTGAGCTGAGTCGAATGAGACCAAAATCTCCGTGATTAGTTTCCGACTTCACCTCAATATAGCACAAAAGCGGTTATTCCGGCGAAAATACAAATTGCCTGTAACTTTTTTCAGAATCTTAGAATCGAGCTGATTTTAGTGGCATTCGAATCAGCTCGTCGAGACGAATCGAATAGTATACCGTATTTCCTAAAATAAAGCCCCATGGGGCTCTATTTTTCAACTATCCTCCAGAGTGGGGCTCTATTTTAGGGTGGGGCTCTAATTTAGCATGGGGCTCTAAATTTCAACCTATTTTTCAAATTACAAAAATGAAAAATAGATTCTTTTTATTTACGAAATTTAGGAAAAATTTTCGATTTTCAATAATTTTTGCAGACTTAAGATTTTGTCTATCTTTCCAAAAGTTTCTTCTGCGGCGTTGAAAATAAAGAAAGCTAACTCCTTGGCCTTCCAAGGCTCTCAAAAATTTCGCCTTAAAATACCCTAATGTTCAATAATACTTTATTCCCTCAAATCCCTTTATTCCCCTTAAACTCTTAATAAATAATAATAAAGCGGTTGGTCCCGTTTCCCAATGCCTTCAAAATGGGGTTATTGGATTGGAGTTTCACAAGCGTCCTTGTGTGAACTCCGCAAAGTATAGGACATAGGCAAGCGTGGGATATAGGGGAGTTTTGATCGGGAGACGTCTTCCCTCAGAATCAGACACTAGGACTGACTGACATCCTTTTTCGGACTGACAACTTTTACTCACCAAAATATTACAATATCACTTATAATCCATTTAAATTTGCCTCATTCAATATCCCCCGAATGGACACTTAAATTCCTTAACCGGATTTTCTCAGAATGGCAGTTTGTGCTAAACTTCGGATTGCTCTGGGAAGGTCCCTTAATCCAAAATAGCTCCCCCAACCCTCTTAATTTTAATCTCTCGATATCCCTTTTAATCCCCAAATTCACTAACATCCATTTACTCATCCAACCCCTCTCCCCTTTTACTCACATCTTAACAATTTTGTTTACCAATTTGGAATAAAAGTAAATTTAAAAAAGTGAGGTGGGGCTCTATTTTAGAGTGGGGCTCTAATTTAGCATGGGGCTCTAAATTTGAACTATCCTCCAAAGTGGGGCTCTATTTTAGGGTGGGGCACTAATTTAGCATGGGGCTTTATTTTAGGAAATACGGTATGTTACGACCAAAACTTTCAAGATTTTTAACGAGTAAAAGGCATTTTTCTAAACCTGATTTATTCGGCCATTCATAACTTTTTTAAGATATTCAAAAAATCTATAAATATGGTTTTAAAACAAAGATAAGACTCTCATTCATTATTTAAAATAAGCAAAATTTAAAAAAATAAGATTCTCGAAAGATGAAGATTCTCGAAGTTGACATGTTCAAGCAAACAAATTTTATGTCAAATATTTAACGAAATAACACGCGAAAAAAATAGAGCGACAAAGAAAAAGAGATAAATTTAGCTCTTTTTTAATTAGTTGGCGTTCTGCCCCAATAAATGACATTTGTTTCGCTATGACCCTTGCTAGTCTGCTGTGTCATTGGGACAAAAAATCATATCTTAAGAAACTTAATTGAGGGTTTTGCTTACAATTAGACAGCTCATATATTCAATTGCTAACCAAATTTTAAATCTTAAATGGACGTTTCTCTATTATGGGGGTATATTATAGTGAGGTCCACTGTATTTTTTCTTTTAGATACAACATAACTGTGAGAGGATTGCAAGACAACAAATCAAAGTGGACGATATCTGGTACATTTGCCACTACTGACAAAACGTAAAGATTTATTTTCAATGATTCTTTTAGACTAGTGCTTTCCGAATTTCTAAGAATTGAAAATTCTCCGGTTGTTTGGCCAACCAGAGACTGTCCCGCCTTCAGACAATTCCTGGAATTCCGTAACCTCGGTTAAGGAATATGGAAAGCATCCTTAATTTCGGATAAAAAATTTATGAATCCATTTAAAAGTTCATGCGTCCAATGAAAAATCATGAGTACATCTGTGGATCAGGGAATCAAGATGATTTTCTACTGATATCCCATCGTCTTTTCAAATGTCCTAATGCCCCTTAATACATCGATATCCCCTTTAATCCACTCAAATGAATCGATATCTCCATTGATCCCGCCAAATCCCTCATTATCCCCCTTAATCTCTTCCAGATCCCTTATTAAGCTTGTGAAGAAATTAAAAAAATAGGTGTTGATCAAAATGTTGGATGTCTTCAGGGTCACTATAGCTTCAGGATGTAGGTCTTCAGGGGTGACCTCTTTAAAATTGGATCATAAAAGTTTGAGTGGATGCATAAACTAGATCAGCTCAATATTTTTTGCCTCATTTCTAGCGAACCAACAGAACTTGATTGGCTTGGACCTCCCACAGATCTTCGTCTAATCGAAAAATCTGACACAATGCTTCACGTTACATGGACACCTCCAGATATATTTGAGCCAGAATATCGGGATCTGTTAACACATTATCGTGTCACTATTGCTCCTGTCGATGAATATACAATGAAAATGGGGCCTAGAAAGAATTACACTGTTATGGGTTGGTGGTTAATAATATATAGAAAGATTTTTAGAGTATTGGATTATATGGCAAATTAAAAATGCCAAAAATCTGTAAAAAATGGACGCCAAACTGAACCCAAGAAAAAAAACCGAAAGTCTAGGGAAGACCCAGGCCTAAGAAACTCAGTGAGGCTAAGAATGCCTGGAACTGGACCAGGGATGGGTTGTGTTTCGGGTTGAAGCAATTCCGGGCTTCGGGTGGCCAGTTCAATCTCTAGTGTTTAATTGTTTTTTGAATCAATTTTTACATTTAAGTGCCAGGAAATTCCATCAAGTTTACGGAGCTACAGCCTGAAACTATTTACAATATAACAGTGCAAGGTGGCACAGATGTAGGATATGGACAAATGATTTGGGGGGCGTGGGCAACGTTGCCTACTGGGAAGACATGGATATTACGATTGAAGGACAGAACACCGAACACTTTGACTGTTGAATGGGAACCTATTTGGGGATTCTCCCATCGTGGGTATATTGTGAGTTTGTTTAGAGAATTTATCTACTAACGGACCTCTTTATAAGATACTCCCAGTATTAGAATGAATAAAGCGAACCTCTCTATTTTTGTTATCCTCTATTCGATATATGGATCATTATAAGATGCAATTTTTTCAGCGTATCTTATAGTGAGGTCCGACTGTATTAATTGAACAGATATCAATTTGTCAAATTTTCCAGTTGACAGCTAAATCCCTCCATTCTATCTACCCCCATGTCCGTGTGGGTGGAGTCAAGTCCTTCGACGTCAGTCCAACAGCAACAGAATTTACAATTACCGGATTGGAACCTGCATCTACTTACAATGTCACTCTTACTCTTAAAGATCAAATGGATGGAGCTTGGGGGGTTTACTCAACATTGCCTCCGGGATGGTACTTGCCGAGAAATTTGAAGCATTGTGACCAGACTCCTTTTGCTACCTCGTTGAGGCTAGTTGATATTTTGAGTTTAGTAGGAAAATGCTTAGATTTATGCTGCAATGGGCAGAGGTTCGAATCCCACGTGTTGAAAATAATTTTATTTGAGTAAATATACATAAATAAATAAAATATTAACCAGTTATTCAAAAAAATTTTTTCTTCCAGTTGGGAGCCTGTAGAAGCTAACATGGCGTCAGAATATCAAGTTCGCTATATTCACCTACACTCTTCCCGCACTCTATGGAAGGAAGAGGAGGCCAAATTCAGCAAATATTTGCTTTGTCCAAAAGACCCCTGTGGACGTCATTGCTATTTGGTCTTTAACTTGGATCACAATCCGGACGATTATGCCTTTATGGTCCGGGCAAAAGTGGACGGGATTTGGAATAACTGGAAATTGGCTGGACGTCCAACAATCGCTGACCAACCAGATGTCAAAGAACGTTGTTGTATCGTTCCTCCACCTTACAAAGTTGAAAGTATTGGGCACGACGGAACTCATTGGGATGTCCCTATAGCCCCCTCACCTACCGACCACAATATTACTCGTTATTATGTTGTTGTGGATGAAAGAGACCCTCCTGGAGATACAAACTGGACAATGTTGACAGACAAAGTAACGGCACATCGTCTACATATTCCTTATTATGTAACGGCTTCTTACTCTACACAAACTTTGGAATCCCATACAAATGTGAGGATTGGGAATGGATCGGTTATTGGTGGATATTTGAACTATCCGTTACAAAAAGGGAAGACATACCATTATGAGGTGAATTTTAATATATTTTAGGAAATTATATTTCGAACCAGAGTTTGGTGAAAATATTCAAAAATCAAAATTGAAATTTTGAAATATAACTCTTTTCGAACCTCAATTTTACTTACATACACTTTTTGGATACCCGAAACTCTCCGGTTCTTTTTCTCAACAAGACCATCTCTTAAACTTTGAGGTATCGCATTCCAACCAAACTCGAAAAATATCCCTTAACTTGAGATTTTTACTTAGTTGTGATCTAGTTATTAGTTTTATCGACATTAACCCGGAATGGGCAAAGTTTAAGATTGAAACTTCAATTTTTGAAATATGGGGATTAATACTGCTAGATTTACTCTATTAAACATGCTGGATTTCCTCAATTTTGTCCTACCAATAAACTAAAAAATATTTTTAAATGTTCCAAATTTGTACACAAAAAATTTCTGTTAATTTTATTTATTCAAAAATTTATTTATTTTTCTCTTTTCTCTTTAAGATATATACAAAATGGATGATGCATGGTGATCAGCCTGTCATTGCACGACAAAGACGTAAATTTATTTTATTTAAAATTAAAGCTAATTTTTGTGTCAAAAAATGTGTAAACTAAATATATATTTAGTTTGTATTTATTCAAAAAATAATTCTTTAAAATTCTTTAAAAATGACCACCTTCCTATCAGGAAATCGTCCAGATGGTATTTAAATTAATTTTAGATATTTGAGAATTGAAACTCTTTAATTATATCGATCAAAGGAGATCAACCCCTCCCCCCCCCCCTCCTCCTCTCTTTTTCCCCTATCAACATAGCCAAAACAGATGTTCTCTAAAATTTGTTTGGCCAGGGAGTTTTGTCTAAACAATACCTTTTATTTAAAGATATCCTCATTTTAGGTACGGTGAAATAAAAAAATAAAAATTCTTATAATCCGACTGTATTTTATTCAATTTAAGTTACCCTCCTTATTATAAGCCAATATTTTTCGGTCACCCGAGTTTATGAGTTTCTGAATATACATATATTTCCCCCAAAACTTTAAAAAAATAATTTAAATTAAAGCTATCCCCCCATGGAATCGCCAAAATGCTCAAAGAGCAGTTGTAATATTTATTCCAATTGTAATCCTTTTGGTTGTTGTAATAGGCTTTTTTGGTTTAAACCGTAAGTGGATAAGTGAATGAGTGTTTTGTTTGTTGTTGTTGTTGTTGTTCTACCCAACTTCCCTCCCTTCCCATTTTCTTTCCTTAAATTTTCTCCTTTTCCTTGTTTTCTTAACAAATTTTCCCCATAATTTTTAGCAGAAGCATTCCTAGCAGCTGGTTGGCCGTGGTGGTGGTTGTTACTTTTATTATTGTTGTTGCTTCTTTTGTGTCTCTTGCTCTCAGTTTTGCTATTTTGGCTGTTGAAAAAGTTTTTAAAATAATTTTTTAGACAAAAAAGATTACCTAAATAGCCCCCTTTACCTTAATATTTTTCACTTTCCTACTTGATTAAAAGAAATATTCCAGTAACTCTACTCTATCCCAAAAAAGACTAACTAACAAACAACCATAAGATTGCCATAACGACGTCCAAGACTCAGTCTTGGGTTTTGACTCAAATCTTTTATTGAATTTCCTCAGTCCTCCGGCTGAACTTTTGGTCCTTAAATTCGGTTTTGGATGTCCATAATCCCTTTCTATTTCATCTCAACAAAATGAAATATAATGCTCCCCACTAATCCTCATATCCTTTACACAATAGTGAAGGCTAAAATTTTATTTTTTTATTTTTTTAAAAACAATTACCCGATTAATTAATCAATTTCTCCAACTAACACTTAATTTATTTGTTATTTATTAAATTTTAACAAATTAATTTTAAGATGTGGTAAAAAACACTATAGAAATGGCCAACACGAACCTCTTATCAAAGAAAAATATGAGAGATATGAACATACTAGAGGCAACTTTGAAGATGGGTATTCACAAGGATATCGTGCTGGGAGAGGTGGAAGGCGTGTTGAGGAAGATTGGAGGGGAAGGGATGAGGCGTTTAGAGTAAGGGAAAATTTTAATTTAAAATACAGACAAACTTCTTTATACCCAGATACCTCCAATAATAGATACACCTCGATATAGAATACGATTTGTTAAAATTTGGTTGGGGAGCTGTCTAATGTTTAAGATACACCTCATTTTTAGGGTTTTTGAGTCCCTACTCATCATAAGATGTGATTTTTTCAGCCTTGATGGGTAAATATAAACGAGACATTGACTGAATAAAATTTGCTTTAAGATTTATAAAAAATAAAAAAATTTTCTTAGGAGGGTTATGCAAAAGGCCTTCGTGATACAGGTGATAGAGGTATGAGCACCTCAATGGCCAATTTAGCACAGCGTCCAACTCAACGGCTGGGTTACTCTTCGGGTTATATGCAAGGCTTTAGAGATGGATCTTCAGGTAATTTTGTCATTTTTGTTAAGTGTGATGTGCTCATTTTGTGAACTTTTTTGTTGAAAATGATTGGAAAAAATATTCAAAGGAGAGGAGCATTCCCTCTTTACAAGGGCCATAAAATTAGAAAATAATTTTTAAATTTAGGCGTCTTCGGTGACAGAATAACCGAAAGTCTGTTAAAACGATTGGAAGAGCAATACCCAGATAATGAGGAATTCCGTACCGGATATATTGACGGATTTAAAGATGGGGTTGGGGGAGGTCGTTTTGAAGATTCTCGAAGAATACAGCAAAGTTTGACTGAATTAACAGAACGGTTAACTACAATAGAAAAAACTGTGGAAAAAGGGGATGAAATACATTCTACAAAAATATATCATGTTTACAATCAATCACCTGAAATGCTGGCACAAGGACAACAATTAGTTAGCGAGTTGGAAGAGGTAATATGTAGAGAATGTTGTTTTTTAAGTTTAAAAAATCTGAACAAACCAGTCTACCCAGGAGTCATTAATAATTTTTACGGACTTTTTATAAGGATCTTTATTGACTCGGCTAACGTAAAGCATACCAGATTTGCCATAAACTTAATTTAAGACCTGCGGTAGACAGGGTTGTGGTAGACTACTAATACCTTTCGGAATTAAAAATATTTTTTTAGTTGGCTTCCGGCTCTAAACGAAGTACTTTACGTCGTCATTACACACCTGGCGATTATTTGCGTTATGATGAGGCTAGTGGGGAATATAACAGCCTCGGGAGAAGTAGGCGTTCAATGAGTGCTACAGCACTTGGACGGGGTGGTGGAGGTGAGGAAAATTAATTTTTTGGGATATTTCTTGAATAAAATTAATAACTAATACTGTTTTGGCCTGACTATAATATACTCCCTCCTTTAGGCTAAAAATCGCCTTATAATTTTCATCTTAACTAGGGGATATATCTTAGATCCCCCCTCTGCTATCTTAAACTGAGGTTTATTTAGTTTTGAGAGTATCTTATAGTGAGGTTTTCAGGTATTTGATTAATTTTTATATTTGTGTGAGCAAACTTATTTTGAGTGGCCAAAAAATAGTATTTTTTTTTATTTTTTGTAAAAATTTTATTTTTTATTTAGTGTGTTTACATTTTCGTATTTGAGTGTGTTATTTGCTTTTTTATTTTTTTTATTTTTGTTTTTTGCATCTTAGATGCTTATGCCGTTCTATACGACCGTGAACGTCACCATTCTGGCTCCATTGAAGGCCAGGACATTTCCGCAACTGCAGGACGTTCAGCAACAACAACAAACGCTGCTCGTTACGGCCAATATAGAAGCCGTTCTGAATTGGCAGGGATGGGAGGGACATCTCCTCCGAGACGCTATGCCTCCCAAACTTTGTTAGACGGAGCGAGACCTGGTCCAACAACAGGTCCAACAGCTGCCACAACAGCACATTCAAGAAGAGACGCTCTGTACGAATTACAAAGAGAATTGGACTCGTTAGCAAGTAGATCCCCTGCAAGTGGAGGGGAGTTTGTTGGGACTGCAAGACAACAACAAATATTGCCTGGAAGGTGGGATACAGCTGTGAGTAGTGGAAGCAGTATTTTTGCTTCTGCTGCTGCACAACAACAGCAACAACAACAACGAAATTACGAGTTTGGTAGGAAGGAATTTATTTTTAATTTTTTGTTTTTTTGTTTATTTGAAGTTTGTTTTTAATATTTTTTTAGTTTTTTACATTTTCTGTTGTTTTCTAAAAAATTTTTTGCTTATTTCGGTTATGTTCTAAAAATCCGAAAATTGAGGAGGGGGGGGGGTTAAGGAGGAAAAGAAAATGAGAGAAAAGTTAATTTACAATGTGGAATTACTATGAGATCTGGTTCATAAAGCGTTATCAAGATTTTTTGAGGCAACTTGATTAGTCCTTAAGTTTTGATTCTATTTTATATATATTTTGTCTATTCCCATCAATATACTACTACATATTTATATATTTAGAACAACAACAAACTTCAGCAATCACAACAACCCACCAATGGCCAGAAGATTTAATTGAAATTGTCCACGAACCAATGGGTCAAACTTTGGACAGAATGCGGCGTTTCAGTACTTCTCTATCCAACGTAGAAAGGACAGAAGGAGCAGCAGCTGAAACAGAAAAAGTAGATCATCAAGAAAAATATAAACGAACATATAGAGAGGTAATTTAAATAAATAATTTAAAGAAAAATATTTTCTTTTAAGGAATACTCGTAAATATGTGTATGAGTGCAAATTATAAAAGAAGTGAATGCTCTAAAAACTTTACTCAAAACATCCATTCAGAGTTTAATGTTTTAAATGTTTTGATGTTGTTCTCTTTGTTTTTTCTTTATATTTTTATATTTAATATTTTTCTCTAAACTTTTATTTTTTCCGGAAAAATAATGAGGTAACAATAAGTTGCTAAACAAGTTTTTAAAAACAAGTTGCAATTTTCAAACATGTTTTACAACTATTTATACCAACTTCATGTTTTTAGGAAAGTTTTCAGGAATGTTTTTGTGGAAGTTTTACAAAACATTTACTTGGAAATTATTTAAACATGAGTGAGCAACATCTAAACAAACTTTAATTTTCGCTCAAACATGTTGGCGCATTTTACTGCCTTTATTAATTCTCACTTTTATATTCTTTTTTCTCGATCGCTGCCATTTCCCTCTTTTTCCTTTTCCTTTAAAATTTTTAATTTTTTCCTCCAGTCAATATATTTTTTAAAATATAATTGACTATTTTTGCATTTAAAAATACAGTTAAACCTCATTATAGGATACTCTCTATTTAAGATAACCTCATTTATAAGAGAATTTTTTAGAGGAGATATCTTAGAACGAGGTTTGATTGTATGTATGTGGATTGCTCACCCTTCCTTTCATTTTTTATTGTTTATTTTTTAATAGCCCATTTATGTATGTGGTAAATAAATAAATTTTTATTTTTTTTTTCAATAAAATTTTTTTAAAAATTTTAGTTAAAAAATTAATTTTTTTTAAGTTTTGGCCATTAATAAATAAATAAATAAATAAATAAATAAATAAATAAATATGTAAATAAATAAATAAATAAATAAATAAATAAATAAATAAATAAATAAATAAATAAATAAATAAATAAATAAATAAATAAATAAATAAATAAATAAATAAATAAATAAATAAATAAATAAATAAATAAATAAATATACTCTCTCTCTTTATTTTTAAAATTAATTTTATTTAGCAAAAAGTGAAAGAAAAAACCGGTATAAAAACATGAAAAGAAAATTTAAATAAAATAAACTTTCTACACACTAGTTGGCCTTGGAAGGAAGGAGGGAAATAATTTAAATATTAAATTTAAAAAACTGGAAAGTTTGGACGTAATAAAAAATGTGACGCGTTGTATTGCCCAAATTGTCCTAAATATGTGGCCTAAACAAAACTTTGTTTTATAAATTATGTATTATAAACTTGCAAGAATAGTATTAAAACATTGAGCATCTAAAAATTGATGTTTTTATTTTAAAAGTGTTTTATATTGCTGTTTTTATGTTTTAATAGATGTTTTTAGTAATGTTTTTATAATTGTTTTTCACAATGTTTTCTATATATTCATAGACTTTTTAGCTTTTTGATATGTTTTGTTATATTTTTAATTAACGTTTTTCCAATGTTTGTTTGCTAAATTAATGTTTTTAAAATATTCAAATATAGGTATTAAGTTTTAACCAGACCTGCACATGGATATGGATAATAATATCCGTAATATCCACTGATATATCCGGATACAGACGAATATGGATACTGTTTTTGAAAATCGGACGGATACGCGGACATCCGTGCATAATTTTTTTCTACCCTACAATTTTCTACTCTTAAAAATTTTTTTGGAGGTTCGGGAAGAAATAGGCCAGGAAGAAATTTATTTTTAAAAAAGAAAGAAATTTGCGGAATAGCAAAAGGAGGAGAATTGGAATTTTTGCGTTGATTTCGTCAAAAATACGTAAAACGCATAACTCAACGCAAGGCCAAAATTTAACGGAAATAATGCAATACGCTTTGCGTTATCGGATCGGGGTTCTGGCTGAAAAACCGAGTTTCGGATCAACCCGATCAATATCTAGTTCCTACCGATGTATTACAGATGTTGGTGTTTCTAAATTTTCTAAAAATTTTACAAAGAATAAATTTTAAAAATATTAACTAAGCTTTGTTGATGTTTTTGTTGATGTTTAAACTGTTTTTGTCTTTTAAATATGTTTGGAAATGTTTAGGCAATATTTAAAGATGTTTAAGTTCATTTGTTTTATAAACAACCTATTAATTTCTGTTTAAATCTTCAATGTCTTTATCGGAATTTTTAAATTCAAAATATGCACAAACAAAGCTTTTTTTTGCTAAATTCCCAAGGAAGAAAAAAAATATTTTTTATGGATTAAAAAACAAAAATTTTTTTTTATTTTTTATATATTAGCTACAAAAAAGACTACTAGCTATATTTAAATATTTTTCTCACCTCCCTGCGCAGAGCAACAATCATTTAAAACAACGAAAATAGGGAACCTTAGACGTTCTTTTTTCTTCTTCCCTTTATTTTTTCTTCCATTTTTTTCTTCCTTTTTTTATCTTTCTACATTTTTTTATTTTCACCTTCACCCTGTCTCTTTCCCTTTACCCCTTCCCCCCAATTCAGCCAATTTTTTATATATTTATTTTTTGAGTAAAGGGCCGGGACCGGTCTTCAATGAAAAACTGTAAAATAGTAAGCAATATATCTCTCCGGAAAATATAGAGATTGATGACGATCTCTGATGGGGAAAATTTTTAGAGAGAAAATGAGAGCGGCAACAAGGTAATAATAATAAAATAAAGAAAAAAAGGTGTTGAGGGCACTGATCGGAGAATTTGTTAGAAAAAAGTGGGAGGGGCAAAAACAACCGGGGAGAGCTTTAATATATAAAAGCAAAAGAAAATTTGTGGGGAGACTTAAAGACGGCGAAGTTGCGCAGCCAACATATAAAGATATTTGTTTATATATAGTATTGTTTGTTGGGCTGTTTGTTTGCCGTTGTTTCCCTTCCCCTTAAAATGAACTTGTTTTTGTTGTTATTACATGTTTTGCAACATGTTTTGTTGTTGTTTATTTTATTAGCTGTCCAACTTGTTTTATTACACCAAATTTTAAATGTTTGTTTGGAAAGAAGAAAAATTAAAACAACATTGTTTTTAACATTTTTTGTTGTTGTTTGTTTATTTATTGAATTAATGGAGAGGAGAATTTATTGTTTCGGAGCACCTTTAAATTATAAAGAAAATTTTGAAACAAATTTAATTTTACAAGAAGAAGCTGATAAAAAATTGGTTTTGGTCTGTTTTTATTTTTTTAATTAAAATGAATCTTTTAAATTAATCTTATAATTTTTTATTTTATTTATGTTTATTTTTACTATTTTTTAATTAATGTTTTATTCAATATTTTTTTCTTTTTTTAACAATATTTTAATTGATGTTTCTAGGTTCGTTTATGTTTTATTAAGTGTTTGTCACTTTGTTTAACAATGTTTTTATTTAAGTTTTAGGGTTGTTTTATTAGATGTTTGTATGTTTAGACGATGTTTTATTCGATTTTTTAAGTTAAGGTTTTTACAATGTTTTTGTTTAACTAAGTTTTGTTTGTTTTCAAATTTTTATTTTATTCAATGTTTTTAACATGTTGTTTAAACAATGTTTTAATAAATGTTTTAATGAAATAAAATTAACCTTTCCCCATAATAATTATTAACTAAATATTTTTAGAAATATTTAAATGAGTTTGGACATCTTCGAACACCAATTCCAACACCAACAGAATTACGTTCTGCTATAAAAACATTTCAAGATATGGCTGGTTTACCATTAAGTGGCGAACTTGATCTTGAAACGCTTGAACAAATAAAAATGCCTAGATGTGGAAATGACGATATTGGGAGAATTAATGAAAGAAGGAAAAGATTTGGTAATTTTTTATAAATATTAATTGTTATTGACCCAAAAAAAGCTCCGTATGATTTTGGGATAAGTAAACATTTGAACGCCCTAGTTTTATATAATTTATTTTGAAAGTAAAGAAGTACCATAATTATAAAGGAGTTTTAAACATAAAAACAATATATTTTTTTCATAAAATTTTGTCCTGTTTTAATTTATGTTTTTAAAACAATAATCAATAATTTTGGGATTGTAAAATGTTTTAGTTTGTTTGATGTTTTGTTTATGTTGTTTTCCATTTTTGTTTTATTTTTTGTTTGTTTAAACTAGGATACATAGCAACGACCCAGGAACCCCGACCCCGACGATTTTATTTGGCAAAACCCCCGACCTGAACCCCGAAGGGTTTCAGGTGCTTGTATTTTATGACATGATTTGCTTGAAATATTTTTCTTCGTTTTTATTCCACTTTTTGTTTATTTTTAATGTTTTAGTTAAATTTTTGAATGTTTTATACTAAGATATTTCCAATTTTAGTATATATTTCTCGATGGGAGGGAAAGTTGAAGGACGGAGAACTACGACTTAAATGGTTTTTGCATAACTATACACCTGATATTCCACGTGATGAAATTAGGTATTTAAATATGTAGAGTTAATTATTTACTTTTTTAATATTTTTTAGAAGAACAGTAAATAAAGCATTTAATTTGTGGTCATCACAGATAACTCTAAAGTCTGTCGAGGTAACTTAAAATTTTTTTGCCTTTTTTTTATTAATTTTCAGAGTTTATCGCTTCATTTTGAAGAAGCTGAAAGTGAAGAAAATGCAGATATTACCATTCTTTGGGCAGAGGGAGACCATGGAGATGCACATATGGTTAATTTAAAAATATTAACCATAGCACATATGGTTATTTATTTTTTTATTTTTAAAATTAGTTTGACGGTCCAGGGGAAGATGGCAGCAATATTCTAGCTCATACGTTTTATCCTAATTATCAATCGAAGGGTACTTTAAATGGAGATATTCATCTTGATGATTATGAAAAATGGCATGTTGGAGTAGGCAAAGAGGGTGCTAGTTTCCCTCATGTTTTGGTTTGTATATTTTTGTTTTTAAAATATAACAAGGGAAAATATAATGTTTTCAAATTTTTGTTTTGGTGTGTCTTTTGTTGTACCATGTTTTGGAATTTTAATTTTAACATATGTTTTTGTCCGTGTTTTATTAAAACAAAAAATCAAATGAATGAAAAAAATAAACATTTAAAACTAACATAAATTAACGTCAAAAATTAATTAAAACTTTTAAGAATATATTTAAACATTTTTAATAATAATGTTTTATAAAACTTAGAGTTACATAAAACATTGATTAAACACAAAAAACGTAACAAAACACAAACAAACATATTTTATCAAAACAAAACATCCAAATAGTTAAAACATTGACTAACATTTTTTTAATCATGCTTTAAACATCTTTTAATTCAAAATTGACAAACATCTAAAAACAAGTTTTATTATAATAAATATGTAGATGTTTTAATTATTCTAAACATTTTCCCTTCATGTCAGGTACACGAAATTGGCCATACTTTAGGATTGGGTCATTCCAAAAAGCGTGAAGCAATAATGTTTCCAATTTATCGAAAAGAACAACTTGAGAGAATGCAATTAGATATGGACGATAAATGTGCTGTTAATTGGAGTTATATTGGTCCTAGTGATTTATGTCTTTATATGTGGTTATTAGCTGAAGTTTTGCCTAAAAAAGTGGCGCCTATAAAAAATGATGAAAATGATTATGAAGAAGAAAATGAATTAAAAAATGAAAATAATGTTAATTGGTGGGCTGAGGAACAAAGAGGGATTATTACTAAAATGCCAACTAAATCAAATTGTTAGTTGCAAGTTTAATTAATTTGTTATTAAAATGTTTTGTTTTCGTATTTGTTTTGTTTTAATGTTTTATGTTCAATGTTTTTGTCATCTGAAAACAAGTTAAAACCATAACTAAACAAAACATCTAAAAACATGTTAAAACATTTAAAAATAAAAAATCATATTTTTTAGTATTTTAGTTATCATGAAAGAACAAAATAACCGTGAAAATTTACAATTAACTAACGAATTGTTGCCTGATTGTGGTCCATACAATTCTAATATTGAAAATATTGAAAATGAACAGAACAACGACAATAATTATTATAGCAAAGTGCGATTTCAATTATCACAAGTTTTGAGACGAAGACTTGGATTCCCTAAAGAAATGGCTTCTTCTTATGGTTTTTATTTTTATTAAAAATATTGGTAAAACATTGGACTGAAAATTGAATAAATACAATACCAATTAAACATTTAACTAAAACATTTAATTAAACATCCGATTAAAACATCTTAAAATCAAATAAAATATTAATTAAAACATGAACTTTTAAATGTTATTAAACAATTTATTTTAAAAATATTTTCAGTCAATGTTCTTTGCCGATTTTTTGATGGTCTTAGACAACATTTGGGATTAGCTAAAAATAATAATTTTTCATCAAATAATCATTCATTTGGAATTAAACCGTTAGGTGTTCACAATTATTGGCAAAATAATGAAGAATATAATTTTCAATTATTGGCGGATAATTTGGAACGTGAAAGTAAAAGAAGTTTTGATTCAAAATTTTTTAATAAATTATTAAATATTTTTGAAGGTAATAATAAATATGTTAATATAAAATTAGGCGAAATTTAAATGAGAAAATTTTTGCTAAAAATTATTTACATATCAAAACTCTTAACAAATGCTGGTTCTGTTAAAAACAATAAACCAATGATTGAAACATTAAAACATCGACTAAAAACATTAATTAAAACATTAAACTTCAAAATTTTCTAGAACCAGCATTATTTAGCATTCAAAGATAAAATACGTGTATTATTTATTATTTTTAATGTTTTTTAAGAACGTTAAATTCCCACTACTCATTTTATGTGCAATAATCTTAATTTTTAATTTTTTGTTTTTATATTTTAATTTAATTTTGTTATTATCATTTTAATTTATTTTTTAAATAATTTTTGTGTTTTGTTTTTAAATAAATTCTTTGAGTTGTTCTGATATTCTTCAAAGCATTAGAAACAAACATATTTAAACAAACACTCAAACATCTATTTTTTCAAACATCATTAAGAATAAATAGAACTTCAATTAAAAATACATCCAAAAATCATATTTCAGACTTTAAAAACATTTAACTAAAACAATGTTTTAGCAATATTTAATTCAAACATCTACATATCTTTTCCCAATGTTTTTTGACAGCGCTTTATTGTTGGCGTATATTTCCTTCCTCATTTTTTTTATCTGCCAAGGTCGTCTACCTATTTTTGAAGTTTTTATTCTGATAATCTACTAAAAAGGACATTTCTTGTCTAAAATAAATAAATAAATATACATTAAATTGTGTTAAATTATTAATATTTAATATATTATTTTTACATTTTTCGCCCACGCGCCCAGTTCTTTTAATATTTTCCAGTCAAGGTCAAGGTAAAAAGCATTTTTAATCAAAAATTGTAGGAGAAAAACGAGGATATAAAAATGTTTAAATTAATAATAATAAAGTAAAAAATTGAGACAATTGAAAAGAAAATCTTTTTTAACAATATACAATTAATCTTAAAATCCGTAAATAATAACACACATCTACACCATCCGAAAATAAAATTTCAACGAAACAAAAATAACAATCCTACGAAAATCACAAAAACGGAAATAAACGAATCTCTGATCCAGTTTGAAGTTGCGGGCAACTCTCGGTTAACCCTCAATAATTTCCCTTGACGCTTCCAGTCAAAAATTTCAAATCCGAAATTTTTAATTTTTTGATAAAAAAATTTAAAGGTAAATAAATTAACTGTGTGGTCTTTAATTTATTTCCAAAAATAAAAAGGAAACAAATTTATCAAACAAAATAAATTTTAAATTACTAATAATATTAAAAACATATGATTTTATTTAAAAAATAACCAATAATCATTTTTAAATATTTTTTTGTTCAAAGGTCACAGTTTTAAAAGAGGAATAAAATTATATTTGTTTTTAAAACACCACGAGTTTTTTTTATTTAGCGAGTAAAAGTACAAAAGAAAAATTTTTTAATTTTTATGTAAAAGGAAATTTAAATAAGTCATCGAGTTTAAATTGTAGGGTAGACAGTTGTGCCTTTAGTTATCCAGGCTTTGAGTTTGTTTTACTCAAATTTAAATGAAGTTGACCGTTTTGAAAATTATGGTCAGTTTGGCCATTTTGAGAAAAAAAGGATATAGAATAAAAGGATAACTCAAAAGGGATATAAACGGATACGGATACCAAAATCCGTGTCCACGTGCAGGTCTGCTATACACATTTATATCATTGTTTTTAATAATTCAAACCCTTTCTTGGGGTTTTCCGCTTTTAGATTTTGGGTGAAGACTTGGTCTTCTGAAAAATTTTCTTTGATAATTTAAATTATTTATTAAAATAAAAATTAAAAAAATTAAAAACAAAATTTTAAAAATTATTTTCAACACAAATCCCCAATTGTTTATTCAATTCAAATCCAGAACAACATGTTTGGTGACATTCTTCTTGTATTATTTTTTGTTTTTGACAACGAACACCTTTTAACAACGAGAGCAAGCCTTGGCATTCCCCCTCCTCCGATATGGGTTTGGAGCAGAGCCCTACAGAAAATTTTGGAATGAAAGATTTTTTCTCAGATATAATTGATGACTCTCAATTATATAAAATTAGCTAAACATGGGACCTCACTATAATATACCCTCAATTTAAGATACCTAGGTTCTAAATTTAGGGTGCCCATTAGGTAAGGGAGCTGTCTAAGCTAGAGATCGAACCATCGTACTAGCGACGATATTTTTCTGTATCTATCGCTATTCCGTATTGTATTACGGTACATAAAAAAATTTTCCGTATCGTAAATACGATATCGATAAAAATTCTCCGTATTTTTGAATTACGGCCCGTAATACGGTACGGTAAAATTTTGAAGTTGATCAGTTTAATTAACCCAAAATTAAAATTAATTTATTACCAGGACACGGTTCGCGTGAGCAAACTTGCGTTTCGGTGTCAACACCTCTGAAATTAAATTGAAAATTATTTTTTTAATAAAAAAATCTCTTATTTCACAGCAAAAATTATTTTAAAAAATACACGGCAAATTCGGTTTTAAAATTAAAAATAATTTTGGCCCTTTTTAGGCCCTCGAGGTAATTTCCTAGTTATTAATCAGTTTTGACGTTACATCATAATACAAGTTTGAGGACTTGTATCTAGAATCAGCATGTAGGTAGGTACCATTTGACTTGACTAAAGCGTACCCTTAGCTAAATTATATCCGAAAATTCCTTTTTTCTAAAAATCACAGCAAAACCAACAAGCAAATTAATTCATTGTCTTCATTTCCATTGAAATTTTGTCCATTTTCATCATTATTTGTTTTTGTATTATTTATTTCATTAAAACACTTTCGACTTCTTCTTTTCAACCCACAACCACCACAAGTAGCACTGCATTCTGTCCACTCCCCCCACTCACTCCATTGCCCGTTTCTTGATGCATTTATTGCTTTAGCTTTTGCTTGGAAACCACGTCCACCACGATAGAATGAACGGAAGAGAACAAGTAAATCGTTTGTGGCTGAATGTACTGGGGAGGTTGGTGTTCCATAACAGCAATAACTTGAGATAAAAAATGAATTTTTTTGAATTTTTATTTATGCTGATTTGGTTTTTTGTTGTTTATTTTTTAATATTTATCAATTAAAAATTGTTCCTCATCAAGGGGATTCGAACTTTCGACATTTTTGTAAAGAACTAAGCATTTTCCCGTTACACCATAGAAACAATTTTCTTCGGGTAAATGAAACAGGTGGGCAAAATGTTGTGTTTGTGTATGTTTGTATTAATTTTTAATTTATTCAAATTAAAAAATACCGCATTCCGGTATTAGCAAAATCAGTACTGTTCCTCACTTCAACATAGTCCATGCAAAGAGAATGGCGGACCTATATGATAAAACAATTGGTAAAAGTTTTTTTTTTAATTTCTAGACGTTTCAAACATCCTATTTTCAAAAACAAACAACAAATACAACAAACATTAAAACAAGTTTTTGAATATTTTTAAATAGCTAAAACATTTTTAAAATTAGAAAGAAAAAGTTTTAAAACATGAAACTTAACAAATAAAATTTAAAAACATTTTATCGTAAAATACTTATGTTTTATTTTACTAAAAACATGTTTGTTTGATCTTAAAAACATGTTTTTATGCAATCTAGAAAAAACATGTTGAATTTACTAGAAACATACACTTACTATTAGTTTATTAAAACATGTTATTTTATTAAATTTCCCTCAAGTATTCAAAACATTTTTATAAAAACAAAAACACTTTACAGACATATTCAACACAGTTTTTAATTTAATTTACAATAAAAACATACCTGAATTTAATACAATGCATTAACATTTAATGTGTAAAACTGCCCCAACCTTGCAATACCTTTTAGACAGATTAAAATATTTTCAATAAAATTTATTTAACTAAAAAACTTACATTTCGAATTCACCAAAGAATTGCCTAAAAAATTATTTTTAATAATTTTTTTTAATTTTTTTCTTTACAATTGTACTCTCTGTCCAACAGGAGCAACTAACAGCCACGAACATTCCTGTCCTTCCCTAAATTCCCCTGGGTAATTTGGACTTGAAATTTTCGTCCAACTTTGTCCAACTTCTATACGGCCTCCACATTCTGCTCCATAACCGGGCATTACCTTTAATTTTTTAATAAAGCAAAAAACGGTAAATGTCCGGTTGGTGTCCTACATGTCCGCAAAGAGAATGCGCATTTTTCCTTCCTTTTCTTGCATTTTTTTCTGCAAGGAGTGGCGCCCATTTTTCTCTTATGTATGGTAGGTCTTGGCACGTGGAAGGAAAGGAAAAATAATTAGAATTACTAAGTAGAAAATTTAGATAAAGAGACAAATTAGATAACGAGTCGAAGAAGAACTTAGAAAAAATTAGATCATATCCAATGTATCTAACCTTTGATTCTATATAGAGTTCCTAATCGTCGAAAAATGGGATCCAAAAATTCATGAAGAAAAGAAAAAATAATCATTAAGGATCTTTGTGATAGCTTTCTCAAATATATTTTTAATATATCAGCGGGATAACAAACTTTAATGGGATTATAATGTAGGGATATTAAACAATGGAATTTAAGATATTTTGAGAAATCAGCTTCTGCAAATGTCTCATCTATATACACAATAGAACTGATCGGTGAACATGATTTAATTCTTCAAGAACTTAAAAACCAATTTTCTTATTCTAATTTTTTCTAAGTTCTTCTTCGACTCGTTATCTAATTTGTCTCTTTATCTAAATTTTCTACTTAGTAATTCTAATTATTTTTCCTTTCCTTCCACGTGCCAAGACCTACCATACATAAGAGAAAAATGGGCGCCACTCCTTGCAGAAAAAAATGCAAGAAAAGGAAGGAAAAATGCGCATTCTCTTTGCGGACATGTAGGACACCAACCGGACATTTACCGCAAAAAACTTCAATATAAGATACACTCTTTGGTGCTGAAAAAATTGTAGCTTATAAAAAGGTGTGTTTTAAATTGAGTGGATTGATTAGGAAGCTCACTCCCCGCCCAATGGCCAACCAAATTTTATAAAAGTTATCTTAAATGGAGGGAATTTAGTATTGGGAGTATCATATAAGGAGGACAAATTTAAAAGAATAACTTGTTCACAAACTGCCCCAGTAAATCCATCAGGACAGCGACAACTTTAAAAATTATATTTAAAAAAAGTTGAAATTAATTTACCGTTCACAATGTCTAGGGTCTGTATAACCACCTTTTTAATGAATTTTAAAAAATAATTTATTTATTTAATATAAAAAATTCAAACCCCTCTGGCATGGAAGTTGTTTGGGGCATACTTGACGGCAATAAATTTCTAAATAAAATTATATTAGGTATATTAGTTAAAAAAATATTTTTTTCTAAAGCATCTTTTATTAGCCAGAATTGTATTACACTTTGAGCTGTTCAAGACCGAAAATTTTCCCAAATTCAAGACCAATCTACCATACTATTTCTAAAAGCCTCAAAAAATCAAGACTGAGTCAAAGCTTGTCAAGTCTTCCACAACGGTAATCTCCCAAAAATCCCTTTTAATTCAATTTTCAATAACACATCTTTTTTCTATCCCAAAGATGTTGTATTAGCAGTATTTAAATGTATACGTAGGAAAAAGTGCCCGTCCCAATTCCCCAAATCGGAAATTTATTTTCATGTCGGCACGTTCTCCGGTATATTTACGCCTTCCAACCTTTCTAAATACTTTTGACCAGTGCTTCGAAGCTCGTACCAAAATTCGTACTCGTACCTCGTACTCGTACTCGTACCTGGTACGAAGTACGAGTACGAGTACGAGTACGAGCAAAAAAATGGAGCAGGTACGAAGTACGAGTACGAGGCCAAAAAAAGTGAAAAGTACGAGGTACGAGGCCTAAGTACGAGCTCGTACTTCTCGTACTTGGTGTTAATAGGAAAATTAAAGAAATATATTTAATTCCTTTGATTCTCCATTATATGAGCGGGTGGCCGAGTGGTGAAGGTGCTTGGCTGCACCAAAGTCTCTAATGATTTAATATTGGGTTCGATTCCTATTCGCTAAAAAAGAATTTTAATATTTTTTTTCATAAATAACTTATTTAATAATTAAAAAGTGATTTTTTCACACTAAAAAGTGATTTTTTTTCGCCTACGGCCTTCCAAAATTTTCGCCTGCAGCGCTGAAAAATGGAAGAAATCTGGCTTAAGGACCTCAAAATTCTCAAACTTTTTGCCTGCGGCGCAGAAATGGAATAGAGATTAAGAGGGATATCCGGAGATAAAACTGTGTAAAAAAATATATAAAAATTTATAACGTTCCATGGAAGAGAATGAAAAACGGATGAAAAAATACCCGTCGCATCTTGGAAACCGACCCATCTTGGAGGAAATATTGCTCAATGCACTCCAAAATGCTCAAAAATTTTGCCTGCGGCGCAGAAAATGGATTATATTGGAGGATTTATGGCTTAAAAGCCTTCCAAGATTCAAAAATCATCGCACAAACGCTTAAAATTTAAAACTAGATGCCATGGACTCCAAAAAATCATAAAAATTTTCGATTTTTTGCTTTTTTCTCAAGTAAGAGTAAGTACGAGGTACGAGTACGAGGTACGAGGCCAAAAATAAGGGTGGTACGAGGTACGAGTACGAGCAAATTTGAAATTTCGAAGCACTGCTTTTGACCTTTTTAATTTAATTTAAAATTCCCCCCACCATTCATTAATCTAATATCATTAAAACTAAGTTGGTCTCTTTGTCCAATAGTTCTTTGATAGTCTACAATAAATGTCCCAATAGTAAATAAATCGTCCAATTTAGCAAAAGCTTTGGATCTATAATGCATTATACTTCCATAATCGTAGGGAACTCCAGAATTGTCTACATCTGATGGCTTTTGAATTTGATAAATAAATATTTTTTTAGTTAAATAAGATTTGATTTATAATTATGGACTCATCACTTTTTAAATTTTCTCGGGTTTTTTTGATGCTCGATTTAGGTGATACCTTGTAATAGAGTTTTCTTAAATAGAGGCCTATTTAGGATTGCCCAGATATCGGTCCCGGATCTCGATAGAAAGTACCTTATACTGAAATATATCTACTAGTAGGTGCTCTATAAATAGTGAAGAGTTCACTACTATTTAATTATCAATCAAAGCCTATATAAATTATACATAAAATACCTGTTCTTTTAAAAATTGACCTAAAAATAATAAAAATAATTAAAATTATTTAAATCATCCACACCTTTACTGTCTCTATCAATATTATCCCATTGTACTTGTACCCATAAATCTCTGTCTGGTCTGCTTTGTTCATGCCAAAACCCTAAAGCATGAGCTACTTCGTGTGCAATAACTCCTAACTAAAATTAATTTTCGATTTAACAGCCCTTCCAGAGACCGAACTGGAAGGGCTGTAATCTCGATTACAATAACCTAGATTTTTGTTCGAGATCTCATATCGGTTCGCACTCTCAAAGTGTATCCCGCCATTTCTTAAATTTCTAGTCCGAACTATATTTGTCGGAAAGAGAGAGAGAAATTTCCGTATTAGGATATAGGAAATTATCGGATTGGATACCGGCCAAGAATACGGACATCCATTGGTTTTCCAGGATCAGTCAACTCTAGTCCCAACTTCCCATAGCATTGTCTCCTCTATAAATTTTTCTCGAGGCCCTCTTCCCCTACATGGACAACCCTACTCAAAACAACCCAACCCTACTACAACCTTATCGCTGTAACCAAGTAGGTCTCCTCCATGTACTTTATATAAATAAAAAGAATTAATTTAAAAAATTACTCGAATACATTCAGGTGCTAAAGAGACAAATTGAGGTTCTCCCAAAGGATGCCTATAAATTAAAAAAATTTCTTTCTTCATTCCCCCTCTTCCCTCCAACCTTCCAACATTAGAAGCACACCCATCAACATCAGTAAATACAATTCTAGAGCCTTTAGGTTCATCATCTTTCCTTTCAAAATTTAGACAAGTAATATTATGCCAATGTTCTAATGCTAATTCTATTACTCTTTGTTCTCTTAATGCTTTTTTTTTAATTAGAAAATTTTTAAAATATTTATTTACTGTGTGAACCATCAAAACTATAAATTATAGGCTTTGTAGAATCCCATCGTCGAATCTAAATACAGAAAATAAAGGATTGTGTGAAATTGCTTTGATTTATTTGACGTGGTTTTTTATGTAATTGAATTCTTAAAATTGAATTATGGACTGTGGCTTACGGTTGTGTGTATTCGAGAATTTAATCTTTAAAAGGTCTGTTCTGGAACAGTCCTGATCAACCCCGTACAAAATTCTTAAATGGATGTCCGCAAATATCAATCCGCAAATACCAACCAACCCTTCTAAAAACTTACATTTGAACCAATAAATTTTCTTTTAATTCTTTTGTGTTGATTATTTTTATTATTTTTAATATTTTCAACCAATTTATTTGCTTGATTTTCATTCAAAATTATATCCCCTTCAAAATGTTGCCTATTTTCCTCTGGCCATTCCTTCTTTAAATTTACTAATTTATTTTTATTATTATTATCGTTATTCATTCTTCTTTCTTTCCAAGCTTTTAATTCTGACATTTCCTCGGTTGTCTAAAAATTTAACAAAAAAATTTTTTGAGTAATGTGTATATATGTAAATTACCAAGTTTTTCTTTTCTTTTTCTGTTGTTGAATTTTCTGTTAATTTGTCAACTTTATCGTTTTTCATTAATTCATTAATTTGCTTCAACAAATTCTGGATTCTGAACAAAATTTATTATATGTACTTCTTAATCCGAACGGGAATAGGAAGCTTTTTAGTTTATTTCTTAGGCAGAATGTTCTCTTCTCCTTTTTTCCTCCAAATGTTCGGGAGCCCAAGGGATGGGTCGGCTTTTTTCGACCTGACACCCAAAATCCAAATTTTTTTTTCTCAATCCTGCCCATCCCTACTTCCTAACGGAGCATTTTCTTCTTGGTCTTCTCCTTAATAAGAATGTAGCATATTCGATCTCTAACATTCTGGAGGGGAGGGGGGGGGCATTTTTGGGGCGTCATTATTTTAGAATGATTAGTAGAGGGTAGTTTATTTAACTTGCCTATTTAATTCTTCATCACTTTTACCCCATTTTAAAGCTTTATTGTGCCATCTATCCTTCCATTCATTAATTTCTCTTTTGCTCCTTTCCTGCCCATTTTCTTCTTCTTCCTCCCCTTCTTCAATTTTACTTTTAATTGTTGTTTCCCCTCTTAATCTTCTTCTTCCCTCATCCCTAGCATTTGTCCATTCTTCCAAATCTGTATCATCCCCTCCATTAGGCAAATGTTCATCGTGAAGAATAACTCTATTATTTCGAATTACTGCTTCAATAAATTGAGGAAACAATAAAAAAAGAATCCAAAACCTTTTGAATAAAAAATATATTCTTTATTTTTTTAAAATTATTTAAATTGGTTAAAAATCAAAAAAAGTTATGAGATAAAGTATGGCTCGAGGTTGAAGCAAAGTTATGAGATAAAGTATGGCTCGAGGTTGAAGCAAAGTTATGAGATAAAGTATGGCTCGAGGTTGAAGCAACGAGCCATACTTTATCTCATAACTTTTTTTGATTTTTAACCATGTAAAAGGACGGCTCGAGCCGCGGACATTGAGTCGGGTCCATCCCTTTCGGGAGGACCCGACGTGTCCTAACTCTTCTAATTAAAGTTTAATGTATATATAAATATATAGATTTAATTCTTTATTTTACGATTAAAAAATAAGAGGGGGAAGAAGGATCGGCCAGTAAAACTTAAAGTAAGTTAAAGTGAGTCTTTTTGGCTAAACTGGCCCATCCTTATATTTGGTTATTTTTAAAGAATTTTGTGTCAGCTGTTTCAACAAGTATATAATATTGGTCACCTAAAAGAAGCGCGCCTCGCGCTTTAAAATTTGGTTAAAAAATTAAAAATTATATAAGCGCGAGGACACCTTCACATAAGTGCCCAATATTATTTTCAATTTAGAAAATCGACTTTTTGTTATTTTATGTGTATTTTGATTTTTATTTTTCTTTTTGTTTCTTTTCATTTCCAAGTGAGAGAGAGAGAGATTTAGAGGAAAAGCAGTAAAGCGGCCAAATTAAGTTTATATTTCAAAAGCAAAGAACTGTTTCACCAACACGTGTTGATTTTGGTAATGGTGCAGAATTGGGGAGACACTTGTTTTGGATCCAACAGCAATGTAGGGGAGGGGAGGGGACAAAGGAGAAAAGTAGATACTGACACCTCCACTTCATTTAACATTCCTTTCAAAAATTAATTTATTATTCTTCCCAAAATAAATTATTAAATTTATTATTATTTTTTTTTTTTAATTTTATTACATCAATTATTAAAAATGTTTGCCATATTGATATTGTTGTTGATGCTCAATTCCAGCCGGCCCTGTAATTTTTTTTTTTTAATAATAATAATTTTAAATAATTTTTGTGTTTTTGTTGTTGTAATTAAAGTATATATGAATTTTTGTCTGAATATTTATATTATGTGGTGTGGTCTAATAAAAATTAATAAAATAATGTTGTTTATTAAAGAAATTTTTTTGATTATTTGGTTGTTATTAGCAAAGAAAATATTTTTATTGAATTGATTATTTTTAATTATTATTTTTGTTGTTTCATTTTTTTTTTTTAAATATCCTTATATATTTGGGGTTAAATTCAGAAAATCCTTTATTTCCTCCAAATTGTCAAAGATTCTATCAAGTACAAAGCTGGTTATCAAAGTATTTACTCCCATTTCCGCTGTATTTGGTTTTGTTTTCTTCTTGTCTTTCCTTTCCTTTTCATCAACATATCCTCCTCTTTTATAATATTTATCCCGATTTACGTTAGATGAATCCTTATATTTGTATGAGCATCCTTGTCTTCGATCCGGAGATATTGTATATTCATTCCTAATACCTCTTCCAACGACATGTTCATCAAATCTACTTTGTTTGGTGCGGATTTTCTTTCCACTCCATGGTTCTATTTTTTCCTTTTCTTTTAATTCCTTCAAGTATTTTTCTTTCTCTTCCGGTAATTTATCCACAATTTCCTCCTCAACTTTATCCTTCTCTGCTCTCGAGATTACCCTAGTAGCGAATTTTTTAAATTCACTTTTCCCTTTTTCTTCTTCCCATTTCTTTTCGTATTTAGCTATCAGTTCCTTTTCTTTTTTCTCCAATTCTCGGGTCATTCGTTCTTGCATTTTCTGCTGGCATTTATCGGCTTTCTTCAACACATTTTTCCAAATATCCTCATACTTTAGCTTCATATCCTCATCATATCTCGATCGAATCTTCTTTAATCGTCTTGCCGTTTCCCAATCAACAATCTCGTCTCCGTTCTTTATTTTCTTCTCCTTTTCTTTTCCTTTATCATTCTCTTCCTTTTCCTCTCCTTTTTTTCTCTTTTCTCCTCTTTCCTTCGGGATTATTTTATTCCCAATTTCTTCTCCTCTTCTTTTCGCCTCCAAAATTCTAGCCTGTTTTCCTTCCTCTTCTTCCTTCTCTTTTCTCTGTAGTTGTTTCTCCTCCTCCTTACGCCTTCTTTTTTCCTCCTTTCTTTTTTCCTTCTCTTCACATGTTATAGGAAGAAGACGCTCTTCGTCTTCCGTTAACTCAGTAGACGAAATATCCTCCATGTGCCAGGGTAATTTTTCTTTTATTGAAGTTTCGTTGTCGGAAATATAGTCGGAAATACTTATTATGCTTGATGTTTTAGACATATCGAAAGCCTGTAATTGATTTTGAATATTATTATTTTCGGTTTTATTGTTATTGTTAGTTTGTGTTAATTCGTTAGTAAAATCCAGAGCAGCGACAATCGAGTTAATTTGTGGGGATTCTCTAAATACTCCTTCCTCGTCGTCCGAAATTTCGATGTTGGGATCCAAGATCATTTTCTGGTTTCCTTTATTTTTCTCCTCTTCTGAGTAAAACCTTTTACATTTATCACTGTGTATAAGCCATGCATTTTCTAACATTCCCGTCTCAGAGATTAATAAATTTGGGGATTGAATTTCAATAATTTCATATGGGCCTTCCCATTTGTCACCAAATTTCCTTAGATTTTCCATCTTTTTCACCAAAATTTTGTCCCCCTTTTCCCACATTATTTTATTGATTTTATTTTGCTGATGTTTCATTATATCCACATTTTCTAATAATTTAGATTTCACATCCTCCCTAACGATAGTAATCCTTTCCAACATCTTTTGAACATACGAATTCATCTCTTTATATTTTTCTCGCTCAATTCCCAGTGCAGCTTCTGTAGGCAGCTTCGGTAGGAATCCATGCACCACAAAAAATGGGGAATTTCCTATTTGGTGATTATATGAGGTATTGTAGGCAAAAATAACATGGGGCAGCATATCAACCCAATTTTTCCCTTGATCAGTACACGTCGCAATCATATCAGCAAGCGTTCGATTAAAGCGCTCTACTAGTCCATTCGCTGATTGGTGATAAGGGGTAGTAGGCTGGTGGCGAAAATTTAAAGATTTAGCTAAATCTTGAAATGTTGATGACATAAATTGGGTTCCTTGATCAGTTATAATTAGCGAGGGAATTCCGAAACGGCAGACAATTTCTTTAAAAAAAATGTCAGCAATTGTGCTGGCCGTTTGATTTCTTATCGGCACCGCCATTGCCCATTTACTAAATGAATCAACCGCAACGAAAATATATTGATGTCCCCTTAAGGACTTCTGAATAGGGCCTAGCAAATCAATATTAATTCTGTCAAATGGTCGCGAAGCAGGTTCAATTGGGTAAATTTCTTCGCGACTTAGATGTTTTCCAACTATTTTTCTTCGTTGGCAAACTTCACAAACTCTTATTTTATCAGTGATATCTCTAGTCATTCCTTTCCAAAACATAGTCCTTTTTATTTTTTCTAAAGTCCTTTGGAGTCCAAGATGAGCACCCTGAAGCGGATCCTCATGGAATTCTTTTATAATTGTATTTTTTAATCCTGCGGGTATAATTATTTTCCAATCATTTTGTATTTTTCCACATATTAATCCATTTATTATTTGAATATTTTCCTCCTTATTTTTAGTCAAATTGGTAATTTCCTTATCCTCCTTTTGTGCCTCCATCAATTTTTCAATAGAAATTTTATCTTTTAGCTCTATGGCTTTAATTTGAATATCCTCTTCTGGTGGGTAGCGTGAGAGGTGATCCCCAACTTTATTAAATTTCCCAGGTCTATAAATAATATTAACATCAAAAGCCTGTAAAACAATTTGATAACGCGCCAGTCTTCCTTGGAGGTCTTTCCTCCGAAAAAGTGAGGTCAGCGCCGAATTATCGGTAATTACTGTAGAGGTTCCAGCTCCTTCCAAATATACTCGAAATTGTTTTAAAGCCGAAACCAGAGCCAATGCTTCCAATTCTACAACACTATAATTTTTCTCGTGTTTATTTAGAGTCCTAGAATAAAAAGCAATGGGGTGAATTTCCTTCTGGGCATTTTCTTGTAAAAGGCACGCTCCAATAGCGGTTCCACTGGCATCAGTTTCTAAGATAAAAGGCTTCCCAAATTTTGGTGTTGCTAAAACAGGGGCAGTAGTCAATCTTTCTTTCATTTCTTCCAAAATTTTATCATGTTTTTCAGTCCAATCCCTAGTAGATTCCTTTTTAGTGAGGTCATAAATAGGCGCCATAAGTGCTGCGAATCCCCGAATAAACCTCCTAAA